CACCCCCCCCCCCCCCCCCCCCTCCCCCCCATATTGATTTGTGGCAACACTTGCATATTTCTCATAACCAGGAAATTCCCCAAGCCCTCCCCCGGCACTTGACTGCTCGGCAGTGCTCAACCAAGGCGACGAGACGGATCCAAAGCTGACAAGTCATAATAGTGCCTGACCGCTTGTTCGATTCGAAGCTGATTTGAGCAATGGAAGAATGTGGCTGGCTGGGAGCACCGTTGATCAAGGTTGCTTCAGCCGCAGGGCAACGGCATCACCATAAGGCTGGATGCCCTAGCTTCATTGGGCGGCCCAGGGACGATCTGGTCTGGGTCATGCTGCGTGGCTTGCTCGGAGAGGGTGACTGGGCGTTAGCGCTTCGAATATCCTGCTTTCGGCACCACCCAACCCCATGTCTACCGCACTATGGGCATGCAAGGAGCCGCAAAACTCGGGACCGTAGGATCATGAAGTTTTCCATTGCGCTCTGAATCCCTGTCAGAGGAGCGCCATCTGAGCCAAGCCAGCCAACTCCCTCTCTCGGGGAGCGGCATTTCATTACGAAAATGTAGGTCTGCATTCTGACGAGGCAATGATACAATCGGAAATGGCTTGTGTGACCGTAAAAGCAATCTGGGTGGCTTGCTTGGACAGGGAATGGATTGGGAGGGCGGGCCAGCTATTCCGGCACTGTCTGGATCCCGATGCTCAATGCTCATCCAATGCGATTTCTTTGCGGCTCATAGTAGGATCACATGTGGAGGCGATCAAGCATCCATCGGTACACCCAGAACTGGTATGTCTAGCCGGCGAGCTGTCTCGACGTGAGCCCAGTCTCAATTCTCGAGCAGCGTCACAGGCGCCTCGGCCGTTGTTGCACGACATCTATCCGGAGAAAAAAAGAGGAATGGAATTCGTTCACATCCAATGTATCACTCACCAAGAAAAAGCTAGCTGCAACACCTTTTGTGCTCCCATCAAACTCCAAACGGCTTTGTACCTCCATACACAGTCCACCCAATGCCCATACACAGTGCGATTCGGGCTGGGTTGTTGATGCCTTTTTCACGCTTATGCATGGGAAAGAAGCGTCTGTATCTCGATGGAGCAGGATGTGACCCCAGAGAAGGAAGAAGAAAAGAAACCCAATTCGGACTGTCTCCTCCGACTGCCGGCCAGGTGCCCGTCGAGGCTCCAATTGGTCCAGTGAGGAGATCGGCGTCTGTCGCCTGGACTTGCACGCAGGGGACAGCAAATCCAGCATGGACGTGTTGGCAAGGGAAGGAAAGGGACTCGAATCGCGTGAGTGATAGGTTCGACCACGGGGAGGCGATTCTTATTCGTAATAGCCGCGTTTGTCCCGTCCCAAGTTGCAGGGGCACGACGCAGATACACGTTCCCCGGGTCTGGGGTCGCAGGCGTTTGGCAGATCAAACATGAAATATTGGTCGATCACCATCTCAAAGAGGGAATCGACCGTGGGGCTAAAATCAGCCGCAGCATCGTGGAGTGCATCATGAAGCTGCAGGCTTTCGGACGATCACCACGCCTGAGGCAATCATTTCGAACTGCCCTTTGTCCCTCGTCCTTTGTTTGACCGACTCACCACAACCTGGAGACCTGGAGTATGCCACACTCGCTAGTGAACGTGTCTTCTTCAAAGTACTCAACACAGACAATCAAAGCGTCATGAACTTGTTTGGTGAAACAGGCTTTTACAGGTCATGGGAAAGCTCTGGTCCGTTCATCCGAAAAAGCAGCCGACGAAAGGATGAGGAAACATGACAGTGCATCATGCGCGAAGGGGTGCCATTCATCTTGCATTCAACCCACACTAGCAAGGCAATTGATTGGCAGAGCCAGCCACATATGTTGAGTTGATGTGCAGGTGGCCTCGGCGAGACCTCGCTCGCTCATTTGTGCCATCGAGGCACATTCCCCTTCTTGATGTGTGTCATGGCCTGGCTATTTGCAGGACATAGAACAAGGGTATAGTCATATGATAATGATTACCGAAGCAGATTGACTCTCGACAAACCTCTTGGCGACGCCACCCTCGCGCCGCTGGGTTGCTTCGACGGCATGTTCCAGTCAATACACAAAGTGCCGATCATACTCTCCACCTGGCCAAGTACGGTCCCGAGGCTTTGGTGGTAACGGCTTGTCCCGTTTCTATGGGTCTTGCAACGCTTGTTGGGGCAGCGGTGCCTGATAATCCTTCGACCAATCTCCACGCTGGACCCGTTCCTATCCGTGAATGCACGCATGAGAGCGCCCTCGCGCCCAGACTCGCCGCTCAGGTACCAGCAGGGGGGCTCGTGGAGCCTGGAATCATGAATGAGCTGCCTCGTGCGTCGAACACGACATCTCCTTCGCGCCACAGCCGTCATCATGCTGCCCCTTTGTGAGGTTTGCCCAAGCAGCGGACCCGATTATAAGGCACAGAAACGTGAAGGGCCTGCCTCTGACGTCTATGGCTTTATGAGCCCCTGAGTTCTGGTCCTACGTGTGCCTTCGTGACCGTGGTGTAAGATCTCAAATCTTCTTGGGAAGGGTCATTGATAGGCCCGAGCGAAAGAGATCAACAATGTGAAGCAGCCACGGATACGCGCAGCATGGTCTACAATCCACTTCAGCCTTCAGCTCGGCCATGTAGTCGCGGAGTGGAGCAGTGGTGTGCAAGTGTCAAGGTTCTGTGCCGTTTCTCTTGATGATCTTCATGATGATTTCCTCATCAAGAAGTCGAGAGGTCTTGGAGCCATGTGCCTAACAGGCTCCACGCCCAGAAATCAACCTTGGACTTGTACTACAAACCATCGAGGTAGTCACTGGCGGCACAGGCGTGATGATGATTCATTGGTACGCTGAACAGGATCATCGGAACCGAGGATCATCTTTGGGAAATGGTTACGTCGATCATCATGAGACATCGAGGGTGCATTGTTGGAAGCCTTGAATTCTCAATGTCAACTCCATCTTCGACAGTCATAACGACGCCTGAAAGTCTATATAAACCCCCTTCCTCTCCCACCATGGTCATCCAGACTTCTCTCTCCTCATCCAGCATCAGCACCAGCTTCAGCATCCAAGACTCCAACCAGCCCACCTTCAAACACTTTCACTTCTCTCTTCGAAGTCAAACTTCCTACCCTCAAATCAAAATGCAGTTCTCCAAGACCCTCGCTATCCTCGCCGCCGCCGTGGCCGTCAGCGCTGCTCCCTCTCCCAACGGCTCCACCAGCCCCAAGTGCACCAACGACAACTCGAAGCAAGTCTGCTGCGACGGCCTGCTCGGCGGCATCCTCTGCACCGTCTCCATCCTCGGCGGTTCCTGCTCTGGCAGCTCCTACTGCTGCGAGACCAACAGCGCTGTCGTATGTTCTTCCCCAGTCTAGCAAAAGGCATATGGCGGATTATCAAGAAACAAGTACTAACTATGTCTAGGGTGCTCTTATCAACATCAACGCTCTCAACTGCGTCAAGCTCGGCTAAGCGTGTTTTTCTCGAGAGATCCAGCTTGCCAATTCTTTGCGCTCGGAGTCAAAAGCGTATGGGACAGGAGTCTGGAGCTGTTGCTTGCTACTACCCGCTGCTCTCGCGATGTTGTTGCTTGCAGTATTGGGGGGATACCAACGCATGGGATTCACTTCTTCTTTTCTGCAAAGTCCTGAGGCCTCGGGAACTTGTCACTCTCTTAGTTCTTGTTTTCCAGCTTCTTAGCTTTAGTTTATTCTTCTAACCTGACTTATTCCCTGAACAGCTGATCCCATTCTGTGCTGGCGTAATACTCATTGACATCTGTGGCATTGACATCCCTAAAATCAAATGAGATTCTTGTATCTTCTTCAGTGGGCAAGAGAACTGTAAACCCGAAAAGACCCGGTCTTACAATGCAGACTGGTAAAACATGTGAAAATCACATGTATAAATGTGACCAATCAAGCTACGGCATTTAAGGTCTGATGCAATTCTTGGGTTGGTGGATAATATCCTCAAACCAGTCAAGTAGGACTTGGTTCTGATAGACAGTCGCACCAATCGCACAATGCTCGCCGGCCCCGTCAATAGCCTCGAACTGGTGGTATGTGGTCATGCCGCCGATGTGATCTGCCAGCTCTTTGCCCTGGCCGAGGAAGAAACCGTCAAGCTGGGCATCTCCCACGAAAACCGGTGTCGTGATCTTGTCTGTTAGACCAGTCAGGTTGTATGCTTGAGCCTTGGTCATGAACTCGAAGGGTGTCTTGGCCTTGAGAGCCCAAGAGCCTTGCTGTACACCCCATCGGAATGAAGTCACAGTAGTCGGGTCGGCGATGACCTTGCTCAGGATGGCATTGAACTTCTCAGCATCGCCGGAGGAAAAGATCTGCTGGAGCTCCTCGGGGAGATGTTTAAGGATAGACTGTCCAAAGTCGTATATGCCATCAACGGCCATAATAGCAGCCGCACGGTGGTCAAACGCCGCGGCCCTGGGCACTAGGTAGCCACCAAATGAGAAGCCCATCAGAGCGATGGCATCGCCGTCAACCTCTGGCCGCTCGAGGGCGTAGTCTATGACAGGAGAGACGACTTTCTCCCACTCTGGGATGAAGCCAAGGTTCTGCTCGCGACGCACAGTTGGCTGTCCGGGCCCCTCGTAGGCGATGAAGTTCATGCCGCGCTGGAGAGCGGCTTGGCCAATTACGTGATACATCTCCTCCTGCGAGCCGTCGTAGCCGTTGCACGCAATGAGAGTGGGGCGTCGTCCGGGCAGGCCGGTGCCGAAGAAGATTGCCGGGATGTCAAAGCCGCCGTCCTTGGCGTGGATGGTTATGCGCTCGCCCGGGACCGTCATCAAGGCCATGGCATCGTTGAAAGCCGAGAGTTGCTTCTCCCACAAGGCGTTGATCCGCGGATCGCTCCAATTACCGTGGAGGAAGAAGTCGGCCGACCTGTAGTAGTTCGAAAGCTTGAAGAGCGCATTGCGTGCAGAGACAGGGTGCCGACGTGGATCAATAGCACGTGCGATCTTCTCGGCGCGGAGGGCAAGGTTGTTGAAACCGTTGTAGAAGCTCTCAAAATCGCCTGGCTCAATCTCTTTAGCGGCGACAAGCACCTCGCCAATGTCGGCTCCCTCGTACGGCGCCATCGACAGAACACGAAGGATCTCGAAGTTGAAGTCAGCGTCGGTGCTGAGTTGAAACATGGGATTTGTCGCATTATCGCTTCTCTTGAAGCTGGAATGAGGTTTGCTGCTTCTCGGAACGGCGGATGCCTTGGAGTGCGTCAGTGACTTGGTGTGAACCAATATCTTGAGTAGTAGCAAGACTTACCACGCAGAGACTGGCAGTGCCAAAGATAAGGAAAATTCGAGAGATTCTCATGTTGCTTGGGGGGGCTAGCTTTCAAAGATAGAGGTTAATGGCTGATGATGTAGTTGTTATTACGAGTGTTGGTTTGGATCTCTTGTTTCCAGTGCCATCAGAGGGGGGTTGAGGAGCCTGTATTTATGCTGAACTGTCCCAGCATCCTCTTCATCCCGGCCATCTTTGCAATGAAGTCCATGTTTTCCGAGTGCGAGATGACGCATGTCGATGGTCCGGCCGCAGTCAGATGAATGAACGGAAGACGAATGCTGTACTGAGAAGGGACCAGTGTCGGCTCAGCCCTATCGGCAACTCCACATGCCCAGCTCGTTCTCGTTTAGATGGGTCCCATCCACAGCGAGTGAGAAGCATGATTGGTGTTGTCCGCAACTCTCCTCAATCTTAAATCTTATTTGTATCCGCCGACCCCGATCGACCATCCTTCACCCCACCCCACTACCGAGATCTCTTCCGAATGCGAATGAGTGCTGGCATTTTCTTGGATGCTAGTATTTGCCGATGGTGTAAAGGGTATCCTCGCCAGTAACTTGTTCGTCCGGCCGACTTAGGAATACCTCGCACCAAGGCGGCCATCATGTATGAGCATTCTTGAATGAGCAGCACAGGTTGAATTGATACGTGTGTTGGATGAAAGTTCGATATTGCTTGGAGAGTGTGACTTGATCTTCAATGAATGCCATAGTTAAGTGAGAAGCCTGCTTGAATTGAACTCTATGGCCAAATTACGTCGGCCGTCGGCCATTTGCCAGGGGTGCCCCTCATCACATCTGGGAAGGAATCAACATTCTCGACTAATAACAGCGGCTCTCTCAGCATGGTCCGCCACTCTCGAGGCAGATATTCAGCTATGGCATGGACTTCATAAACACCAGTCATGCCCACATACCACAGTCCCCGAAGGACAAGTAGCATGGCGAAGTAGTGTGCTAGGATGACCAGGGCTCGGGGTCGCCGCTCGGCTACCAGGTCAAAGAACTTGTCATCCAAGAGCACTGGAAATATAACCAGTTGCCGAGCTACGCCAGCAGGCAAGACATTGTGATATCTGAACCTCCAAATGTCTCCAACACAACTCAGCGCAGTCTGGTATGCGCGGCAGACCTCAGCGTCCCAGGGCTCAGCAAGACCGTGGGGCTCCTGCTTGCGGAGAAGGTGTTGGAACTCGTCAAGATGACGGAGATTGTCCCTGTCTTCCCGATACTGGTTGGTGAAAGATGTCATCCTGCAGCCCACCGAGTCTGGGTTGTCTTTAGCCAGGAACATGGCGTTTGCAAACATGAGACGCGTAGCCCCCGTCATCCGCAGCCAGTCGACCGGGGGAGTATAAGGGCTCAACGGGCGGTACCGTAGCTTCATGAAGCTGTGAATCCGGAGCGCGCTAGAGGTAAGGCACGCAGAATCCACATTGGTCACACTCAGGTTGCCGACATCCCTGTTGTGCTCGTGGATGGCCATGTCAAGGTATGTTGAGACATGCTCCCTGGCGACGTCGTCGGTCATCCCCGATTTGTAAAGCATATGCAGGGCCGACAGGAGATAGATGCTATAGAGCACCGCATCGGATTCGAAGGCCAGGCGACAAATCTCCGGACCCCAAATGTCTTGGGAAGCAGAGTCGACGGGCAGCGACGGGCCTGTCTCCGCTGTGTAGTGATAAAACAGGCGTAGTTCGAGTTTCCGGCGGGCTTCGGTTTCCGGGAGAATGGACAATGCCCCGGAATTCTGGTCTTGTCTAGTCCGAGTTGGAGACTCTAGGTTGTTTGCTTCGGCGGGCTGTCCGTAAATGCACTCTAGATCTAGCCTCGTGCAATTGCCGCACTTTGGCTTAGTTTCATCGCACTGTATACAGGTGGACGGCGTCGGCGTCAGCGAGGTGGACAATGCCAATATCGGGCACTGGTCTGTAGAGGTTGCATCTGTACCTTTACCCGCCGGGCCCTGCATTTCTTGCAGCCAGTCCGACACTTTCTGTGGAACAACTTGGCATGGCGTGGTTTAGGGGGCGGCTGGTCCCCGTCGCTGGCAGTCCTGGTTGGAGAAGCAGACATGACCTTTAGAATCTGATGGATACTGACTTGTGTGTTCTGCGGATTTGAACGAGAACGAGGAGAGGAATCAGCTCTAGAGAGATTATGTCAAAGCTGCATTTTAAGGCCCACCGACTTAATGGATGACGCTAGGTAATGTGCGTGTATCTGACCATGCGGAATGCGAATGCGGTTGTGGCTCAGCCAAACGAATCCTACCAATGGCCCACCCAAACCTCAAAAAAGAACGTCGAGGATCAAAGGAGATGGCCTGCAAAAGCGAAGGCGGCCGTCGTGTTGTCTGGCCGCCAAGTCGCTTTCCCCAAGCACCTCGCAAATTAGGACGATGCTCTGTGATCAACACCATCAGAACAGGACTCGACAGATGATTTAGCAAAGATTCGAGTTGGAGGAGCATCAAACAACCCTGTACTTACCGTAGTTGAACAATCTTGGTGTCTGGCTCCGAGCGCAAGTTTGTTGGTTAACAGTCATCAAATTAACTCGATAATGAGCACCCCGAGGTTCGCTACCAACGTTAACGACTCTAATCCTCTCAAAATACAGGTACAAAGATACATGTCATCTGCGTCAAGGCTTGCTGAATTCTTGTCTCGAATTTGCCAGAACTTGCAAAGCATCGCAACTCGAACGGCTCATTCTCTACCATCATCAAGACTTACATTTATCCGACGCATCTTGACAACACCAAAGTCCTCGTATTGTCACCGCCAGAATGGAGTTCTCTCTTGTGCCCAGTCTAACCAGCATCAATGACCTGACCATCGCCAGCACACCGCTTCTCAACTCCCGCAGTTCGCGGAGAATGGCTACGGAAGATGCACACTACGACGAGAGCAATGGTACCATTTCACAGTCGGACGGCATAAGCGACCTCACAGCATCAGCAACTCATCAACCTGTGCCAAATCGCTCGGGATTGACCAACTACTATCACCAACAAGGACAGCGCCACACCTCGGGAGTCTCTGTTCCAGGAAACGCGCGTTCGAGCATGGGCGACGACTCTGTCTCTCCAAGTTCCTCAGGAACCACTTTTCCCCATGAAAGGCCACCGATTCTCCCCGAGTTCTTTACGAGTCCTGTCACCAGGGACAGCACGACCAGTCAGGAACCCAACCAGCCTTCCCAGAGCCTCCACCATCGCCATCCGGGAAGAGACCCAGGAGTTCGACTTGCGCCAGTGGAGATGGTCCTGGATGAGGGGCGCGCGTACCTTGTTCATCAAGGTGGCATGTCTTGCCAGTGCTGCCCGCAAGAGAATGGCCACGCCTGCACTGAGTGCCATGCTCCTAGGACTCTGTACCAGGCATGGCAGCCACTCGAACAGCAGCACGACTACTGGCAAAACCCCGACCTAAGCCTCCCAAGATGGTTCAGATAAGCGTCTACGGCCAAGGTTTGACCCTTACGAAGATCGAAACATGACAGCGCTAACAATTGCGCAGGTTTCTACCAACAAGCTACGTTATGGCATGTTCGGATTCATCTAAGCGGAGTGAACAGTATGTGATATGCTGCCGGAGGGCCTGAATGAAGATGGTTTGAGATTCCTCATACGAGGAAGAACGTAGACAATGTAGACAATGTAGACTGATACTGCCTACAAGGCTATCATATATGCTGAAGAGTGATTATCAATGCGACGAGCGAGGTCATAGGCCCAATTGAAACAAGTTTGTCTAGTCTATATACGTTCGATCTCGGACTACAATAATACAGTCTGTCAACTCTTGAAATCTATGAAGAACTCTGTCTATGCCTTGCCTGAACCTGCCAGTTTCGCGACGATGCTTGCTGCACCATACCGGCCTGGCATCTTCCGGGCATCGACCCCCAAAAGTCGCGCCTTCTCCCGGATTGCTTTGCCCTTATCATCATCGGCAATAACTTGAAGCACAGCATCACTGATGCACTCCCCAGTCCAAGAGAGCGGGATTTCGGAGCATGCCCAACGCCCGATGCCAAGCGGCTCGACCATGGCTGCAAAATTGTACAAGTCTGCCCACAGAGGGAGAACGACATGTGCTACGCCGCCACTGTTGCAAAGGATTAGCAAAGCAGTACACAAAGAAGAACAGGGGGGGGGGGGGGGACAACACTCACAATACACTCTCATGATAGCAGTTTGCCCCCCCGTGATGTACGAAGACAACGACATGCCCGCTCTCCAGGAGCGATGTCGGGTCGACTAAAAGCCAACTCTCTATCTTGAGCCGCCCGTCGGCGATGTAGGTCTGCAGTAACATCATATCTTTGTCTTCATACCCGTCGCCCTTGTTGAGCTTCCACAATACCTGCACGCTGCTCTGATCCAGAATCTGCTTGATAGCATCGGCCATGGCGATTGCCTTGGGCTTGGTGTATTCCACGGTGCTCCCGAGATTGATCAAAACTGTTGGCGCTTGCTCGAGCCATGCGTAGAGCTGGCTGTCTTGCTCTGCAGCTGTGGCCACCGATAAGACGATCGGGCCTACTTCTGAGACGTTTTGGGGGATAAAGTCTAGAGGCACATTGGCTCCTTGCATCGACGGAAAGATGATGGGTGTGTCTTTCCGATACAGCTTGAGGATATCAAACGAATCGGTCAGGCCGTGTTGTTCGAAATACTTCCTCTTCTCCTTCAGGCCTTTCATATTCAATGCCTTGGAAACGAGTCGGAATGCGAGGTACATGTTAGTTGGGACCTGAGACCAAGGCACTGGAAAGGATATTCCTGAGCCGACACTGCCGTCAGGACATATTAGAACGAGTCTCTTGCAGGGACGGGAACACATGATCATGACCCTTACACTGGGTATTTCCAAAAGAAGCCGCCGCGAGGCTGAACACCTGTAAACATGTCCAGCGGCTCGTTGGGAGAGATGACTGCATGCAGCCTGTTGTTCTGCCGGGCAGCGTCCATGGCAATCACGAACTGGTGGTCGAGAACGACAACGGCGGGGTCAATCCTGTGGATCAGCGCCGTCATCTCGCGATACAAGTCCATGTATTCCTCGGCGGGCCATGGCGAGAGGTACAGCTCCATCCTGCCACAGAGTTCATCGATGCCCTGCAACCCGGGAGGGCTGCTATGGGCCTCGCTGCTGTTGTCGCTCAATCTCTCGGCGAGGATATCAATATAGTCCCGGCCAGACGTGAGTGCGTGAAAGTCTATGGCCTGTGCGCCCTGCCGCTTAGCTATCGCCAGTTGGGATAGGCGCTGGACCTTCTTCTCGAGGAGGGGAAAGGACGCATAATGCTGTTTGATGCCAGGATGGCGCTCAAGCAGGGCCTGGGAGGTGGCCAAGTGGACATTTGAGAACCCATGATGCGGCAAGACGATGAACAAAACGGTGTTGTTTGCGCCCTGCACTGGCGGAGTGTAAATTTCTTCCCCTTGGCCCCCTGACCGATTCGCGACAAGCAGGGCGACAAGGGCCAGCAAGATCGCTATCGCGGCGGAGAAGCCGCGAGCTGACAACATCACCTGCGTAGGGCACCGATCCACAGGGTATCTGCAAACAGTGGCGGACGAGAGGAAATGGTCAGGGAACGACTGACAATCAACAAGTCGGGAACAGAAAACAAGCCATCGCATTTGGGGATGGGTTTTATAAGGCTGAGACATACGTAGCTAGCACGAAGGATCCGTCCGTTGGTGGTGAGATTTTAGTCCTCGCTTGAGGGTCATCGTGGTGGACAAGCTTGCCAGACGAATCCTCCGCAATCTCTCAATCTGCAATAAACGATGGGACTCGAAAGAACTTACCTACCAAGGGTAGTCCCGCGAAGCAATAACCTTATCTCACCCATGAATTCGCGTTGTGGCGCTGCTTCGTCGTGTCGTGTTTGGCCGCAGAGCGACTTTGCCCTCCTGCCCAAGGCGCTGTATCCTAATTCTCAAGGCTCAGCTTGCCGAGAATGTTCGGCTGGAGTGCAAGATCGGCGCCGAGGCGCATCCCTTCCGATGAAGTCATCCCGGCCTTTGCGCTGGACGACACATCGGCGAACCGCGGCATCATGCTGAATTGGACCCTGCACTTCGATGCTGTTCTCGATGCTGAGAAGCTCAGGAGCTCTCTGGAGGCCCTCCTGAGGACTGGCGACTGGAGGAAGATAGGTGGCAGGCTCAGACTTGATGTACCGTGATAACCCAAGCGCGTTCTGCATAACGAGTGATTGACACCGGACTAGGCCGGCGGCAAACTGGAAATACACGTCCCTACAATCTTCACGACTGAGCGCCCTGCCTTTCGGTACAGACACACTTCATACGACATCAAGCTCAGTGAACATCCTATTGTGTCACGCATCCCAGTGGCCACCGCCAACCCTTGGAGCCGGCCCATTCTCACCAACTTTGCTGAACCGGATGTGACCGACCTTGATGAGCTCTTGTACTCCGACCTCCCCCAGCTTGGCCTTCACGTACTCTCCTTCACCGATGCGACACTTGTTGACCTGATTTGGCCTCACACCATGTCGGACGCGATGGGCTGTCATGATCTCCTCAAGAACTGGTGCCATGTTCTCGCCGGCCGGGAGGACCAAGTTAGGCCCTTCCTGGGGTACCGCACCGACCCGCTCGAGACGATGCTCGCGCTTTCCGAGACCGATTGCGAGCCTTGGGCGCTACGCGACCTGGTTCTCAGCGGCGTGGGCGTGGTCATATTCGCCATCCGCTTCCTGATTGGCATACTGTGGCACCCGTCTACGGAGCAGCGCATCATCTTCTTTCCGGAGCGCACCGTGACAAACCTCCGGCAGCGCGCCACCGCCGAACTCGACGCCGGCACGTTTCTCAGCGACGGGGACGTGCTGACGGCGTGGTGCACACGTGTGGCGACGGCCGACAGCAAGCGGCCGGTCAGCGCCATGAACGTGGTGGAGATGCGGTCGCGGGCGCCGGCCGGCGTGTTTGACCTTGGTGGCGCCTACGTGCAGAACCTAGTTTTCCCGGCCTTCACGACGTTCAGGGGCGGCGTGGTGCACGAGGCACCGATGGGCGAGATGGCCCTCGCCATCCGGCGGTCACTGGCGGCGCAGGTGGCTCCGGGCCAGGTGGCGGCGGCGGCGCGGACGATGGCGCAAAGGACGGGGCGGCAAGGGGAGGGCAAGCAACCACCCGTCGTGGGCGATCCAAGCGCGCAGCTGGTCGTCTTCTCCAACTGGATGAAGGGCAAGTTCTTTGAGGTGGCCGACTTTGGTCCTGCCGTGGCCAAAGGCGGCGACGGCAGTAGTAGCGGCACGGGAAGACCCGTCTACATGCAGGTGATGATGCTGGGCAAGACGAGCCTGGCGGTGCGCAATGTCTTCAATTTCCTCGGGAAGGATGCCGCAGGGAACGTCTGGGCAAATGCAGTCCTGACGTCTGCAGTCTGGAGGAGAGTGGATGCAGAACTGGCGGTTCTGGGATATGCCAGCACTTGAGCGGTCTCTGTTCCGTACCTAGGTAAATCCGATAGCTAGACGCACGGAATTCTAGGCTGGTTAGTGATCATCGATGATCAAAAACCCTCTCGACATCAAAGGTCGAGCCCACTCTGATCAGAGAGTTAAAGCATCCATTGATGTATGAATGTGGTCAGGCGTGAAATGCTCCTGCCCCACACTTAATCCTTGGGAGTTTGGTCCCCTCGATCAATCTCGACCCCGCCAACTTTCTTAACTCACTAGAGGGTGGGCGAAATCTCCTTTTCCACTTGACCGCCTCCATTGCGAAACCACATTCACCAAACGACAGAGGCAGGACTGGTATCTCGCCCCCAATTCGTCAAGGCACAAGTTGAGCATAGCATCGTCGACTGTTCCCACTTGCCTTGAACCATGGCAGACACCAAGGTCTACCGGGCCAGCACCACGGCCCCGGTCAACATCGCCGTCGTCAAGTAAGTCAGGATGCTCCACGCCCCGGCCCTCCCCCTTCGCGCGTTGTGTCTGCGAGCAGAGTCCTGACCTATGGTTCCTTTCTGCACTCTAGGTACTGGGGGAAGCGAGATACCAAGCTCAACCTGCCGACCAACTCGTCCCTCTCCGTCACCCTCGCCCAGTCCGATCTGCGCACCCTCACCACCGCATCCTGCTCCTCCTCCTACCCCTCCGAGCAGGGCGACACCCTCCTCCTCAACGGCGAACCCTCCGATGTCTCGGGCGCACGAATCCAGGCCTGCTTCCGCGCCTTGCGCGCCCGCCGCGCCGCCCTCGAGGCCACCGACTCATCCCTCCCCAAGCTCAGCGCCATGCCCCTGAGACTCGTCTCCGAGAACAACTTCCCGACCGCGGCTGGCCTGGCCTCGTCGGCCGCCGGGTTCGCCGCCCTGGTGCGCGCCATCGCCAACCTCTACGAGCTCACCGACAACCCTTCGCAGCTGAGCCTGATCGCCCGCCAAGGGTCCGGCTCGGCCTGTCGCAGTCTGTTCGGCGGTTACGTGGCGTGGAGGATGGGCCAGGCCGCGGACGGCAGCGACTCCCTGGCCGAGCAGGTGGCGCCGGCGTCGCACTGGCCCGAGATGCGCGCCCTCATTCTCGTCGTGTCGGCGGCCAAGAAGGACGTCGGCTCCACGTCGGGCATGCAGCAGACCGTGGCCACGTCGAGCCTCTTCCAGCAGCGCGTGCGCGAGGTGGTCCCCGCCAACATGGCCAAGATGGAGAAGGCCATCCAGGACAAGGACTTTGGGGCCTTTGCCGAGGTCACGATGCGCGACTCCAACTCGTTCCACTCCACCTGCTCCGACTCGTATCCTCCCATATACTACATGAACGACGTGTCGCGGGCGGCGGTACGGGCGGTCGAGGCCGTCAACGAGGCCGCTGGCAAGACCGTGGCTGCGTACACATTCGACGCCGGCCCGAACGCCGTCATCTACTACCTCGAGAAGGATGCCGAGGCCGTGGTTGGCACCTTTGCTGCTGTCGTCGGCGGTGCTAGCGGGTGGAAGGAGGGTGCCACGTCATTGAAATCTGGCATCGCTCTGAACGAGACGGTGGCTTCCATCTTGAAAGAAGGAGTCAGCAGGGTCATCATGACTGGCGTTGGCGAAGGTCCGGAGAAGACGGATATCTTCCTGGTCGAGGAGAACGGAGAGCCGGCGAAGCGGTGAGACTGAGGCTAGCCCTGGGTGCAGGTTCGCTAGATACAAAAAAAAAACTGATACCTATATGATTGATACCAGCTGTGCTCTCCTGTCATCTACGCCTCGTAGATGAAGGTTTGCTTTATAAATGGATGCTTCTGGTTTTATGGTAAAAGTAAAGTACCTCAAAGAGGGGATGATCAGCGACTACAAGGTACAGGTGGACTTCCCCAGAGGGTTGGAGAAAGCAGTCGGCCTAAATTTAGTGAATGGGCCGCCAACCCCAATGGAGATTCCCGTTATGGCGGGCGCTACATCACGCTAAGGGGGAGGCAGAGCCTCTTAATTTCAGTGGGGTGGTACAGGCGGCACAGGCACAGACAATGCTCCATCCGGGGACAAACTGGTCAATCTTAAGCTCAACACTGCACTTGTGAGACGCGTCAAGCAAGTGCAGACCAAGCACATGGGAGTCGCCTTCCACTCATCCCCATCTTGACTCTCTTCTCAGTTCGGTCTGCGTGCCAACATCGAACCCCTTCAGTCTCTGCGTGAGAACACCATCAAGGTCCTGTCACCTAAGCTCCATCCTCCCTTTCAGATTGTGGACCCTTCATCTTTACCCTGCATCACTCATCTCCATCTCACCTTGAGCGCCGCAGCATTCCACGGCTTCCCCTCTCACCATCCCGTTCAGGTTGGCCCTTCCTTTACCACCCTCACTTGACAGATCTATCAGAAGCCCTACCTGGCCTGCAGTTACTCAAACACCTTCCAGGCAAATGTCACCAGGAGCAGCAACATGAGCACCATCTGCGACATTGACCAGGCCGGTAATGTGGTCTGCACATATACCGAGTCTGAGAAGGAGGGCATCAACGTGGTATGTCTCAAGCAAGGGCGCCTCGTAGCTGAGCGGCCATCAGAGCCTTCACTCGTTCGTGCTGCTGACCTTGGCTACAGGACAAAACCAAGGTCCCCCTGGGCAAGGCCATCTTCTACGCCTTCCTGCCTGCCGGCTTCCCCCACAGCGTCACAGATGACTACCTCTCCTACCAGCTTTTTGATTCCCTGCAGGCATTCTCTTCTTCCATCGCCTCCCTGCTTGCCAACCGTGCTGTCCTCGAGGGTCTAGGCGTCGGCAATGCCGACCAGTCTCCCACAGCCGCACTCGTTCTCCAGATCATCCAGGACACCTTCTCCCGCTTGGCCACCATCCTCTTTGCCCATCGTATGGGACAGGCCATCGAGCCCGAGGCCAAGTCCTACCGGTTCATGGCCGACATCTTCAACGACTGCTCGCTCTTTCTGGATCTGCTCTTGCCGATCCTTCCGCTCTTCCCCAAGATCACCGTCATGGTGACCGCCAGCATCCTCCGGTCCCTGTGCGGCGTGTCTGCCAACGCGAGCAAGGCCAGTCTGTCGGCTCATTTTGCCAAGGTGGGCAATCTCGCAGAGCTGAACGCCAAGGAAGCGTCTCAGGAAACTGTCGTGAGCCTCGCCGGCATGCTGACTGGCACTCTCGTCGTCCACATGGTCAAGGACAAGAAGGCCGTGTGGTGCTGGATGGTGACCTTGCTGGGCATCCACCTCTACATGAACTACCGCGCAGTCTCTGCTGTCAAGATGCTCACCCTGAACCGGCAGCGAGCGACGATTGTGTTCCGGGAATATCTGGAGCACGGCAAGATTGTCACTCCCGAGCAGGCCTCGAGACGGGAGAGCATCCTTCTCAAGGGCCGTGGCCGCCTGTGGAGCAAGAGCGGCGACTATGAGGGCACCTGCGAGTTCGGCACCTACGGCGACGTCATGAACTGGAATCCCTGGGGATACCACCGCTACGTCTTCGAGACGGAGACGTACTACATGGGTATCTGGCACTGGCGAGCTAGCTTCTACATCCGCATCGCCATGAAGGAGGGCAGCGACGACGTCCATGGTCCACTACTGGCCTGGTTCGATGCTGTGACCCACGCCTACCACTTTGACCAGGCTCTTAAGGACGGCCTGGACAGCCACTATGAGAGCGAGGGACACCACGGCTACATCACGCAGGAGACCAAGGATACTGTCCTTGGTGCGCTGCGCTCTGCCGGCTGGGACGTCGACAACAACCAACTCGAGACCATGTCTCCTGTCCGCGTTCGCGTGGGTGAATCCAAGAAGGGCATGTAGACGACTTCCATTTGATCTCCTCTTTCCTTCCTTCGCCGTTCAATGCTCTTCCTGTTCCACTTCATGTCTCTTTTCAGCCACGACGACGTGTTTTCTTCTTACCAACCATTCATGTTCACCATTGCTGACACCATCTCAACTCAGCCTCTCTGGCATCCGAGAAGGATCCCGGCCGGACACACCTGGGTGGATTTCATCATCCTGGCCAGCAGGCTGCCAAGAAGGACTAGGCTACCGGCTGTCCCAGATACCTAGATGGAATACGGACGGAGTTCAGGCGTTTGCGAAGGAACTAAAGAGGCGCAGCCCTCATAGGGGCGTTATTTTGGTCTGCTTTTGGTCGCGACAAAGTATGAAGTGGGATTTGTACAAGAGATACCTCGAGAGCAGCACATGCTGCAACTACGGAACTGGCTGGTGCCATCCTACCATGTGCCGTGCTTCCGCATCTAATTAAACCTTCCATTAAGCTTTTTAAACCTCTCTTTCAACAAAGAACGCCTTCCCATGGTCATGCATATGCTAATCCAGATTCTCGTACACCAACCCTGGCAAATATCGCCTTTGGTTCCGCCATTTGTGCTCTCCAGATGGTCCACCTCTTTGTGTTCATTATCATTTTTAGACGAGCCCGAATCCTTTGAGGAAGCGCATCTTGACGCCCTCCCAGCTGTTGAGTTTTGGACGCACGTCGAGGTAGAAGCTGACCTGCTGGCCGGCTGCGTTCTTGCGCCCCTCATAGAAGTCGATTACGTAGTCGACCTTGGTGCCGCAGCGGTCGACGACCCAGTCGTGCCGGTCAAAGGGCGCGGTGTAGCCGAGCAGCGTGTTGATGCGCGCCTTGGGGGTCATGTTGCGGCTGTCGCCCATGAAGGAGTGGAGCTTGGGGCCGCCGCATCTGTCGGGGGAGAAGGGGCCATGTGGTCAGCCTTTATTGTCAAGAGGAGAGAGGAGGAAAATAATGAAAAAGAAAAGCAATCATAGAACGTACTGGCCAGGTCCGGTCCCTGTGTAGGGCGCCTCCCACTCCTTGATCTGCTTCCATGCCCGCTCGTTGACGGCGTTGTGGATGGGGACAATGGTGGCCATGTCGGCCGTGCGCGCCGAGTCGTGGCCCTTGCGGCGCATGGCGTCGAAGAACATCTTCTCGGACGGGTAGATCCAGTTGCCCGAGGCCTTGTCGGAGCCCGTCTCGGCCTCGTGGTTGGCGGGGCAGGCCGAGGGCCCCGTGTCCTCGGTGCGCGGGATGGACGAGATCTCGCGGGACTCGGAGAGGGAGCCGCCGCCGCTGCTCGGTATCCTCGGGTGGTTGGGCGGGAGGGCCCCGGCAGCCGCGGCGTGTGGCGATGTGGAGGAGGAGGAGGAGGTTGCGTTTTGCGCCTGCTGCAGCCAGGCCTCTCGGGATTTGTGGTCGACTGGGCAGACTGCGGGCGCGGCAGCGCCGACTGCGCTATTGGGCGCCGTGTGCTTGCTTTCCGCCATGTTCGCCGTGTTCGAGCTGCGTGATGTCGTCGTGCGGGAGGCGGTCGCGCTGCTCCGGTGCGGTTGTTCGGCTGTCGCGGCCGCGGTGGCAGCGATGCTGCTGGGCTCCGTCTTTTGGTCGAGGAGGGCAAGATCTACCAGATCCTGGTTCATTTTGAACCCATCCTTGCGCGCGCAAAGTCTCTTTGGATATGTCTGGTGGTTCGGACAGGGTGAAAGAACTGGAATTGAGCCTGACTATCGGCGGTGAAAAGGAGATCAGAGATAAGAAGTCTGGTGATGTTGGTCAAGGGTGATTCCGCTGGGACCATCTGGGGAAATTTTGGGCAAGCGTTGGAGCCATGTCATTGGCGCCAAGTCTGCCGTCTTGTAATTATTGGCTGCCAATAATCCACGGCCAGCTGTCTGTCAGCTGATAATCGGAGCTTGGCTGCCTTCCAAGAAACGCGGGCGTTTTGCCAGCAGATTTGTTACGATACTTTTGACGCCAACCAGAAGAATTGCATTTCACAGGCTGCTCAAAAAGGCCTTGCCGTCATTCTGCGTGCGCTACTTTTCTGATGAGGCGATTGTATCTCTTCCCTCCATGACTATCGCGAAGATTGCTTGCAGATCGATCTACAGGTCATATCCAGCCCCGGAACGAGCGTCACACCGCATCGCATCACATCAGGTCAAAGTAGTGTCCATGTGTGTTTCAAGGTATCGCCAATTTTTGGTATATTGCCATCGAATGGCATTCATTTGACTTAAAAGATAGTCTTTCCTACAAACCAGGGGTATTCCATGAAGCAAACCACTTTCCAAAAGTACTAGACTTCCCTTATATCAGGTGGAGAGACAACCAAAGATGACCGACCGGACCCCTTACTATGCTGCCACTTCATTACCGGGAGAGTCAGTCTTCTCCACGCCGAAATCATGCGTCCATTCCAGCATGATCCCCGAACTTCATCAGCAGCAATTCCCAGTATTGTGAAACGAGTGCGAGAGGTATAATGGTGGTTTAGACAGGCACGGGGTCCTTGTGCTCGGTGTTGTACTTGTCGTGGTCGCTGAGCTCGTTGCGCTCGGCCTTGACGGCGATGTGGCGCTCGTTGTGCGTGCGCCAGGCCGGCGTGCCGACGAAGCGCGTGGCGCCGGGCCGCGTCGTGTCGAAGATCTCCTCGACCTCCTCGAGCGGCTTGTTGGCCGTCTCGGGGAAGAAGAAGAAGACGTGCCAGAACATGCAGAAGCAGAAGACGGCGAAGACGAGGTACGTCCGCCACTTGATGTTGGCGAACGCGGGCGGCACGAAGTAGGCCAGGGCGAAGTTGAAGGCCCAGTTGGACGACGTGCAGAGGGCGACGGCCTTGCCGCGCACGCGCAGCGGGTAAAGCTCTGGGGGGTAGGTCCACGAAACCGGTCCCCAGGTGGGCGCGAACGAGGCGACGAACAGGTAGGTCGACGCGATGACGGCCTTGGCGGGCGGGCCCGTGATAGACATGGACTCCGACTCCGAGGTGAAGGATGCGAGCGGTGGGCCGCCGTAGGTGGCGAAGAGGCCGGCGTTGACGCAGAGCCAGAGGCACATGAAGAAGGCGCCAACCAGGAGGGTCGGGCGACGGCCCCAGCGGTCCATGAAGAGGAGGGCGGGGACGGTCATAACGACGTTGATGACGAACTGGATGCCCGACGGCAGGAGGACGTTGTCGCCGAGGCCGGCCATGGTGAAGACGTAGGTGATGTAGTACATCATGACGTTCATGCCGGTCAGCTGGGACCAAATCTGGCAGAAGACGCCGATCTGGACGCGGTTGAGCATCTTGGGCTTGAGGAGCTCCAGGTAGCTGACGTCGGCGTTCTGGCGCTCAAACTCGACGACCTCGCGGATCTCGGCCAGCTCGCGGGCGACGAAGGGGGAGTTGGGGTCGCCCTTGCCGTGGACGAGGGTCAGAACCGAGTGGGCATCCTCCCAGCGGTCCTTCTTGGCGAGCCAACGGGGCGACTCGGGCAGTACCAGGAGGCCGAGGCCGAGGAGGATGGCGGGGAGCGCCTGCAGGCCCCAGGGGAGACGGAACGAGGCGACGCCGTTGATGAAGGAGCATCCGTAGCAGATGAAGAACATGATGAGGATACCCCAGGTGATGGCCCACTGCTGGAAGCCAATGAGACGGCCACGCTTGGAGGGAGGGGAGATCTCGGAGATGTAGACAGGGACCTGGGCAGAGCAGATACCGACGGAGAAACCCTGTATTCAGGCACACAGTCAGCTCTGCTTGAACAATATTGTGGTTCACAGTCCAGGATTCAGCCAGGGCGGCACTTACGTTGATAATACGGCCAACGATGAGCATAGGGATGTTCTGGGAAGCGCAGGTGATGACGGAGCCAATGACCCTGGACAGACCTTGTCAGTTTCTCGAGAGCAGCTGAGGCGGCGGATTGCGGGTCGACGACACTTACCAGATGACGGCACCGATCTGGATCGAGGTCTTACGACCGAAGATGTCGGAGAGGAACCCAGAGACGAGAGCACCAAGCCAAGAACCACCAGGCATGGCGGCCACGATACCGGCTTGCACGTCAGTCTTGGGGCCTCTGCATTGGCCGAGCGAGGTCAGAGGCTGCTGATTGAAGTAGCATTTGTAGGGTTGCTGGTCGATGATGGCACTCATAGACGAGATATCAAAGCCGAAAAGTCCACCTCCTGCAAAGTGTGGTCAGCAAATGCAACCTCGGTACACCTCGCACGACAACAGACTCGCGCCGAGGACATGGGACCTACCGATGACGGAGATGGCGGCAATGAGGTAGATGTTGCCGAATTCCTTCATTGTGGCGGTTGTTTATAGTCTACTGCTGGACTGTTTCTTGGATATAATGTAAAAGTTGTTCCACGCCTGCGAGGTCAGGACAGACGGATGGTTGAGGGGTAGGCAAGGCAAGCAGGAAGCGGGAGCAGGTTCACGAGAGGGAGGGTAGGGGGAGACGTGCAGATCTTATATCCGCGCTCGAGTACATGGCTCTGCTTCTGCAGGGTGAGCACCTGGAGTGTAACCAGGACTAGGATATCTTGGGAAGCTGGTCTGTTCCCGTGGTGGTCCTCAGCCCGTGTAGGTCAGGCAAGATGGAATACCTGTGTACATGCGCACAAAGGACCGAAGAGAATAAGCTCATGGCGCACCATGCTCCAGTTTGGGTCCGGGACGAGCAAGAACTGGGGGGCCCTCGCAGCTTGGAGCGGCACGATTGGGCGGGGAGGCCAGGTTAGGGATGTGGGATGTGGGATGTGACGATCACCACCAGTCCATGTTACCTCTAGACCCCTGGGCGCCGAAGAAAGGATGGGGCAACGAGTGCAATCTAACGCCCCAGTCGACCCTGTCACCGTGCCCGTTCCCATCCTGGAGAGCTTGCGTGCACGGAGTAGTTAGGCCCAGGGCCAAGGGAAGGCCGAAGAGATCAAGTGACTCGGCCGTGTCGCAAGACAATGGGCCTCGAAGCCAAGTTGGCGCCGAGGATTTTAAGGTTACATCATTATTCCTTCTCTGGGCATGGCATGGGCTAGCTAGCGGGGATAGAAGAGAAAGAAGAAGAGAAACCAACTCAAAATAGGTCTCACTTAGAACCAAGGTGGAGTCTCGAGAGCACCGCGTGCTGAAAGAATTTTCCCGAGTGCCTACCTCGATGTGCACGACCAGAGTGTGAACACAGGCAGGCGGTGCATCTCCGTCGCCGGCTAACGGCGAATGGATGCTTTTTGTCAAGTTGTACGTAACAAATGCAGGAGGATCAGGTCTTTTGACTGTCCGAATTTTCTGTTGTCGAATGCTTTTCTGCTCATTTGCGCTTTGCCCTGCCCGTCCCAAGCGCAACGACGGGTTGCGTGCGCCAAGGACGGGCAAGGTTTGGGCCATGCATTTCGGCAAACCCCACAATCGGTAGTGTCTGGCACTGACTGGGTGCACAGTGCATAGGCAATGTATGGAATAGAGTTGGTTTGAAGGTTGTGGCTTGAGCATTTAGCGAGGGATCACCAGGTGCAGAAACAAAAAGTTACGAGGGCCAAGGTGGGCGGGTGGAGCGAACAGAAGACTGAATGGAAGACCGATGACATCCAGAACCCAGCTCGAAAGGACTCGAGATCCGGAGGTCCTACGGAGAGGAGGGTACATCTGCTAACCATCTGTCTGTCTGTTTGTTTGCCTGCCTGCCTGCATGTCAACTGATGTTGTGTGCCAACGTTTGCAAAAAGTATTTCCCGTCGCCTGGAGTGGAGTGGCATGGACGGCCAGACGAAGCATGCCTCCGCCTCTGCATGCTTCTCTGCATCTGCTGCTGGTGTGGAGACCTGTCGTCGAATCTGAATACTGACAAACTTGGCAGTCCCCGTGGAGAACCATCGGACCAGAAGATGGATGGAGACGCTGGGTCCCAATTAGGATTTCCGGGGGGAAGCCATCTCCACAAAGACGCCGAACCAATCAGCCATACCATCACTAGAAGACTTCAAGAAAGCATGGTGCAGATCGCCAAGGCATTGCTCGAACCTCGTCATTGTTGTTTGGATGCGGTTAGGCTTTGGATCTGGGATATTGGCGACACGGCGATAACGAGAGTCGGAATCAAGAAACATAAGCTTTAGATACCATAATGCCGTTTGTACGGTTAAGCTTACATTAAAAACTGATGTCTGTTTGACATGACCAGAAGTCAGGTGAGTATCGTTTCCCCCCAGAGAGCCCAGGGATGATGCGACTGCAACTGGGAGCCAGGGTACTGTCGCACATGCCACCCTCTCGTCAGGTCCTTTGCTGTACAAGTAGGATTGTCATGAGAGCGAGATTTGGGATTCTGGCCGATGTTACCTTCGAGGTTGCATGCCGCCCAAACTTTAGAGACAAACGAACCTCCACTCTGGAGCGCCGCCTGTGCTCGCTCTCCACTAAGTCCACCTGCCTCATGAGATTCTGGGTTCGATGACTGGCCTTTTGACTGAACACTATTTGCCTATTTCCGTCACCTCACACCTCGGGCTAGGAGCCGTTGGTTGGCCGGCCTCGGGTACACAGCACGCCAGTCACGAAAGGCCCGACCTGACGGTGAGTCGTGGAGCCACTGAACATCAAAAGATTGCGAACCGCGTGCAGTAAATAGCCTGGTTCGTTGAGAGTTGGGAGAGTGGGAGAGGGCAAGACCAGCACGCGGTCTCCACGTTCCCATGCCATACCTCCAACTACCCGACCTGGAATGGGGAATCTGGAGAAAGCCATGCAACTGCTCATTCCGACAGACCAAGCAAACACGCCGTTTGCGATGCTGCACCGCCTGCCTGCTCTGCCTCGAGTCTGCCACACGACTGCCATGGCATCCATCGGCCGAGCCGCAGGCCGGCCCAACTGCCTGCCTACTCTGTCCCTCATAGCAGAGGGCACTCTAAAACAGCCCGCCCTGGATAAGGTGTCTAAGACGACTCGTGCTGGCTCGTGGGCACAACAAGCATCCTCGAGAATCCTGCTCGCTGGAACAAGGCAACCCACAGCTTTGCCTCTCACCTGCTTCTTTGGATCGACTGCCGCCTTCCATCCCGCTCTGCCCGCATAGACCGCACTCCGGGGTTCGAACACTGCCTTGCCTGACCACTCAGGGTGATGGATGCATAATTAACAGGCAAACTTCCTTCGCATTTCCACCCTCCATCGCATGATCCCCTCCCTTCTGTGCCAAGCTCACTTCATTTCTGAGGGGTTCTTTTAGAAGACGCACCAAATCCTTTTCCAACAACCCCGGCTCTTGACGCTGCGCCGCCCGGCACATCAATCCATTAAGGGTGGTCAATGTGTTGCCCCGGGCCAAGCCTCAGGCCTGGCCGGCCGTTGTGACTCCCCTACAGCGATGCGCCCTTCAGTGGCCCCAGGCGCCGGCAGTCAGTGGGAGCCGCCTGGTGGCTTGCAGCTGGAGCCTCTAGTTGGCCCGCTAGGAGGATTAAAACAAACTGCCCGTGTCATAAGACTTTTTCACGAAACACTTAGGCCAGAATCGGCCTAAAGCCCGAGATCACAGTGACGTCAAGGCGCCACTTACCTCAGACCTCTCCACCAGTCACGCCCGCCCAGAGATTTTTTCAACGGACCGAATGCCTAATGAAGGTACCGACAGGCAAACCCGACAGCAAACAAGACTCCGTAAGCCGCAAATTGAAGGACGGAGGCGGGACAACAAAACGCGAGCACCACTTGAACCTTACCCTCGCCCTTAGGTAATGCCAGCACCACCTCCGGTGGATGCTGACCCGACATGATAGCCTGCATCGCCCCAAGGATGGCAAGAAGGCCACCGGAGCATAGACACTGTGCTCGTATTGCAGAGACTAGGGCCCCTTCAGACACGCTGAAAACAACAGGTCTCGCCTGATTTACTCCTTGGGGCAGGTCGCCCGGGTCGCTCTTCGGTCCACGGACAATCTGACCCCGGAAAGCAGCAATCCAGCACCGAGACTAGGTACTTGTACACATTTGTGCGGTGAAAGGAACCAACCTGATGCTGATGCCCGACTAACTACTTGCAACAATGTCATTCGCGATGCTGTCTGGCCGGCCCTCATCAGCCCATGCATCCACATCCTAGTGCGCTGTCACCTGAGAAGCCGCACCTTGTATCACGCTGTATGCACTTCGTACAGCTTCCGCACTGCAACCATGACAGGCCCAGTGCCAGAACTCGGTGAAGCAGATCCACTGAGCTGTTTCATTACCGTCGTGCAAGCAGCATATCACTTTGATATCCACGATCAAGGCGTGCCTGATCATCATGATATCTATCCTTTACGAGATCATCCTGCCCTTCTTCCTGGCCCCAATGGCAAGTCTGCAGGTGAATTCGACCTCGAGTTCACAATAATCAGAAGTTAGCTCGTCAAGGACCTTGTCTTGACCTTGGGGTCTGTGTGTGTGTGTGGTCAGTCCTGTCAAGCAGCCGCAGACACATTGTTCATGAGAAGTGAGACCATGCCAGCCAACCTCGGCCCCAGTTGAGGCCGCATGTCTAATGGCACCGTGCAATGCAACAGAGAGAGACACGAGCGCGCGCACGGTAGCCATCGGTGCACCTACCTGCAAGTCTTGCCCGTGATCCTGGGATTCGCGCCTCACTCGCCTTGACCTCCCAAGCCCACGGACCCGACGCCCGAGGATCTACGGGGCCTGTGGTCGGCGTGCTCATCCAGCTGCCGTTGACAATCCCCTCCACATCGAGTACACCATCACTGATCGCCGTTTCAGGCTTTGGAGATAGTGCACCTGCGGGCCACACCACGGTCGAGTGTCGGCCCGTTTCCGATGTACCGATCCACAACCCGTTGGAAATTTGGCACATGCCGGGTCAGCCACAGGTCAACGACACGATCCCTTGGCCCCCGGTCATCCAAAGCAGGAGAGTCGAATGTGGCAAATTACCGTGTTATTGTGGTGGACTTCATGTCAAGAACTGCGAGACAGATTCACATGTCCCGAAAAGACGAGAAGCCAGGAAGCTCCGGCCTCTCTGTTCCGGCAAGTCTGTGCCATGCTCCGGTCAATAGTCTGCGGTGCTGGTTCACTGTCAGTGTTCAAGTGCAAGGTTCAGTATATGTACTGTACGTACTTACAGGTGCTGCATGTGTGTATGTCCCGGTATTTTGGGCAGGGGATGCTTGTGGTGTCCATCACTGCATGCCAAGAATGGCAGACTGCCACTCCGATCGGCATGTCAAAGATGAGATCTTGACGCGTGCCGCGCTGTGACGCGCAACAGCCCCATGATCAGCAGCCAGCGGTAGCAGCAAGACTTATCGACTGTCAGGCTTCAAGACTCAGATGCCGCTTACTCAGTAGCTTCTGCAAGGAATGATCCCAGGACGCACAAGTCGAGTCTCACCGCCGGGGCCCGGGGAGCGTGGGAGATGGTGTGTGACGAGGTTCCAGGGCATATACGTACGGAGTAGTTGGCAGTGCACAGCCAGGTGTTGGCACATAGTCAACACACGTTTGTCTCATTTGGTAAGATGGTAATAGATGCTGCAACTGCAAAGCCCAACTGGAACTCGGGCTTGCGGATTGCCTGGCCTGAGACGGGATCCATTGATGAGCACAGGATGATCACTAAGTAGGTACCGTAGTGGGCTGGAATTAGCGACTGTTGCCAGCTGCGCTGCCCGCCTCAAGAGCCAGGACCATTTCTGATAAGATAATGCAGCCACTTTGTCTCCTGGTCACGTGCTTTCCTGACACTGGGAGGTGCCTGCTCGCGTCTCTTAGCTTCTGGCCACAGACCCAACGCGTGCGCCCGCATTTGATCCCATTGCGGACTTCATCTCAGTGGGAATGACCAGTCTATGCACAGGCTCCCCCTTCAACAGCTCATATACAGGACTCAGCTCCTCGGACTGATTGCAATTGAGCTGCAACCACGTCTCAGACATGCACTGAGAAGCATGTCTTCTCTCCCCAGTGGCCAGAAGCGGCCGGCTTCTGAGGAGCGGGATCCCTCCATCTCCCCTCCGCCGCTGAAGCGTAAACTTCAGAGCACCATATCCAGTCAGTACACCATCTTGCTTCTATGCCTTCTTGGCTGCTCATACACGCTCTTTTTCACCAATACTGACCTCAAGACAGAGGATGCCGTTGCGAGCTTCTTCACACCTGCTTCGCAGAAACCCAAGGATCGAACGAATTGGACCGAACGAGCCCCCGACACCGACACGGCGGCGACACTGCTTGTCGCAAAATACGAACCCGCAGATATCGAACAGAAGCCCGAACTGCCGTCGAGCAGAAGCAAGATTGCAGCATTTGACCTCGATTCGACGCTGATCACGAGCGCTTCTGGAAAGAAGCATGCCGAAGACCCTGGTGATTGGAAGTGGTGGGACAACAGCGTGCCCGAGAAGCTCAGGAAGCTCTACTACGAGGAGGGGTACCGTATCATCATCTTCACGAACCAAGGTGGACTGACTCTCCACGCGGACCCGAAGGCAAAGGGGCCCAAGAATGCGCACATGAATCGGGTAGGCAACTTCAAGCAGAAGTGTAACGCCGTGCTCTCCCGACTCGACCTCCCTGTGACACTCTACGCCGCAACGGCCAAAGACATCTTCCGGAAGCCTCGAATAGGCATGTGGAGAGAAATGCAGGATGACCTCTCCGCGGGAGACATCGATCTGGAACACAGCATCTTTGTTGGCGACGCTGGCGGCCGAACCGCACTGCTGAAAGGGGGTGCCGTCGTCCCCAAAGATTTCAGCTGCTCGGATCGGAACTTTGCGCACAATGTGGGCATCCGGTATCAGACCCCAGAGGAATACTTCCTTGGTGAGCACCCGAGAGACTTCGTACGAGAATTCGATCTGGTCCACCATCCCTTTGCAGAACATGAATCGGAGCCTGGCCGGTCAGGGAGTATGATTTTTGAGAAAGTGAACAAAAAGGACATTGTTTTGTTCTGCGGACCACCCGGTGCGGGGAAAAGCACTTTCTTTTGGAAGCATCTGAAGCCTCTGGGTTATGAGAGGGTCAATCAAGACACGTTAAAGAGGTTTGTCGCCCCATATGCTCGCCTTGGTTCGTTTGCAGGTCTTTGTTGTGACATGCTGAGTGTTTCTATAGCAAGGAGAAATGCTTCAAAACTGCCAATGAGTACCTCAGGGCAGGCAAATCAGTGGCAATTGGTATGATAACCTGTAGTGTTGGCTTGACCCTCGTATGCAAAACTGACTGCTGCTCTAGACAACACCAACGCGGACGCGGCCATTCGAAGTCAATGGATAGACTTGGCCAAGCGGAACTGTGTCCCGATCAGATGTGTTTGGTTCAAGACACCGTTGGCACTCTGCGAGCACAACGACACGGTGCGGGCCTTGAACTCTTCGGTAAATTCTATTCCGGCCTGTCTCGCATTTCCCATTCATCAACGAATACTGACAAATTCAAGATGAACCCCGAGACAAGGACATCACTGCCACAAATCGCCTTTCGGGGGTTTTCGTCGAGGTTCAAGGAGCCGAAGGAGAAAGAGGGTTTCCAAGATATTGTTGAGTTGGAGTTCAAGTTCCGCGGAACGAAAGAAGAGCACGACATCTGGGCTCGCTACTGGCTTTGATTACTCAAGGCATCATTCTTATACCCCCGTGCGCTGTGCACTTAGGCGAGATTTGCGAGAGTGGACTTGATGACTGGGAGTTAGATCTCATTCCTAGTTACCATAAGGAAGGAGGAGTCAGGGTGATCACTCAAACATTGGCCAAGGCAGCTTGTTATCAGTATAATGGCAAATCTGTTGGAGCCGTTAGTACTCGCTCTTCAGTCATGATCATGGTCGAGGACTGAGTGTCGTCAAGCCATGCCATTAATCCTACGCTGGACATGGAACGACTCGCAGCGATGATGCAGTCCTATCAGGGAAAGGCCATCGAAGCTATATGGATGCTGTTTTAGACACGATGCTGAAACTGTCCTGGTACGTGTAGCCACCACTAAACCTACGCGAATGTGCATCAATATTGGCTCCCGAATCTCTGCAGAAGAAAGAAACCGTCCCTGTCCATCTTCATGTCTGCGATGGTGCCAACTTCAGCTTGGGTCCCAAATATGCACAAGGCTCCTGGGCCATGTCTACGGGTTGACAACAAGTGCCTTTACTTTAAGTACACTTGATTTCAGCTTTCATCCTGGGCAAGTATGATTGAGATTCACACTGATATATCAGAGACAACTTGTTAGCAGTTACATGAACTGGAGAATAACGGCAGAATTGGAAAACACAAAGTCAAGCCCGTACTTTTCGTACGGGTTGTAAGCGTTTGAATTGTAATTATATATTTGGTTTTTGTAACAAAATCTTTCATGATATTGAGAAGAAACGAGGGAGCTTCGGTGTCCATGACTAGATCGGCTTTGTGACTGGAATGAGTTGATCATTGTGAAAAGCATTAATAGCCAGTTCCATTCGCTGTTGTAGATTTTATCTTCAACATTGCATGTTCTCGATTGTATTGGAGATTATAGAAGCCAGTCTTTGTCGGGAGCCGGGTGCCTCGAGACAATTGAGATAACAAAATACTATACAAACATTTTATCAAGTATGGGTGAAAGGCGAGTGATTTTTCTTTTGTGGTAGCCTCGCCATTCCGAGACAACACATTGCTTCGCTTCGGTGTTTGTTGATCAGACATCCGAACGGTTCCGAACAACTTTCAAGACACGGGGTCACTTTCAATAAGCCTCGACGACTATCACTTCATGTGCTGTGAGGGTCCAGTCTCTCCAAGCAATGGGCACGAGCAGCTGAAATCTGTACCCGTGAGGGCCAAGTCTCTTTCCTCCCAGGTGTCTGCTCCCCTTGCCTCCCTGATCATCCCTCAGGCTGCGGTTGAATACATAGCATATGGAACTGGCGGGCTTAGCGCGCCCACCACTATAGCGACTTGGCATCGTTTTAATACTTCTATAAAGAGCTGGCTGGGCACAAGGAAATGACTCCCCAAGTTCAGATGTGCCGGATAAAACTTTGCCAAACACTACTTATGCGCATGATCCAGGCCCGTATACTCAAGGGCACATGACCAGTCGCCCAATCTGTTTACTATTCCTCTTGCCAGCATCATAACTACAGCAACCGGACGGGTCGGTAGAATCGAGAGAGAATCTTCTATGGATAAAATGGCTCCTGGGTGCACACGGGCCCTCATCATCACAATATCGAGCCGCGCGCGGGACCCTGACCCAACACCGGGAATCAGATGAGGCCACCCCTCCTTGACTTGGCGATAGTTGCCAACTCGTTCGTCACTGGTCAGAGCTCAACGGTTGAAATGCACATCCGGGACGCTGAACTTGTTGCTGAACTGGATTACTCGGACCACATTTCAGTAGGCCGCCCCCCAACAAACCGGATCAAGCCGAAATGTGAGAAAGATAAAGGCAAGACCCCCTGTCATAGCTGGAAGCCGAGGGTCACCGGTACGACTTTCGTTAAGATGGTCACCCCAGCAGAAGCGGCAGAGTCGCTGAAAGTCGAGACTTCACATGCTCCACCGATTCTCCAGTCATGGTATGCGTGGCGAAATCAGCCCGAAGCGGATGAGCAATTCGATGAGCGACGCACTCGCAAAAGCAGGGTTGTAATCATGCAGTAGTAGTGCAGAAAACTCTACTTTGCAGCTGTCCCGAGGCCTCACAGGGACCCAGAATTTCTTCCCAGACGCAGCGTGGGCCGACTCGTGCTCTCTTCGAGGTCCCGTTGCTGATCGGCATGGTCGATGCCTGGGAACCGGTCGTCTAGGCGCTCGAAGCCCCGCTTTCTTCTCTGAAGGTCGTGGTGGACTGCAACGATTTCGCGTCGAGAAGACCCTGATACAAGACTTGGTGGTTGTTAGAGTAGCGAATGGCGACGGTGGCTGACCCTCCATCAGAGACGGGCTAATGCAAGGGACGAGAAACTCCCGCGACTGACTTGCCCACCGGCTCAGTAACATGCCAAAAAAAACAACACTTTCATGTCTCCCGTCATGTCGCTGCGCGAGATGAATGGCCTTGCCAGGTTGACACGTCCTAATATTGAAAAGGTGGTCTGCCAACCTTCTAGCTCGCATCTCCGAGGGGCGATGGGAGCTAGGCCATGACGGGGAAAACCGTTGAACTTTACCTTGCAGATCTGCTTGGCTTGCCTCCTCCTTGATAGGTTCGGGAAAGAGATGGCTGCTCAGCCGATGCATCGCGAGTTTGCTGACATGACTGAATGGCTGATTCCCAACACTGGTTACTTTCAGCCTGCATACGGACTCTTGTTGAGCGGATCCCTGTTCTCGCTGCTCGCAAAAGGCATCTTGGTGATGTCGTGGTACCATTACAGCTCGGTTCCGTGGGAAAAGGGGGTCGAAACGGTCGCCAGATGGCCTGATGCAGGCTGGAGGCTGACTTTATTGCTGTGGGCAATCACGGCACCAGCAAAGTGAAGTTCCTTGACGCGCAGGACGGACGGACGGACGGTGACACGACATCCCGTCATCATGTAAGTCATCTGCCGCCATTTGCTGGATGGCACTGGGAGAGCCGGGAAATGGCGCATCGCCAACCGGGTACCGTAATCTTGTTAGACCTCTCCCCGCGAGTCCCGGGCAGCGAGGCGAAGCGTTCATTTGGCGGGACGGGCCTCTGCTCGGGTCAAGAGAAGCCCAACATGCACGCAGGCCGGGGCTGAATTGCTGCTTGCGGCGCAGTTGCAGCACATAAGAGATTGCTGACCAGCCATTGGAGAGCGGGATGCGACCGGTGAGGGGGCGGCAGACACTGCAGAACTTCTCGATGGAGTAGACTTGCTCAGTGTACGCAATCACATGTGCTCTGGCGGGAGAGCAGATGCGAGGCTGGGGGCCATTTGCATCGCAGAGTAGATGCTTGTCTCGTAAAGCTCAATCGCAGCAGGGTAGGTATCACAGCATGGGCACAGGCTGGAAGGCAGCGACACATCGGCACTTGCGTCGAGGAATGGGATCGAATTTCTTGTATTGCATTGGCTGTACCAGTACGGGCTCGTCCCTCCGTGATGGCCAAAGAAGAACCGGACACACGAAGGATGATGAAGGAGAGGGAGCGGTTCGTGAATGCAACCGCACTTGGCACACCACTGGGTACCAAACGACGCTTTGGGCTCGGCCTCAGAATGCTCAGACCGCTTCCATCCCAGGGAAGGAAGACCAGAATGGGGGATGAGAATGACCTGGAAACAACAGGTACAGCGGCGGAAAAACCGGGGAACGACACCAGCACTGACGGCACTGGAGGCTCGAGGCCAGCAAGGAAGGCCCTTGCACAATTCGGTTCAATCATGTTGGAACTCCGAATCTGCCGTGTTTTGGGTGGTCAAGAAACTTTCAAGACTGATGCGAGAACAAGGTACGGTACACTCGCTTGGTCTGGTGTTGTTGGTCCTGACCTGAGAGAGGACATCAAGCACATGCTCACCCAAGAAAACATCCGCTACGGCTGGTGATTGCGCAGTGGTAACAGTTGAGCCCCCGCTTGGAGTATCGTGGCAGCCCTCACAATCATCATCGGGCTAACCAAAGTCGGGAACGCTCTCTCTCTGGCAAGCTTCACTCTGCCTCTCCATGTACTTGATGAGAGGAAGCCAACGATGGAGAAAGAAGACCAACTTGAACTGGTAAGTATATTGGAAATAAGTGGCAGCTAGGACAGGAACGTGTGAGGGGTTGACAGCTTTGTCGAGTGAAGGGGAGTGGAGGGCTTGGAGCTTCACTTGTTGACAAGGCGCCTGATCGACGGACACGCTAAGGCAAGGTACGCGATGCTGGCCGAACCAATGGGATCGTCCAGAGGTTCCCCGTCGCCAATCAGGTCCAGGTGCGTGTTTTCGTGCACCCACTGTGGGTGGTGAGCAAGCTTCCTCCATGGCAAAGCGTCTTGCCAGCCAGAGGAAGCATCAGAAGTACCTCTTCTTGTTTGGCCATCTCTGAGATGACTTGCATCTGCACAATTCATCTCGAGTCTTTGTGCGGGGCATTTTCTTCTCAAATCTTCGCTTAGAGATGCTCTCTGGCCCACGGATGTCTCTCGCTGTACAACTGTAAGACTGTAATGTCTTGGGCCACCACTCGGGACCCCATGGGCCAGGTCGTTTTCCCGCCTGCTCTCTAAAATTTTATTCTTATTCTTCGCGCTCTGGTCCGAGACAACAGGGAACGTCAAGCCGTAGGTGATGCATCCGCTGTCTTGACAAGCAGGGGAGCAGGGAGAGCATAACTACAAGTACCTACGGAGTCGATGGGTGAAGTCTGGCGCCGGTGATCGGGGGCTCTAGACCAATCCATCGAGTGGGAGACTAGCCCGAAGGACGGCCACGCTTTACTGTATGGGGCAACCCCCCGACTGCTGGACTGCCTTCGTCAGCATCTCTTCCGGGTCTTGGTCAGCACAACCAACAAAGTATTGCGTGGATGTGACAACCCACCTAGACTTTCCTCCCCTTCTCTTCCCCTCCAATAGGTACCTCACCAGTAGAGTACCTGAGGAGGTTGAGTATCTACTAAAGCAAGTGTCTGTGTGTACTTGTAAGAGGGGCAACGAGACCCTGCAGCTCGGCAATTAGATAACTAAGTAGCATGCAAACCGGGTTGGAAGAGGTCAACAAAGACGAAGAGCTCAACCGATTGCTTGTGTGCATGTGGATGCAGGAAAAAGCTGCCCGCCCGTCCTGGGCCAGGAAGAGAGATACGAGAGATACTCCGAAAACTGTCGACACAATTATTTCATCATGCCATCATTGGGTGGTCTTTTCGGGCCACTTTGAAAATGTGGTACAAGTACCTAGAAACCGCCCATACGACAGGTTGCAGTTCGCTGGCCCTTGCATTGCTCGATCCAGTGCTGTTTGTTAGGTACCTACCTAACTACGTGCCTAGGACATGGATCCGTAACTACCTAGGTAGCGCTAGCAGGGCTTGGCTGCCAGCAGCTTGGGTGCTTTCGGAGCATCTTCAGGGCGCAGCAGAGAAAAGGTGGTGGCACAGTCCCTCGCAGTGTGCAGCCGCCGGGAACGATGGATGATGGATGTCTCTATCAGTCAACTAACTACCTAACTACTTATCTCGGGTGCCTCGTAGCCGCGCTCACCACAGGCGGCTAATGGTCACAACACAACTATTGAAAGTCAAAAGAGGATCGCGGAGAGACCAAAGGCACTGGGCTCGTGCTCCTTGAGGGGAAGCGGGGTGGGGAGAGGCACGATTCCCACATCGTACTTTGTAGAAGGCGAGGCAGTGTGGACAGAGGCAAGAATTTGGGTGTACCTACCTTTGAGAGACCCGGAAGGGGTTTCCACATGGGAAAACAAAACGGTGGCAGGGCATTGCAAACTGCCTACTCCGGACGCACGGCTGAGAGAGCTGGGATAGCAGGCAAGCCAAAGCCACAAAGCTGTGTGCTGTGGCTCGGACTGGAAAAGCAACCGTGGGAGCTAGGAATCGGAGGGAAAGAAATATTAGTTCAAGTGCAACGTCGGGAGCCTGCTCCAGGGCAGCACACGGCAGATCTTGCCCCTTTGGTCGCGCCGTATGGAAAGTGTCATCATCATCACTGGCGTAGAGTTTTCCTCTGCATGCGTGTGCGCGCGCGTGTCTTAGCACGGTTGTGGTCCGTGCCGCCACCAGCCATCGATCCCACCGTCTGGGCTGGTGCGCCCACCAGTTGTGTCAGTGATCGGTGATGCTTGGGTGCTTTGACCGTTGGCCCCGCCATGTGTAGGATCGGTCTCCGTAGCCTTGTTACGGATCGAGTCAGTGTAGGTGAAGAAGAAAGAAAGAGGCGAAGTTGATGGTTAGCAAGCATTCATACTCCGTAAATGCGCCACGACCTGCCATCTGCCTGCCAACGTAGGCATCTCGCATGGAACCATGACATCTGAATCCCCCTTGGCCAGGCCGGTGGTTTCATCAATGTCTGCCATGACGGGGAACATGGAACCCGGTCCCATAGTTACGGAGTAACAGGCCCGTAACCGAGTCATCAGAAGCGGGAGCGTTTGGAGAGAGAGAGAGAGAGAGTGTGTGTGTGTGTGTGCTTGTGTGTGGTATCAACAAGCCTCGGGAACAAACAGTGTTTGTCATTGTTTGTTTCCTGCACAGCGGAGGAGACTGCCTGGCTTCACCCCATTCCCCCATTCAGCGAAACCAGCGAGACCAGTGGAAACGTGGAACAGCGAAACAAAGCAGATTTGCCAGACAAACACACAGCTGGGAGCTGAACCTTGTCTGTCAGGCCTGTCCAAAGGAAGATGTGCGCTGTCATGACCCACCACCGAAAGGCCTCAGGCATGTAAAGTACATCACTTAACCGGAGCAAGGACCTCAGAGAAGACGATGAGAGAAAAAAAAAAAATCCTCGGTAGACTACCTAGGCCGTTGGGTACCTCGCAGTGGAACACCACGGAGGCTGGCAATGGTTTGGTGGCTCCAGTGGCTCTCTTCCTTGGGACCTAGAGCCTTTCCAGGCAAGGCGCGCCCCGATTTAGATCCCGGCCTAACGTCTCCAGCGAGAACCGGGAGCAGATCCATCGATTCTTGGGAGGGATAAGAAGGGAAAAATGAGAGAGCCTAGACTGGCGTCGGCGGCGCACGACAGTAGCGGTGGGCTAAGAAGCTTCTGGTCGGTCTAGCTTGCACCCTTGTCAACAAAGCCCTTGGAGCTTTGACGGAAGCCACCCCGAACTTTTTCACAAGCAAAGTCAAGCCGCTCGGGGGAGACAGAAGAAGCCGAGAGAAGAACAGACAGAGCCTGAGCCTGAGGAGGTGCCATGACGATGCCCACCCGCCCACTAACCCACTCACCCACCCACATTCTGGTTTGCCATCCAGGCTCTCAGACTCGGGCTTGTTCACTCGGGCTTGTTCCCCATCGGCCGCTAGAAAGTTAACTACCTAAGGTGCTTGACCTACTCGTAGTTATGTACAAGTAGAGCTAGCACGGTTTCCACGGCTAGGCAGGTACTCCATCGTCGTCAGACTTCCAAGGTTGTCCGGCGGTCCTTTGCCTGGCCTGGCGCCTCTGGGTAAAGTACCTAGCACAGGTACCTTACCTTGCCTAGCCAAAGTATTGTACAGGGACCCCGTCACCCACTCCCGCAGTTCCGCTGCCCTGGCTGGCCGCCCACACCCACCCTCCAAGCAAATTCCCGCTCCCGCCCATCATCTTTCCCTCGTGGGACCCCGTCTCTCTAAACCATAAACTCTAACCTCCAGTCCTTCTCCATTGTCAACTCGTCAAATGCCAATCCGAGCTCGAGAGCCAGTCGATCCTCACCTGCAATCGATTTTTGCGACGACAAAAGGCGCGGCGTAGAGCGAACCATTATCAAGCCAAGGGCCGCCTGGTTCCTTCCCAGCGAATGCAATTGCCCAACCTTGACTTGGCTTGACTCACGTGGCTGGAGAGAAGCTCTTCTGCTTCTTTTTTTTCTCCGTCCTTCTCCCACCTCTTTTGAGCCATTGCGCTGCACCACGACACTCGCTGTGCATTCTTCACTTTGACTCGACGTCGGAGGCTATTGGAGGAGCATAGAGGCGGTCGGTTACTGCGCGTGTGATTGGAAGGAAGCGGTGTACCTTTCCTGCGTTTTCCTTGGCCCCCCCCGAGATCCTGGACAACACACAAACGACCACAGGCACAGGCACGCCCGCCGCACCACTGGCAGCAGCAGCAACAGCAGCAACAGCAGCTAAACCAGACGCAGCAAGCAGCCTTGGAACCCCACGCCCGACCAGCGCACGCATCCGGGGCCAAGCAGAGTAACGGCGCCCGATCATACACGTGGAACCAGTCCTGACTTTGACACTGCCGACTCTCGACTACCCTTCTCTCGGCCCTCTGCTCATCCCCCACCGCGCGCGCGCGTGTGTGTGCCTCCCAAAGCACATCCCTCCCGGAGTTTCCACGTATGCACCCGACGCACGCTGTCGATACCCTGGCGAGGTAGACAAACTGTGACACGCTGAGCAATCACCTCCCGGCGCCCATTCATCACCACTCTTCAGACCGTCTACATACCACCCTGGCAAGCCAGCTTGGTTGCACGACCCAACCCAGGCGACCTTCTACCACCCAAACCTCTCCCCTCCCCACGCGACCCCTACCTCTGCCCCAGACCGCCTGTGGTACCCAACCAAACCTGGATGCGAAGACAAGACAGCTCCAGCGCCAGAGCATCCAGCCCAGTGGGAACGGGGACCGGTCCCTGAGGGACGACTGCTTCGAGTCAGAGGACGATAGATATATATATATCGGCCATCTCGACGCGACAGTGGATACCATTCGACTCGACTCACCATCAACAGCGTTTCGTCTTGGAACTGTCTATTCTCTCCGACGACTTGAGCTACGACGTCTTGTTCACGGTGCTCTTTGCCCCGAACCAGACCTGTTCCTAGCGGCTTTCTTGAGACCTTCATCTTCGTCGCTACAGGCCCGCCCTTCTGCGTCACCGGCTCTTCCTGACAATCGCCCCGACCAGCTCGCGTAAATCAAGATCATTTCCCGAGCGTCCCTGCCTATGTTCCAACGTCTTCTCCAAACACACCTCCACATGCACACGGCAACATGTCGCCCAAACTCAAGCCTTTACTTCTCCCACAGCTCGTCGAAGAACGGCGGATGTTAGAGGTACAACAGACGATGGTCCCTGACGTCGATCCGTCCCACGTCTACTCTGCCGATAACACCTCTTCGTCCGACATTGCATCTCCCGTCACACCCACTTTCTCCCAGCGCAGCGGCCATATGCGCTACTCGAGCTCTTCATCGTCGCTCGAGCTCATGCCCCCGGCGCCTCTTTGCACCGACAACCCCGTATCGCCAACGCAATTGGCATATACCAGCAAGTCCGTCAAAACCCAACTGCCAGATGTCCAGGAGGACCCTGCCGAGAGGGAGGAGGAGGAGCACACCTTGGTCCGTAGCGAAATTGGTGCGCTCGACTACTGCCTCTGTATGTATTGAATCTGCCCGGGTCCCCCCTGGAGACGTCCCTCTAGCTTTTATGACCTACTAACATGCACCAAGGTGACGAACCATGCTCCCATAGCGAGAGCAGCACGTTTGACAACCCCGGCGTCTTTGACTATGACTATGATACCGGGTTCCTGAGCGACAGCGACTTCAGCACCAGCTCACGGTCCAAGAGGCGGCGCCATGTTGCCGCCGATTCTCTCTCTGGCATCACATCCCAGATCACCTCCAGGATACCCGGACTCTCCCGCCTGCGCTCCAACAGCAAACGCTCCAACATCACTTTCACGCCCGCTTCTGATCCTTCTCTTGATCTGCGACCCACCCTGTCTCGCGCAGCTTCCAGCCGATCTTCATCCATCTCCGCCCCCGTCCGCCATGTCCCAGATCGTTGTTTCGAACCCCCTCTGCCGCCTACCCCAGCGTTGTCCTATTATGGGAGCACTGAGAGCATAGTGATGCCCCCAGCCCAGGACATCGACTTTGTCAGTGTGCAGCAGAGTCTGGAACGTGAGCGCGCCATGGCGACCACGCCATTGCTGCCACCCCTTCTCACTAGCTTGCCTTCTTCCTCGCAGCCTCAGTCTGTGGCACAGTCACCGTTGCAGTCACCGACCATCGCCCCGAGCCCGTCCACTGTGGACCCTATGGCTTCTCAAGTCTTCTCGCTGCCGCCGTTGAGCACAAAGCCTTCGCTATCGTCGTTCCGTCCGGTCATAAGCCCCAGCGCCTCAGCCCCACCGACTATTGCGTCATCGGAGCTACCGTCGCCACTACCACCGACCTTTGACTTGCTTGAGCAGAACGACGCCTGGTCTGATCGCCTAGGACACGCAAACTACACGATCAACCCCAAGCCATATCAGCCCGATACCGCCAGCCTTAGGGCGCTGCAAGACTACAGGTCCGACTGGGACCAGGCGCGAGTCAACTACACGAAGCACTTGGCTCGTACCGGCGAGCACTACGGTTCTACTTCCAAGACGTTTCATCTCACCGAGGCCAAGTGGGCCGAGACCGAGGAGCACTGGAAGGTTGAGCATGACATCCTGGTCGACCGGATTGTGGCCACGGGCGACTATGACGCTCTGCCGCAGCAGGAGTGGTCGCGCCTGCAGGGCGAAGTCCCCAGCATTATCCCGAGGATGCTCGATGCCAAAGGGAAATTTCCCGAATTGGGTGACCAGGAAATCGTGGGGCCCATGGTCCGTGACGCCGTCATGGTCCGAGACCAGCTGACAGCCGATGAACGCCAGAGCACATCCAAGTTCTGGAAGAGTCTGGCCGGCAAGGTGGGCCTGAGAAAGTGAAACACCCGAGAAGGGGAACCGGACGTTTGCGACGTTCTCGAATCAGAACGTCGAAACGTCGCTGATGACTGCATGTTTGCATACGAGTGCCTGTGGCTCTCCGAAACGACGGATTTCATGACCCTAGAAAAACGGCCTGCAGCGCCGATCAGTTCTGTTATTTTCTCCCATTTGTCGATTTGCTCGTTTTGTTCTGCCGTACGAATCGGCAACCGAGATACCCCTGACTTCAGTCACTCCTTTACACGTCAGCTGAGACTGGCGCGGCAGTGTGTCGCCTCTTGCCTGCATCTGCGGATGCGTAGTCTTGCAGCATACATGGCGACACCTTGTTACTGTTTATTGTCTAGATCGAAGAAAGATATTGTACAACTCGCCACAGGATCCCTTGGCTTGAGCACATCTTGCCCATATCCTCGCTGTGCCACCTCATGTAATAAAGGGGACATTTCATGTTGCCCAGTCTACATATGCAACAATTCTTTTTGTACAAACATAGAGATCGCGATGGTGTTTGGCTGGTTGGATGGGATCCTCCAGAAAAGCGGCCGCCACCCGGCGCGGTGGAATCTGGGAAAAGTCAAACGGGTATATATAAAAATAGACACTTGCATGGATTGATCTTGGAGTGGCGCCCTTGGTGCGTATGATATGTTTCAGACTTGTATCTATCGGCGATGGTAACGAGGAACGCTCAGGGTACAGGCAGTCGTCTTCACAGTCGCACGAGCCTTGGCGTGTATGTACGAGGTGCTCTGCTAGAAATGTACATTTGTTTCAGAACAAGAACTTGCAGCCGGCCGAGAAGGATGTTGCAGGTTCTCCCGAAGGTGGTCTAAAAGTGCGTAGCTCGTCGTCATATGGCTGTGCCTGCTCCAATTGTCGAGATCGCCTTGACACGATAGAGCTCCGGTGTGAGACTCAAAGACCAGCTGCTTCAACTACTATCTGGCAACTCGTATTTTCTTTTTTCAAGTAGGCTCCTGTCTATTCCGGCGGCCGGCTTCATGTTCGATCCTGGTTCTCTTGACGCCTTTGCTTCCTGTATTCTTCATGCTTGTCACTTTGCTTATTTCCCTCAGTCTCAAACACCTGGTAGCGTTCCCGATCGCTGAAACACGTGGCGCCGTCGAGATGGACGCAGAATGGGACCTCCTCGGGATCCTGCAGATCCAGGAAGCGAGGACTCAGGCCCGAGCCGTGCATGCAACACCGGATGCGTAGAGAGGGCGGGAAAGGGCTCGGGAGAGAGAAGGGGGAGGAGATCGGCTTCATCTGCCCAATCTCCACCGCTCTACCACCATCGCGGTGCGAGGATGGGCCGATGGACGACGGGCTTTTACGGCACGAGCGGCGGCTGCTTGCAGCAGAATATGCTCGTCGTTCTACGACTATTCCATGGAGCGTCGGTCAGAGGATGGTCGACCTATGACACAGACCTCTTTTGCCCTCTCCGTACGACCCCTAGCTGAGGTGCCACCCGTGCCTGCCGGGCGTTGGGAGCACTGCCTCGAGCGAACGCGGAGGGAGGCGCGGTGAGACGGTCGCACGGTGGGTTGTGGTTTGGCATGACGGTGAGCCCTGGTCTGGTCGAGCTGTGTGGATCATCGGTGTATCGCTACACAGGAGGATGTTCTTTGGTGGACGGACTGCCTAAACCCTCTCCCACCGGAAGATCAGTGGCTTGCATGTGGTTTTTGAGTTGCGATATAGTTCTTTGCCACTGGTGAAGGGGCCCTGGCGTAAGTTTGGGGTGTGTGGACGGATGGTGGGCGGTGATACAAAGCCAGCCACGCTGCCATATACGATCCACACCAGACATCGGGCCCCTCGTCTTTGCCGGCAGTACGCCAACCAGGGACTCAGTTGAATGTAAAAGGGCGCCACCCCGTCAGAGGAGTTTCAGCTGAAGAGAATCTGGGGTGTTGTAAGGTCTGTTTGGGTCGAAACTCCGGGCTAATCATGTGGCATTATGCCATGTCTTTAAACTTTGAAACGCTAGGGTAGGCGAACTTACGCTGGATCCAGCACAACGGAACGGTTATACCCAGACTGTCACTGTATTCGAGGGAAATGCTGCCCACGGCAAGAATAGACGAAGTTCAACAGTCGAAAGTCTTGGAAGAGCAAATACGTTGGACCACGTACAAAAGCTGTGTAAGCCACGGGTTGACTGATTCCTTCCAAGAAAACTCTTCTCTTTATGTCGGGTAGATGCTTGAAGATAGCTCGGCCAACATCTACAGTACGGAATTTGGACTTGAAAGAGTTTCCAAGTACCTAGACCTGGATAAGATGTATGATTGGAATGGGCGCGGGGCTCGAAGTCTTGTCCGCTATTGTGGATGGGAATCTACAAGTGCTACACGGGATGAGCACCCAAATCAAGCAAGAGTGCTGAACCAGTCAACTATTTCTTTTATACCTCTATCCTGTGAGAGTTCTGTTGACTATTTGACGGTAAATATAGGACTCTTCATAGCGGCAATGCCTCATTCTCGTGTCCTGCCAAAACTTACAACTCACCAAGCGATCCCTCCGGTTGACAGTGCCCAGAGTAAATACATGTACTGTTGTGCAGAACCCACAAGATCGAGATAGGATTGTTCACATATGACTCCCATTTCTCAAGATGATTCATTGGTAGAGTTATACTTAGGTGAGTGGACGCCTTTTGTTGCGATGGTCAATCGGCCGCCGGTGATTGGGTTCATACCCCCAGCCCTTTTGACGTCACCCACACACACCCAACCTTCCGATCGCGGACCCCTCCGACTTGCCCCGCCTCACCTCGGGGGCGCGCGACCGACACCGATTTCTCGGCCATTGCCCGTCCACGTATGCGTCAGTTAGTCCGAATCATCATTTGAACCACTTCAACAAGTCATCATCGAGAAGGTGGTGTTGTATCGGGGCTTTGTCTTCTTGGTCCCTTCAACTGGACCTCCTCTACATTGTTTCACACTACCACGGGCCTCCAGACAGACACAGACAAACAGTAGACAGCCACTCCATTGAGTCACAGGCCGCCATCATGGGGACACGAATCGAGACAATTGCTCTGCAAGAGCCATCTTTAGGACATGAGCCAGATCAGGAAGTCTCGCGCCCCGAAATGAGCGACGAGAGCATCCGGCCAGCTGATGCAAGAAACCGCGATTCAAGCAGGGCTAGGCTGTCCGCTCTCGCGGGCAATGCCGTACTGCAACTGCCCATCTGGGGTAAGGGTTCAAGCGGACATTTGTGTGCTCTCAGTGCATCATGCTCATCATCGCGTGAATAAACAGGCTTTGCTATGAGTTACGGCGTTTTCCAGGAGTACTATTCCTCAAACTGGACCTTCGCCGGGAATCGGGATGTCACTGGTATCATTGGCACCACGTCCAACGGTGTCATGTATCTCTCCATGCCGATCCTCTTCGCCATGTTCACCAGAAGATGGGCGCATAAGCGCCAACTCGCCGCACTCTGCGGCGTCGCCCTGACATGCCTAAGCTTTCTCTTGGCCTCCTTCAGTAGCCATGTATGGCATCTGGTTGCGACCCAGGGTGTGCTCTCAGCCCTTGGCTGCGCTCTCGTCTACAGTCCCACAACTCTGTCTCTGGGTGAGTGGTACAGCACAAAGAACCGGGCAGTCGCATACGGCATCGTTCTGTCGAGCAAGAACATAGTGGGATCCACATGCCCATTCCTCCTACGAGCGCTTCTGGACCGCTACGGATTCCGCATGGCCATGGTGTCGTGGATGGCAATCACGGCGGGCACAGGTCTTGCTGCCATCTTTCTGGTTACGACACCCTCTACCACTGTGGCTCAAACTCGTACCAGCCACCCGTCGACGCGTAAAATACCCTGGCACTTCTTGAAACACCAGACCTTCTACATTTATACGGTGGCGATCGTTCTGCAGAGCTCAGGCTACGGTATCCCGCAGACGTACCTCAACACCTATGCCCACGACGTGACCCTGCTGTCGCAGACAACGGCGACTTTGATGCTAACCATATTCAATCTTCCCGGAATCATGTCGTCTTCCTTTTTCGGATATCTCAGCGACAACCCTCACTTCAGGCTTTCCGCATCGACAGTGACTTTCATCTCCGCCACCAGCTCGGCCGTGTCTGCCTTCTTGTTCTGGGGTCTCACGTCGCCGGGGAGCCTGGGACTTCTCATCATGTTCTCGATGACCTTTGGGTTCTTCGCTGGCGGGTATAGCGCAACGTGGGGAGGCGTGATCAACGAGATGGAGAGCGAGGCCGCGGAGAGAAACGAAGCGATTGATACAGGCATGGTTTACGGTCTGCTCAATGGCGCCAGGGGCGTCGGGTATGTAAGTGGCGGTCTCGTCGGTGTGCCCCTGTTGAAGGCTGGAAGCCTTGGGGCTGCTGGGAAGTTTGGCTACGGCACTATCTACGGGCCGTTGATCATATTCACAGGCCTCTCGTCAATGTTTGGTGGCTGGGGGATGTTATGGAGGTGCAAAGGGCGATTTCAGCGCCGAAGCAGATAACTAGGCCGACGGGGTACCCCTGTACACCACATTCACGTTACCTGTAGCGTTAGATGTGAGGAAGAGGAAGTAATGTCATTATTCATTGTTGGTTGCGTGCGTCAAGCAAGGGATTCGTGTACCTCAGTTCCTGCAGAAAGACTTCTGAATCTCGGACCTTCTTGGCTTCCTCGGATTCTTTCCACCTTGCAAATCTGACCACTACTTTGAGATCGACGTTGTGTTGCTCCGCGGGCATATACATCCACCGCTGCTCGTCGCCGTTCCAGCTGCGACCGGGCATGTATGCTTCGAGCATGTAATAGTTGTCGCGGTGAAAGGGGAAGTCCAGGGTTGGTGGCCCACTGGCCTCTAGGAATTGGTCGGTTTCCGCGGCTTCGTCCCCTTTGCTCAGCTTGAACCGTCTTCGCTGATTCCCTTTGTTCTGTGCATGGCGATGGATGGACCGTACAGTGTTGTTGAGTTGTATCTGTAGGATATGTGCATACAGTAATCGGTCAGCCAAAGCTTCTCGGACGAGAGCAGCATGGCTGGAGAGAAGGGTGTGGTTCCACTCTGGAGATTTACCCCTGGGAATGATGGGGAGAGCATTGCCTTGATCAAGATCCCCCTGCCAGTGGGCAAAATCCAATACTAGGCATAGAGAGTTCCACCGCAAAAGGCATGTGAGGCAGGTGCAGATAAGGGTGGGATCCGGCAGCGGTACGTGCTGGTACGGGCGTTTGTGGATGGCCATGATGTCCTCGCGGGCGACCAGTTGCAAGTCTCCGTGCAGCTCGGGATCCACATCTGCCAGAAGCACTGGGAGGCGGAAGCACCTTTCGAGGATCCGGTAGCGTCGCTTGATGATGGCGTTTGCTATGTTATCTCGCTCTCGATGAACAAAGTCCCGCATGTTGCGGTTGACGGCGGAGAATCTGACAACATCGCCCGGGTGAAGCATTGAAAGCATCAAGACCAATAGCTCGTAGGGCAGATTCAAGATAGCGCCCGAGCGTGACGCTGCCCGCGCTGCCCTGCTCTGCTGCCGCCTTCGTTGTCGCTCGCTTCGTTTTGAGTGCAGTGACAAGTCGGCGGTGAGGTCGACCAGCTCCTCTTCATCGGTGTCGTCATCCCTGTGGCGTCGCGCAGCTGCGCTGCGAGGCATCGCGCCTTGCAACGTGTGTGCGTGTGTGTGCTGGAGATACCGGAGCGGCCGTGTCGTCGGTGACGTCGCAGGCGGAACGATTGAATTCAGCGCGGCGATGAAGAGTAAGGCGCGAGGATGCGTAACCGCCCACCCCGCAGCCAAGCAAGACGATTGGACGGTCTGGAATCGGCAATGCTGATGAAGCGGGCGCAAGAGACCTTCACCAATATGCTTAGGTTCCTGTACTCGCCTTCGGCGCACACGATGCTCCCCTCGGGGTGGGGAGAAGGAGGCCCGGGACTCGATATGGTTCAGTGCTGTCTTGCAGCTCGTTCCCACAGTCTATCTGCGCGCTACGTCAGTGAACAGCAACGCCGAGTGTGGGGCTAAAGAGACACTTGCAGCATTCGCCACCATATTTCAGACCCAGCAACGTGGTCCCGTGCTGGCCCATACAGAAATCGTAGCATGTCTTGACAGTTACGGCGCTATAGTCGACCTGTGTGGCAGAAGTGAGCGCGCCCTCGGTGCAGCATCCGAGGTAGAACAAGCCGGACGGCAGAGGCGGTGGCCCGCCCGAATGGTAACCCCTAAATTGTCTCGCGTGTGTGGAGTTTTCAAGGCAACAGACCTGTTTTGCCTCAGTTTGTTTATGCGCGGGCACGATGAACAGTGGAAAGAGCAGCACCTTATGCTCTCCTCATGACGAGCCTGTGGTCCAAGAAAAGATCAGCTATCTGCGGCAAGCAGGCAGTCCGGAGGGTCAGCTCATCGACGCCATCTGGGCCGAGGACATTGATCGGTGCCGTCAAGTGCTCGAAACACACCCGAATCTCGTAAACGATGATTTATACCACCGTACCAAGGAAGCTTTCCACCGTGGCGGCGTGGCAGACGACTACGAGGCCATCCGTGGCCGGCTCACACATCCCCTGGCTTTGGTGCTGGAGCTGCCCAGCTTCAAAGAAGGGAACCGTGAGCAGCGCAGTCCCTCCCCGGCCTGTATCGCCATCGCGGAGATGCTAGTCGACATGGGGGCCAGGTTCGCGGCGAAGGGCCCGGGTGAAAGATCGATATTAGAGGCGTGTTTGAATTATGACAGCCCGGAAGCTCTTCGACTGCTGGTGCGTGCGGGGGCCAACATTCTCGCTGACGAGGTGAACGATCACGGTTGCGGCTTTCTACATGCTGCAGCTGCTCGTGGTGCTTCTGGAGCCGTCAAGCTTCTCCTAGACAGCGGGTGGTCAGCAAACGTCTTTGACCATGGATAGCTTGGCAACACACCACTCTATTACGCGGCCGGAGCTGGCCGTCTCGAGGTTGTCAAACTCCTGCTCAGTCGTGGCGCCATAGCAAGCCTGGAGATTGAAAACTCTTTGGACCTTACCCCTCTGCTTTCTGCGTTGCTATGGGGCTCGGAATGATAATGTTAAACAAGTGTAGTACCGGAATGACGGACCTGGGCCTTGTCATTGAGATCCTCCTCCGCCATGGTGCCAAGCAGACCCAGGCCGCGCTTGAGATTGGCATCAAACATGGACTCGACCTACTCCCGCTCAAGCTCCTGGTTGAGCATGGTGCGGATGCTCGCCTTGTTGAGCCTTTCCTGGAGAAGCACGCCAACGCCCATCACCTCGGAGGGGCCAAAGTCACGCTGCTTCACGAAAGCTCGATGTACTGGCAAGAAGCAAGTGTTGGCGCCTTGATAGAGCTCGGGGTGCTGGCCGACTCCTGTGATGAATACGGACGAGAGCCCCTGCACTGGGCTGTGGCCAGGTGTCTGGGGCACACGTATCCGAGCGAATGCCCTGATGTCTGTCTCACGCGGACGGAGCTACCCGAGCAGTTTCTGACTGCCACGATCACACAGCTTCTGCGGCACAAAGGCAACCCAAACAAGCAAGACCAGTTCGGGAGGACACCTGTTCATTACGCCGCTCGCAGTAAACTCTACGGTGCATTCGGTCTACTCCTGGAGCATGGGGGCTCGGCAAGTCTGCAAATCGCGGATTCGATCGGCCAGACCCCGCTGCACCACCTGACCACACCAGTCATCGGCGACTGGAGACTTTTGTACGAGACCCTCAACGAAGAGCATCTCGTCGGCATGCTGTCCGCGTACCAGTACGATGTCGACCAGAAGGACAGCTCCGGGAGTACCCCGCTGCACATCGCCGCGAGGCAAGGCAGTCCCGTGCTCGTGGCGCTGGTGCTCGGCCTTGGTGCCGACCCCGGTGTGCGTGATGCCCATGGGCAGACAGCCTTACATCACGCCGCCCTCAGACCAGCATGGCAAGATGCAGAAGAACTGAATGACTGGTAACACCAGCAACAGCATGATGGTGATATTAGGGCTGCAAATATAAAGAAGCTGCTGATTGCAGCTGGTACGCCTATCTATAACCAGGATGATACTGGACGTACGGCAGATGATATTGAAGCGGCAGAGGCAGAACGTATCCGCTGTAAGAGGGAGAAGCATCAGATGTGGCTCGAGCAGAATCGCCCGAAGCATACCGGGATGGGGCGGGGAGTCTGGAGACCCGGGATGAAGCCATGGGAGTTCGGAGCATTCAGAGGCCGATCGCAACCAGAATGAATACCTATTTTGGTAGCCTTGATAGTCTACTGTACTGAAGGGCCTAGTATGTTGGCAAGGTGCCGTAAAACAGCGCCCGAGTGCGCTTTCAAGTACTTGAGAGCATGAGTCTTCAGCTAGATTCAGGTTGCAGAGGCCTTGGCCTACCGTAGATATTGAACTGATAATCTCTGGAACTATTTTGCTAAGACACATTCGTGTACCTCTGTTTTGTCGGAAACTAATCGCTCCAAGATGAAGCTCTCATAAAGAGTATGCGAGGCATCGCACCTTGCAACGTGCGTCCGTGTGTGTGCTGGACCGGAGTGGCCGTTGCTATTTAAAGAGTCACCTATCACACGTTGCTAGGTAGAGAAGGGAAAGCTTAATTCTGTGCCATGACGCATGTAAAACAAAGCGGAGGGTCTTTTCTCCGCTCAACGCGTGCCCCCACACCTTGTAGGAGCTGATATTAGAGCTGACTAACCAAGTTATCGGACGGTTGATGCCGCGACACAGACGGACGGTCTTCCATCATAGGACATTGTAAGGGACCTTCCATAGTTGAGAACAAGAAGATGCACCTTCATGGGAAGGAAAGCGAGCTCTTTATGAATTGCGGGCTTCAACCTCTCGGCACCTCGACAGCGATAGACGGCCTTGTTGGCAAACTCCGAGACCAAGAATGTTGGGCAGGCCTATTAGGCTTATTGATGACACCAGCCAAAAGGCATAGATGCCTAGGTGAAAAAAACTCAGGGCGGATGGCAATCAAGGAAGATGTTGATAGCTCTCAGCTCGAAGGTCAACGGTTCAGTATCCAGAGTGCACCGCCATGAAAAGAGCTGCAAGCGACACACATGTACGACCCCAACCGACGTACGAAACTATTCCACCCCATACAGGTGGGTTGAAGTGCTCCCTGCGTGAGCCAAAACTAGGCGATCGGGAGGATCCACGTGCACAGGCGGCTGTAGTGTGCAGCCCAAGAATGACACAATCTTGAGGGTCTCCAATCAACATTGATATCTAGGTGTGGTGGCTATGGCCGCTACGTTTACAGGCTTGATTTGCTAGTGCTGAGAGACGCCTAAAGATTTATTTTCTAAATTCGTAGCAGGGATCACGATAGTCGAGTTGGCATGCAAATGCTTGTTCGGTTTTCGATGAGAATCCAACACCTCCGCAGTAATGAATAAGGCCAAGTTGTTTTGTCGGATCAAGAAAACGTACCTGGAGCATGGATTGACTTATGTGCAGTTTTGCGTGTGGCGAAAGTATTTTCCCCTGGAAAGGGTTAAGGACAGGAGCCTGCCTGACCTGCAAGCTTTTCTGATGAGGCAACTTCCCGACGAATGCCAGAACTATTCGGATGCTTGTTCTTTTTCTTCTATCAAAGTTCCGAGTCAAGATTCTTTCTTGCCCAGAGCTCAGGGTCGATTCGTCTTGACCAAAGATCAAGAGCCTGCGCTCAAGCAAGTATCATGCTGAAGTGAAGGTCGTTCCCACCTGCGGCGTGAATCCGTCGTTGTGCTCAACAGCCATGTAGATCTCCACGGTATAGATGGCCTAAATTCTATGGACCTTGTGCGTCTCCGAACTAAAGTGCCGTCAGCGGACTAGCGACGGAGCGTGTAGCTTCCGGCCTGACAGTGATGGCTTTAATTGACTGCTTTCCATCTCGGACGCCCCTCAAGTGCTTAGTGTGGGGCTTTCAAAGGAGAGCAGAGGTGTGAACAAGCTTTAGCTTTGGTGGCTTGGAATTCTAAGCCTAAAGTCAATGATGCTAAGACGCATACAATCTTACATCATTCCCAAAATACCACCGGAACGAGTCAAACCCGATGACAAGACCTCTCGATCTAACCTGTCTCAAATTGGTTGCCCCTCACCACAGTCAAAACAAAGCCGCCGTCATTCCAGTGCAACCTTACCTAGTGCCGGAACCCTAACTTCCCAGCCTTGGGAGGATGGTAGCACCATACTAGTCAGTCCGGGGACAAGGCCTAGTCTCCAAAAGTCAAACCACAAGCGCGCTCTGCATCTGGAATCTTGGGATCGCCCACCCCGACAACCAGTCAGGTGAAGAAGGTCATAGGCCAGGAGGATGCTTTGGGTGCCGAGAGGCTCAATACATAAAGAGGGGGGTTGCCTGGGTTGTTCTTCGGAATCTTGGCTCTTGACAGTCTCATAGCGTCAGCGCCCCGAAGACTCAATCACGAGAACTCTCTTACGAAATACAATCCTAACACTCAAAACCGTACACTGTTCTCCTCTAGAAACATGGTCTCCTTTCTACTTACCGCCATGGCACTGGCCAGCACTGCCTTTGCACTGCCGCCTGTTGTCCGCGACTTTGGCCCGCCTACGACTGATGGATTTCCCAACCCGAACCCGCAGCAGCTCCTTGCCATCGAGCAACGCGCGGACGGCATGGCACCAAATGGGCCCCTGCCAAGTAAGGTTGCCAGCAGCACGATCACCGCTTTGCAGCTCATTGCATTCAATGAGAACTTTGAGGTTGCCTTTTTCTCGTCCTTGTTGGGAAATATCACGAGCAAGGTACCCGGATACGAGGACAAGGATGGGTCCATGGCTAAGATCATTGATACCATTTTAGCGGTAAGTCGCATTGTCCTCATCTGCATCTTGATGATCCTCGGAATCTTGCAGACTGACAGGATGGTGCGTTTAGCAAGAGGAACTTCACGCTCTTGGCGTCATCCAGGTCCTCCAGCACTACAATCAATTTGCACCTATGCCATGCCGCTACCAGTTTCCCGTCACCAACATCGACGATGCCATCCAGCTTGCTGAAACCTTCACCGCTGTCGTGCTTGGCACTCTCCAGGATGCGGTCCAAGGGTTCGCTAAGGGTGGTGACGATGCATTTGTTCGCCTCTTCGCCTCGGTCATTGGTCAGGAGGGCGAACAGAACGGTTTCTACCGTTTTCTCGGTGGCGCCAAACCCAGCGAGTCGCCCTTCTTGACAACTAGCGTCGCTTCTTTCGCCTGGACCGCTCTACAGCAGTTCGTTGTCCCCGGAAGCTGCCCATTCGACCTGAATGCCATCCCGATTCCCCTGCACGCTCCTCTGATGCTACAAAACGCCAAGGTTGAGGCGAAGGACCAGGTCCTGACCTTCACGGCAGATCTAAGCAACGTCCAGGCCGCCCAGGCCTACGTCGGCAAGACAACATGCCAGCTCTTTATCACCTACTTCAACGGGCAGCTGCTTCCTATCAGCGTTCCCATTTCCAACATTCGCTGGAATGGTGGTCTGATGACCTTTGACGCTCCGTTCCCTTTTACCGAGAACATCATGGAAGGCCTTAGCATCGCGGCCCTGACCTCTGGAAATAACTTTGCGGGTCCTGATGACGTCCCTGCCCAGACATGGGCAGCACCTGCTCTGATCCAGGTCGTTGACAAGTACTAGACGATTTCTTTCCCAGTAAATATTGCCGCTTGACATACAGTATTCCATTTCTATCATGTACCCATAATTTCAATACAAAATTCATCTCAATGTCGTTCTTCATCCTGATTTACATACGTCCAAAGGACACAGCACCGGAATGCGGATGCGAGGAGGATGGGAAACCAGGCAGCCAACTTCTCGTAGAGGATATCTCCACCCGAAGTCGAAACAGCAAATCAGAAACTTCTATCTCCGTGTGACATGATATGAGAGATTAGCCAGTGGACTTCAAGTAGTTCGCCTCATTCGTTCGGCCCCTGTTGCGAGCAAGGATTTTATCGAGTTCCCTGCAACATTGGCTTCAACCATACAGGCTTTCCCCACGATGTATTTAGATATGACAGCATCTCACATGCCTAGAGAGAGTCCTACCACCTAATACCTAATCGGTCTACGCACTATTTCAACAAGGCATAGTCGAAATACTTGGGGGAACTGGTGCATCTACCCCCCCTGGATGAACCATCAAAGCAAGAGGCTACTCGTTACCTTGCTTTTGTGCACGGAGTTTCAAGGCTCCTGACAACCCCAAGGTCTCAGGTGACTGCAGCCGCTGTCTTCCTGGCCCTGTGCAGTGCAAGTAAGCCATTTCAAATATCACTTGAGCAGAAGGACCCTTTTGCGTCAGTTATGTTGTTCTTGTGATTCACCAACCCTAGTGAGAAAAGATGGCGGATCGAGTACCGTACAAGGGCTGAGCTTCCTGCACTCCGTGACTACCCCGAACATCACGGGGGAGGTCTACACACCGTCCAAGCGGCTTTACGTTCTTGTACTTATTTAAGGACTGATAGTTTGGAAGGGACAGTTCCTCTGGACAAGAGAATCAGTCAGAAGTGATGTGAACAGAGACAAGATGCTTATGGGACAATTGTTAATAGATGCATCGTATTCTTCCGGCTACAGAAGTCGCAATTCTATACCAATGCCTATTATCATCCTAAAGTTGCCACTATCCCATTGTTCCCCTGATTAAAAGCCGTTCCTGCCAAGAGCATATTCTGGTGGAATGGTAGGCAATGCCTCAGCACCGTCAAGTATAGCAATGCCCATACCTCCAGCTAGGTGAGTCTCAACGTGGCAATGTAGCAACCAAGCACCTGGGTTGTTGGAATGGTAGCGAATAGCGACCCACATGGCGCCAACAAACTCGGTAATGGCTGTGTCGCGAATGTTGGGGTTCTTGAGATTAAACGAACCAGGCTGCTCCTCGATTGCCTGAGCGACAGACGTATAGTTCCAAACGCCGAGACCACGGCCGATGATCCAAAACTTATTACCATGCTTGTGAATAGCGTGTCCGATTTCCAGCGGCTCATCAGGCAGTGCGCCGACCTGTAAGATGATATCGACCCAACTGCCATTTTTCGTGCGGATCACGAGCTGGTCATCGAGGGCATCGGTTGAGTTGGGGTAGTACAACAAGGGGGTGTAAGCATCGCGATCTGCTTCATATAGTTCCTTGCCTGTCATGGTCCATTTCCATGCGGCACCATGACGACCCATTGTGAGAAGAAACAGTTCGTCACCTTCTTTTTGAGGGATGGCTGGAGGGTTTGCCGGAAAAGGGGGTGTCGGGCTATGGGTATCAAATATGATGACATCCTCAGTCCTGTTCTGGCCACCATAGTTTATGTAACCGTCCTTCTGATCAAACGGGAGAGTGTAGCCGACAGTGTAGTTCGTCAAAGGCTTACCACCCTTGTAACTCAACACGGCATACCCACTCACAATTTGCCCAGCTCCATTATCGGCAAATCGAATGGTGTAGTCAGAGGGGATTTGGTCCAGTTTCACAAGCAGGGCGAGTCGTTGGCCAGGATAAGTACTGATAGCGTGGGCTTTGGTCGGTTCTAAAGGAAAACCCATTAGAGTATTGTAATCGTGATTCCTGCGGCTATCTCAGACTCACCAACGTACTCCCCGTCAACCTCATAGAGCCAAAGCTCATGCTTGTCGATTGAGAACTCAGCAATCCGCAGCGTGGAGGCCATGACGATGTTGATGCTGACCCAACCACCGTGAGACTTCGGGTCGACTTCAATCGTCGACATGGAGCCATTGGCAGCAACGCATCCTGATTGAAGCCCAGGTGGGATATTCTCTGGCTTCCCAGGGAGGAATGGACCTTCTGTGATCTCCACAAACGGCAGACATCTTATTATGGACCCGTAAGCCTCTTTTCTCAAAAGGGGTAGTATTTTGTAATTGCGAAAGGCTCACCCTTTGTCATTGACTTTACCGGGAAGCAAGACCTGCTCAATACCGTATCTCACCATACCTAGTATCTGTTCGTAAGGAGGACAGAATAGGGATCCTCTGCCATTGACGAGCAGACTGTCCATGCAACTAGTCCAAGGTTTAGCATTCAAATTGAAGATCGAATGATGCAACAGCTTACAAGATATCGAGCTCGGACTTTTCCTGAGCCAGCATATACTCCCCTGCAGTGAAGTTGGTCCACTCGGAAAGTACAACCAGAGTTGGATCCTTGGCGGCCGCGGCCATGGCTTTGACCTCGCAGCTCCGATTAGTAATCATGGAAAAGGGGGCGGGTGCGCCCTCTTTTCGCCTAGAAGCCAAGTCAGGAAGCGTCTCCTATAAGGGTGCTGCTTCAATGTTATCTTACCTAATGAAGAGAGCACCGTACAACCCTTCGAGCATGTCCATGCGTGAGTGTGAGTGATACCTGCAGAGAAAGTCTTAGTCATACTCCGGACCTTCTCCAGTATGACATGGACTGACCAGTATGTACCGGGAGGCGTGGCTCTAAATCGGTAGACATAACTCTCGCCTGGTTCGATAGGTTGTTGCGAGAGTCCCGGCATACCGTCAGACCAGGGAGTTCCCGCCATGCTGAGACAGTCAGTTACATAACACGGCAACTCCGGCGGGGATGAGTTTCCATACGAGAGGCCATGCCAGTGAACTGAGGTATTGAATGGTTGGTGATTATTGACTGTTACCTGTCGTGCAACATGAGTTTCAAAAGCAACATGGGGGAATAAGATGTCGTAAGCATACCTCAACCCAATCATCTTCATCAACAATAAGATCAGGGCCCGGGAACCGGCCGTTGACATGTGTTAGAGGCCGCGCATTGCCGTTGGGGTTGCCGATCTCCCAGGTGATATCGAATGTTTTTCTGACAACCTTCCCATATCCGCCAGATCCTGTTTGTGCGTCGCCTCTGTTGGCTACTGCTGGAGATGCGGATATACCTCGAAGAGAGCCGGACAAGGCCAGCAAGACTGTAACAAGGTGAGACATCCTGCACTACAAAACGGTAACCGTAGCCTCTCTGGCAAGATTATGATACATGCACGTTGTTAATCTAGATACGGACATTGTCTGCAGGTTTCCCAGAGTATTTAATAACACACAATCAGTCGCAATTAACATTTTGCCCGCTTCCGATGTCTTAGCGAGCGGGAGACTGCCGATATGCAGACACATGTCCTCAGACCTGGGGTCTCCGCGAGCATCGGATTCCTTGCACATCTGTCTTGCTGTGACTGTTCCCATCTTGTGAGCCACGCTATCTGCTGATTGGCTGGACCGACGTCTTTGCCCGATCGAATCCCGAAATATTGGCGGCTGAGCAGCGCACTAGTAATCCAAAAGCATGTCCTGGTGCATTCGGGAATGTAAAATGTCCCCACACACCTGTTGTTCGGTGCCCGTACTTCTTGCTTATGCGGGCATGCATGCAGAATTGCATCGGGCGCCATTCAAGGCAGATACACTGTCTGGGAACCACGAAATCTGGACTGTCAGTGACAGATTTATTATTCATACGGTTATATGTCTGACATTGTGCTCACTGGATTGTTGGACTGTTTATAAATCACTTTGAGGATTTCCCCCCTGTAATCCAGATCTCTCGCGCATAGCAATTTGGGTTTCTGCGAGATGTCGACTCTTCAAGTCTCAAATCTTTTCCACGTCAATGGGTTGGTGGCCGTTATCACGGGAGGTGGTACTGGTACGTTTTTGCCTAATCTGGCGACACTGAGGACTTCAGTTGAGGACTGATTATTTTGATGCAAAGGGATTGGCTTGATGATGGCTAGGTCTCTAGCACAGAATGGAGCCGCCAAGGTCTACATCATTGGGCGTCGAGAAGACAAGCTCAAAGAAGCGGCTGCTCTTTACCCCGGAATCATCATTCCCCTCCCTGGCGATGTTTGTGATCAAGCCGCCCTGAAGACTATCGCGGAGCGTGTCAGAGCCGAAGTGGGTTACATTAACCTATTGGTGGCAAATGCAGGAAAATCAGGCCCCATGCTGGAGAGTCTTAAGCCACGGTACACTCTGTCGGACTTTGTCAATCTGGCATGGTCCTCTCCTATGGCTGACTTCAATGACGTCTACGGACTCAACTGCACGGCTCTATACTATACTATCATTGCATTCCTCGAGCTCTTGGATGCCGGCAACAAGAAAGGGAATTACAGTGGTGGCAAGAGCCAGGTCATTGCAACGGCATCCACAGCAAGCTTTTTGCGCAACCCCCGAGCTGGATTCGCCTACCTTAGCAGTAAAGCTGCCGTGATAAGCTTGGTAAAATGTTTCTCGACATTCTGCATTCCCTGGGGTATCCGGTTCAATGCTATTGCAGCAGGATGTAAGACTTCTAGCTTGCGGCCCCTTGATCTTAACTGCTTACTGAGTTTATGTTTCAGTATTCCCCTCAGAGTCGTCTGAAATCCTGTTCAAACAGTACATTATTGACAAGACCAAGACCTTGTTTCAGGAGGGTGTATTCTCCAGGGCGTATCAGCCTGCAGAGCGTGCCGGATCAGAGGAGGATATGGGTGGTTTGATGCTATACATGTCGAGCCGCGCTGGTGCTTTCTTGAACGGTAGCATTATGGTCGTAGACGGAGGCAAGCTTGCAACCATGCCCGCAACGTACTAAATTATTTGGATTAGGAAGCTACCTATGCAATGCCACAAGTCCATTCCATGACAGTCACTCGCTCTTTTCTCCAACTGAGACTGAGAAGTGCAATGTTATTCTTCTTAATTTTTCTTGAGGGCAATGAGATGCGAAAAGAAGTGAAATCGCTGCCTTGTCTTTGAAGCCACCAAGGTCTAATACAATATCATGAAGCTTCATAATAACCATCACCCCCTGTTAATCAGGGAATCGTGGGGAATGAACCGCGAGGAACGTTGAGGAGGAACTGGCCAGTACAACTAGCTTAGCTGATAACGATCACGAATAATCCCCGTCTTAAATTTTCGGAATTGCCTTGAACTACCATGGATTTCCCCCATTATCCAGCAAACCAACATTGTAGCCAAGTTATGTGGCGGAATGCCCTTTGACGATGCAGAGGCAAACATGGGTATCGGCACAGATAGCTGTGCCCTTGTTTTACATAAGTCACGGCAGGCGTTTGGCTGGTCAACAGAATTTTGTGCTACCTCGCTGTTGAGTTTGCTAGTTTGAAGCACCTCGCTAATACGACTGGATATTAGCACGGTTGGATCTCCGATGAGTCCCCGGATTATGCCGACAATGCCCGACATGTCTGCGAGAATTGGCAAGTGCGTTAGACAACATGTAGAACAATCAAGCGACGGCACTCAAGCCACCGAGGTTGAATCTAATATTCTCACATATACTGAGGCGATCTCGAGCCCGGGCTGGCAGATTGCCATCACATTGATAGCAGTCGCGAGTTGCGGTAGAAGTCCAATATTGAAATTCTCTCTGTCATAAACAAAATGTTTCACATCACTGACACAACATGGAAGGCTCATTGGGCGGTGGTCCTCGTGGCATGCGTTGTGCTGACGATCGCTGCAAAGCGAACTCTTTTCTCGTCCAAGAAGCTATCACTACCAGTCGTCAAGCTGGCCAAGGGCCGGACGGCACAGTCTCTGATGGAAGCCAGGGAAAGGGTACGGAGAGACAGTGGGTAAATCTGAATGAGCTGATGCTGATCTCTGGTATCTTCTAGTTCCCAGACACGCCCTTTGTTTTCCCTTTGAGCCCACCCTGGGTCATACTGCCTCACTCGCTCATGAATGAAATGAGAAGCCTACCGGAAGAGAAACTCTCCTTCAAGAAACACACCTACGAGAAGTTCTTGGGGCAGTACACGAGTATCGGCTCTACTGAGCACCCGGAGGCAGTCAACGCCATTAAGTTGGACTTGACGCGCAACATCGGCAAGATCCTGGGTGATCTTCAGGACGAGGTGTCTTTTTGCATTGACAAGGAGATTGGACCCTGCAAAGACTGGACAGAGGTACCTGTCTATCCTAGCGTCGTCCAGGTCGTCGCTGGGCTATCTGCGCGGGCCTTTGTTGGGCTACCACTCTGTCGTGATCGAGAATGGACGCAAGCCACCATCGACTTCACCAGAGATACAATCATCCTGATGCACATGAACTCGTTTATACCTCTTCCCCTACGCCCATACCTATCCCCTCTACTGCCCGCATTTCGCAAGTTGGCGGGCTATCGCCGATTCGCAGGCAACAAGTTGATGCCTCAGGTGACCCAGATACTGAATACGTATAAGGAGAAACTGCGAGGCTTCAAGACGATGTCGGAGAACGAAGCTATGGAGCAGGCAGAGAAGAACAACTTCAACCTTGTGCACTGGATGATTGGCCACTTCAAGAACCCAGAGCGTGCCGACCCTTTTGAACTTGGGCAACAGCAGATGACGGCGGCATTTGCGGCAATCCACACGACGGGGATGGCGGCCTCGCACGCAATCTTTGACCTGGCAGCGTACCCGATGTACATACCGACACTGCGCAAAGAGATCGAGGACGTCATTGCAGAGGAGGGTTATCCTGACCGGCAGCTGCGCAAGACGAGCATGGCGAAACTGAGGAAGCTGGACAGCTTTATCAAGGAGAGCGCGAGGATGAGTCCACCAACCATAGGTCTGTGCCTGTTTCGACAAGGAATGTCGGCCACTGGCTAACCACACCCATCTGCCGCAGTGGCTATGAACCGTATCGTGACGGCCCGCGACGGCATCACTCTCTCGACGGGGCACTTTCTCCCGTACCGTACCGTGGTTGGCTGGGGTCACCCATTCTTCCCCGGATCGACCAGCCCCAGCAAACACGCGCTGCTGGAGAACGGCCAGCCTCCGCTGGATGAGTTCCACCCTTTCCGCTTCGCCGAGCTGCGGTCGCAGCCAGGCCAGGAGAACGGCAACCAATTTGTGACATCGGACCCGAACAATATCAACTTTGGCTACGGCCGCAATGTGTGTCCAGGGCGGTTCTTTGCAAGCAACGAAGTCAAGGTGATCCTAGTCGAGGTGTTGCGACGTTACGACATTGGGCTAGGACCTCAGGGCGAAGGTGTCGAGGCGGGTTATCAGAGGCCGAAGATCATGGAGTTTGGGCCGAACTTCATGCCGGACATGAAGGCAAAGGTGTGGTTCAGAGAGCGCAAGACGGCAATGTAGAAGGATCTTGAGAGCATTGCTCGAGCCGACGTGCATGCGAGGCTACTTAGAGCGAATGTAGTTATTGATGCTGGCAAGTGGCCGGTAGTGTCGAGTGGTGAGGACATGCGTGAGTCTGGGGGGGAGGGTGACGGAAGAGATGCTCGTGCTGTCAGGGTCAAATGGGATACATTGATTGATGTCTTAGCAGCATTGCAGCTGTTATCCACACACATGCATGCGACACGGGCTGTGAGTCGCGTTTTGTGATGACAGGTGTCGATTTGTCCGTGAACGTGAATGCGTGGCGTTACTTGAAGCTCGGGCAGCTGACGAGGAGGCGGGACGGTAAAGGACACATAATTACACACGCGCTGGGCAGCCTGGATGACGTCTAAGAACGAGCCCTCCAGGGCTGGAGGTCATCAAATGATGGATGCCCGCTGCCGCAGTCAGGTCACCGGGCTTCATTGGCAGCCATGAAGGAGCCTCTGGTAAAGGCCTGAACGGCCCTGAAACCGGGTTTGACATTCTTTCCATTGTCTCCCATCGGGCAGGACGGGTCAGCTTTACGCCGCCCCACTCAAATTTCCTCTTCCCCTGGCATTTTTGTGTTCCGCTGGGCTGATGACGGGGGTGACCCATTCTTCTCGGGACCGGAAAACGCTGTTTAGTGCCCGCACCTTGCGTGCTCGGCGCCGTTGTGGTCACTGCGCTGCCAGCAATTGACTTGCCTGTTTCGTCCTTAAAGACGGCTTTCCACCACTGCGCGATCCCTTGGCAGCCGGCTAGGCTTCTTGGCAACCCTTGATTCTAGAGTTGGTCCTCAGCTAGGTTGATTGCAGGTGGACGACCTATCTGCGGCTTTCTCTTCCTAGTGGCCAGCTTCTATCTGACTCCATCTCTCTCTTTCACGTGCCCGCAATGGCGCCCACGACTGAATCCCTGGCGGAACCAGATAAAAACATCGCGACGTCGCTCGAGAAAGACGTCGACGTCGAGGCTGGCCGCAGCGACAGTCAATCCCGCGCTCGGGATACGCCTGAAAATGATGGCACAATGCGGCATGTTGCCACTGCTCAGAAGCCAGCAAAATCGGCCGCGGAGGAGGATGATGAAGGCAAGGTGTACCCTCCGGCCTCGAGCGTGATGGTGGTCATGGTTGGCTTATATCTATCTCTATTTCTCGTCTCGTTGGTACATACACCCAACTTCCAACCCCCTGCCTACTCTTTACTTGGACGTGACGGCTAACCGTTGCAGGATCGCACAATCATCGCCACCGCTGTTCCGCAGATCACAGACGCCTTCCATTCCATCGACGACATCGGTTGGTACGCCAGTGCCTACATGATCACGGGCTGTGCCTTCCAGCTCTTCTTCGGCAAGCTCTACACATTCTATTCGCCCAAATGGGTCTTCCTTGCGAGCGTCGGCCTCTTTGAAGTCGGCTCGCTCCTCTGCGGCGTAGCTCCCAACTCAGCTTCCTTCATCGTCGGCCGGGCCATAGCTGGTCTAGGCTCGGCCGGAATCTTCTCGGGGAGCATCGTCCTGACAGTCCATATAATCCCGCTTCGCCGACGGCCCATTTATCAGAGCTTTATGGGCGCCGTCTTTCTCATCTCATCGGTGGTCGGACCCGTCATCGGCGGTGCGTTCACCACACATCTTACCTGGAGGTGGTGCTTTTACATCAACCTCCCCGTGGGCGGCGCCACCATCTTCCTTCTGATTTTCCTCCTCCCTGCAACCGACCCCAATCGGACCGAGGACGAGATCATCTCACGCAAGCTGTCTGTCCGCCAGAAAAGCGTTCAACTCGATCCCATCGGCACCCTTTGCTTCCTTCCCGGCATTGTCTGCCTCCTGCTGGCTTTGCAATGGGGCGGTGCGACCTACTCCTGGAGCGATGGACGCATCATTGCTCTGCTGGTCCTCTTTGGTGTTCTCATTCTTGCCTTTATTGCCGTGCAGATTTGGCAGCAGGAGAACGCGACACTCCCGCCCCGAATACTTGCCTACAGAAGCGTCACTGCTAGCACGTGGTTTGCCTTCTGTATCAGCGCCTCACTCATGACGGTCGTCTACTTCCTTCCGCTATGGTTTCAGGCCATTCAGGGTGTAGATGCCGTACAGTCTGGTGTCCGTACTCTCCCGGTCATTATCGCCCTCGTCGTGTCCAGCATTATCGCCGGCGGAAGTGTCAGCGCAATAGGATATTACACGCCTTTTCTCATACTCTGTGCCGTCATCATGAGCGTGGGGGCGGGCTTGATGACAACCTTCCAGGTGGATACCCGGCAGCCCATCTGGATTGGCTACCAGGTCATCTTCGGTTTCGGAATTGGGCTGGGTCAACAACAGGCTGGCTTGGCTGCTCAGACAGTGTTACCTACCAAGGACGTGCCAATCGGTGTGTCATTCAAGTTCTTCGGCCAACAACTAGGCGGGGCCATATTTGTCTCGGTGGCACAGAGCGTTTTGAACCAACGTCTGGTCGCTGGCCTGTCAGCACTGAACATCCCAAACTTGGATCCATCTGCCATTGCTAGTCTAGGAGCGACTGAACTACGGCAACGAGTGCCAGCTGAGCTTCTCGACAAGGTTTTGATAGCCTATAATCATGCCATTGATGGTACTTTCGAGGTGGCCCTAATCCTGGCTGCGCTATCGCTCATCGGGGCCCTTCTTACCGAATGGAAGAGCGTCAAGGGAATGGATATCAAAGGAGCCTAATCAACCAAAGAATGGGGATTCTGGCATATTAGATTGCCTCGTTCACATTGTTTACTACCCCTGCAGCTAGAGAATAGATGACATGAATCTCGACTATCGGCACGGGCTTTGGGATCTTGTTTAAGATATCAAGGAATGTTGCCAGCATGTCCAGTCCCGATACATCAAAAAAGGACATACGGAGAAGCAGGCATGACATCCTTTTCTTGGGCTGCTAATCACATGTGCATTTGAGTCAGTTTCTTGCAATTTCGTAATTCCGACTCTAACCTGCTTACGCTAGGCGTTCTTCATAGGCTAGAAGCATTCGCTCGAGCGACTCTGTGCAACTCGTTCTCCCAGCTGATCTGAGGCGAAGTATTCCAATGCTGGTATTGGCTAGTGAGCGAAAGTGGAGACTCAAGAGGCTTCGGAACTCGTCGGGCAGTGATCGGATACCGTGAAGTGGGACTGTTTCCCCGAGAGTCACCGACGACTACCATAGACGGGAGTTCATACCATCAACAGGTGCGTATTGGGTCCATTAGACAACCGAAACACGCTGCTTTGTGCTGAATTCCCAGCTGACGGATGACACTGGCCACCTTCGGGGTTGCTGGGGTACTGGGAAATACGTGAATAATTCTTTGATAGCAGACTATATGTATTCACAGGCGGGTTGAAAATGCAGAGAATATACCCTTTCCCCCTACTGTTAAGATCTGTGCTGTCTGCCTCTACTCGCGGTTCTGGTTGACACAAGTGGCATCGAAACCACCGACACCTCGTCAAGTGACTGAAACCTATCGTTGCAGCCATGTCGCTGAAAAATCGGATCTTCCTGTTCGGGGATCAGTCCCAAGAGACAACCACGAAGATTCGGGCGCTTCTGAGCGCGAAAGGCGACCCTCTCTTGACATCCTTCCTTGAGAAATGTTTCGATGTGATTCGCACCGAGACTGGGCGTTTGCCACTCTCCGAGCGCGAGGTTCTACCAAGATTCCACAATATCGCAGATATCCTCGCCAGACAGAAGGAAGGCGTGCTGAGTCCCGCATTTCAGACAGCCTTGGCGACAATATACCAGCTAGGAAGCTTCATCCGGTATGAACGATTGAATTCACCCTCTCCAAAGACAAGTGACTAATAACTGCTGATAGCGAGCTTGGGAGACCTGGAGTCGCCTATCCACTTCCTGACCAAACACACCTGCTTGGGCTCTGCACCGGTGCTTTAGCTGCGGCTGCTGTGGCTTCATGCAAGTCAATCACCGATCTGATTCCCGTTGCGGTTCAGTCCGTGTCGATCGCCTTTCGACTCGGCCTGCTAGTAGTAGAAGTTTCGCACCGCATAGAACCGAAATGCTCAGCTTCATGGTCGCTCATCTTCCCAGGCCTTGACTCTGGAAGTGTGGGAGCAGCGCTGAAGGAGTTCTCGGTGGTACATAATATGACCCTTCAAGTCTGGTCGAAGCCATACTGACTTCAATTTCTAGGGCTACCCGCCCCAGTCCGCTCCTTGGATCAGTGCCTATCTTCCAAACGGCACTGCCGTCAGTGGCCCACCAAATGTTATCAGCAAACTTCGTCAATTCGGTATTTTCAAAGGCGTCAGACCGGTTGAAATACCTGTCCGAGTTCCTGGACATGCCGGACATCTCTTCACCTCCGAGGACATCGATCAGATTCTCGAAGCGACCCCACAGGAGCCATGGGCAACAACATATCGCTCGCAGATACCCATGATTTCACCAGTGACAGGAAGACTCATGCCAGCCACTGATTTTCGGACCCAGGTGGAATTGTGTCTACAGGATATCCTCATGGTTGCCCTTCGATGGGATAATATCAATGAAGAGTTCCCACAACACCTGAAGTCACTGGGTATATCGGAGATCGAACTTGTTCCCATTATGACCGCTATGGACCAAACCCTCCACCAAGTTCTCCGAGGTCATGGTGAAAATGGCGTCCCCACATTCTCAAACGTGGAAATCTCCTACTTCGACAGAGATACGCCTCACACGCAGATCAATATGTCTGGAAGACCCGATCTGTCAAAGCTAGCTATCGTGGGGTTTTCTGGTCGCTTTCCGGATGCTAAGGATCCGGATGAGTTCTGGGAGATCCTGAGAAATGGCACGGACACCGTGCGTCGGGTGCCGAGTGAAAGGTACAATATCGACACGCACATGTCGACCGATGGCAAGAAGAATACCGGGGAGGTGCAGTGGGGCTGCTTCATTCCAGACGCCGCCTACTTTGATGCTCGATTCTTTAGCATTTCACCTAAAGAGGCACCACAAGTTGACCCGGCCCAGCGGATAGCGCTGATGACAACATACGAGGCAATGGAGCGAGCTGGTATCGTGCCGGGAACCACTCCTTCGACCAAAACCGATCGCATCGGCGTCTATCACGGTGTCACAAGCAACGACTACATGGAGACCAACACATCTCAGTGTATCGATACCCATTTTATCGTAGGTGGGAACAGGGCTTTCATCCCAGGCCGTATCAACTTCTGTTTCGAGTTCTGCGGCCCAAGCTACAGCGTCGATACGGCATGCTCATCAAGTCTCGCAGCCATGCACTTGGCCTGCAACGCCCTCTGGCGAGGAGATATTGACACGGCCGTATGTGGTGGCACCAATCTGATCAACAACCCCGACGGCCATACGGGTCTGGATCGTGGGTTCTTCCTCTCCAAGACTGGCAACTGCAAGACTTTCGATGATGGAGCAGACGGATACTGTCGTGGTGAAGGAGTCGTCACTGTCATAATCAAGCGTCTGGAGGATGCGCTAGAAGATAATGACCCAATTCTTGCTGTTATCAAGGGCACCGCGACCAATCACTCCGCCGAATCCGACTCGATCACCCGCCCACACGCTCCAACTCAGGAAGTCCTGTTTGACAAGTTGCTAAACGCAACAGGGACAGAGGCCAATGAGCTCAACTACATTGAGATGCACGGCACGGGCACTCAAGTCGGAGACGCTGTGGAAATGGAGTCAGTCTTGAGTGTGTTTGGACCAGATCCGAGCTCGCCCAAGGCACGCCGCCAGGACTCTCCTCTATTTCTCGGGGCTGCGAAAGCCAACATCGGACACGGTGAGGGTGTGTCTGGAGTTACGAGCGTCGCCAAAGTGCTGCTCATGTTTGAAAAAGGCAAGATACCACCGCATTGTGGCATCAAGACCAAGATCAACCACAACTACCCGCTGGATCTAGCTCAGCGCAACGTACACATTGCTCTGAAGGAAACACCATGGACGCGCAATAGACAACGACAACGGAAGGTACTCATCAACAACTTTAGTGCCGCAGGCGGCAATACTGCGCTGTTGCTAGAGGATGCCCCAGAACGGTCACTGGGCGACGGCAAAGATCCAGACCCGGCGACTTCATACTTATTGGCAATCTCTGCCAAGTCTGCCAAGTCTTTGAAGGGGAATCTGCAGTCCATGCTCAAATACATCAGCGCCGTCCGAGACAAGAATGAGGCTTTCACCCTGGCCAGGCTCTGTTACACCACTACCGCACGGAGGCTTCATCATATGCACCGTGTAATGGTCCGTGGCAGTACTGTCGAAGAGATTCGAGCGAATCTAGAGTCTGCAATTGCACGGGGCGAGGGTCTCACTCGCATCAAAGCTCCTCCAAAGATCATCTTTACTTTCACAGGGCAGGGATCTCAGTATCTGGGCATGGGCCGCCAGCTGTATGAGACGTTCTCCAAGTTTCGCACCGACATCAGGCGTTTTGACCAGATAGCACGAGGTCAAGGGTTTTCATCCTTCCAGCACGTGTATACGGCACAAGAGGGCGACGAGGGGAACTTCAGCCCCCAGGTCCTTCAATTAGCCATCTGTTGTTTACAGATCGCTCTGGCACGCCTCTGGATGTCTTGGGGTATTATACCCAAGGCTGTTGTTGGGCATAGCCTTGGCGAGTATGCCGCATTGAACATTGCTAATGTGCTCTCGGACTCGGATACAATCTATCTTGTCGGCAGCAGGGCTGAGCTTCTCCAGGAGCAGTGCAGGGTTGGCACACATGCAATGATAGCTGTCAAAGCTTCCATGCTGCGCATACAGGACATTCTCTCAGGTGTCAAATTTCAGGTGGCGTGTATCAACGGACCTGCAGATATTGTACTTGGAGGCCCCGTGCAGCAGGTCATGGCCATGCAAGAGAGGTTTGCCGCCGAAGGTGTCAAAAACACGATTCTGGAGACACCATACGCCTTTCACACCTCGCAAGTGTTCTCTATCCTTGGTGATTTTGAGGCTCTCTGTGGAGCTGTTACATTCCACAAGCCTAGCCTCCCAATCATGTCGCCCCTTCTCGGGGAAGTTGTGATCGAGTCCAATGTTATTGGGCCCAAATATCTTGCACGACACTGCAGAGAGACAGTCAACATTTACGAGGCCCTTCTAGCAGGCCAGAATCAGAATATCTTCAACGAGAAGTCGGCCTTCATGGAGATTGGTCCCAATCCGGTGGTGTCTGGCATGGTGAAGGCCACACTGGGACAGAGTTGGACAACCTTGGTCACTTTGCAGAAGAGCAAGGACATGTGGCAGAATATCACAGCTGCTATGCAGACTCTGTACACTCAGAGTATCGACTTTCGTTGGCAAGAGTACCACAAGGACTTCAAAGAGTCTCAGGTAGTCCTCCAACTGCCGGCATATAACTGGGATCTGAAAGAGTACTGGATTCCATATGAAAACGATTGGTGCATTCTAAAAGGCGCACCAGACCCGAATGCCCCCAGACTTCCGACCATGCCCACCGTCGAGTGCACAACCATCCACAAACTCGTCGAGGAATCTTCAACGGGATCCCAGGCAACATTGGTGGTTGAGACCGACTTCTCCCGCGAGGATTTGAACAGCATCGCGAAGGGCCATATGGTCAACAAAATTCCATTGACTACCCCTTCTGTCTACGCAGAAATTGGCCTATCCCTCGGTAAATACATTTTGAGTCGATTTCAGCCTACCATGTCACAAATGCTCGTTGATGTATCAGAGCTTGCTGTCGAGAAAGCCATGATCCCTCATTCCAAAGGGTCTCAGATCATGCACACATCTGCTTCCGTTGACTGGACAGCAAATACAGCTCGTCTTCACTTTCGCAGTATCGACAAGAACGGGAAGGTGACAACTGAGCACGGAGAGTGTCTTCTGCGCTTCACCGATGATAAAAGGCGAGCAGAGTTCCAGAGACGGGTGCCAGAAGTGCTTGCGCGTATACAGCATTTACGGGATGGCATTTCCACGGGTGCATCTCTTCGCCTCAACCAAACATACGGCTACAAGATGATCAGTTGCCTGGCATCTTTTCACCCTGACTACAAGGCCATTGACGAAGTCATCCTTGATAGCAGTACGCTTGAGGCTTGTAGCACTTGTAGCTTTGGCCAAGTACAGAGCAAGGGCATCTTCAGCACTCATCCGGCTTACATCGACGTCATGACACAGACGGCAGGCTTCGTAATGAATGCCAAAGAAACAACCGATCTGGACTCTGAAGTCTATGTTAACCACGGGTGGAAGTCGTTACAGATTTTCGAGGAGCTTGTACCTGATAAGGCGTACACCACCTACGTCAAGATGGCACAAAGCAAGACAGACCTGTCTCTTTGGGAGGGCGACACTATCATGATGGACGGCGACAAGGTTGTCGGCTTCTTCGAGAACGTCTCCCTACGCTGGATATCCAGGAAGGTCTTCCACATGGTTCTACAAGCTTCAGATCCAACCAAGCAAACAGGCATGAAGAGCATCGGCCCAGAGACTCTTGGGAATAGAGCAGGACCTGCTATGTCCAATCTCAAAGCGGAACGCGCTAAGCCTTGCGACGATGCGACCAAAACATCGAATCAACCAAGGCTGGTCGAAAGCCATAGCGTGTTGGGAGTCAAGACCAAACCAGAGGGGGAGGTCACCGTCGTTGAAATAATTCCAAAAGGATCGAAGAAGACATCGAGTAAATCATCAATGATGGAACCGGCACTTAACATCATCTCTGAAGAGACTGGTATTAGCGCATTTGACCTTACTGATGACTCTGTATTTTCCGATATTGGAGTTGACTCGTTGCTATCGATGGTCATCACGAGTCGATTTCGCGAAGAGCTTGGATTGGATCTGGATCTGGAGTTCTCCTTATTCCTTGATTTGCCAACTGTCAAACGTTTAAGGGACTTCATTGAGGGGCCTGAAGACTTGACCTCCGACGACGACTCAATCCAGGTTCTTGGGCCTGAGGACTCAGCAGTTGGAGATCCGCCGGTCATCGTTGAGCATGTAGAAGTCCCCGAGCCCAAAGCGGCTATACCGGCTACTACATACGTTGATGGTGCCATTTCGCAAGATGTCTTCTTCAACTCTCTGGGTATTATTGCCGAAGAAAGCGGCCTTTCTGTCAATGACCTCACTGACGATACGAACTTCCAAGAGATTGGCGTTGATTCGCTTCTGTCCATGGTCATAACCAGCCGCTTTCGAGAGGAACTTGGTCTTGATCTTGATCTCGAGTTTTCGCTCTTCTTGGATTTGCCTACGGTAAAACACCTACGGGACTTCCTCCTGCCTGAAAACCCAGCAACCTTCCACTCCGATACACCAGAATCACGGACTGAAAAGGAAACCGGATACGAGGACTCAGGGTCCAGCACACCGGACACAGGCGGGTCAGATGCAGATTTCAGTGAGATTATAGCTCAGTCCCGGCCATCTGCCTACTGTCGTCCAGCGACCTCAGTCATTTTGCAAGGGCTGCCGACCCATACAGTGAAGACGCTTTTCCTGTTCCCTGATGGTGGGGGGTCATCCTCTTCGTACGAGCCATTACCGCGCCTGACAAGTAGTACCGCCATCATCGGTTTCAACTGCCCGTATGCGCGCGACCCGGAGAACTTGAGATGCAACATTGAGGATCTCATGGCAAGTTACATGGCCGAGCTGCGAACCCGACAACCGAAGGGACCATACTACCTTGGTGGCTGGTCCAGTGGGGGCATTTTTGCTTTCCTGGCCACCCAGCGACTGCTTGCGGCAGGGCAAGAAGTGCGGAGCTTGATTATTCTTGATTCGCCTGTCCCCCGCGTGATGGATAAACTCCCGGTTGAGTTTTATGAGTACTGTGACTCCCTCGGGCTTTTCGGCTACTCAATGGGCTCCTCAGGCGAGGAAACCCCAAGTTGGCTGATCCCTCATTTCAACGCTTCGGTGGAGGTCCTCCATGGATGCACATTTCCGCCAATAGACATGCCATCTAGCAACATGCCTGAAGTCTCAATTGTATGGGCTGGCGAGTCAGTACTGAAGAACGCGGATGAGTCCTTGCTCTCTCGGGTCACACGAGGCAAGTCAAAAGGCATCCATTTCCTTATCGAACCACGCACCGACTTCGGACCTGCCGGCTGGGAGACGATGCTCCCAGGTGCAAAGATCCGCACGACCGTGATTGAGGACGCTAACCACTTCTCTATGATGGTAAGTTCACCGTGGGACAGAGCACTTTCAGTGGACATTCTGACTGATACTAACATGCGGTTGTTAGCAAAAACCATTCATACAACAAGTTGGCCAGTTTATTGATGAATGTATGGCCCGGACCAAAACCTAGTCTCTGTAACGAGTGTATGCATATGTTTCGGCTATCGGGGAAAATGGGCTACGGAGCCAAGATGATAGTATTTCCTCGCGTCAGATTTCTTTTCGCCACTGAACTTACTTGCTAGAGGGCTTAGAGCTAGCTGTCTTGAGAAAATTGCTAGTGCCATAAAACATCTCGTATCCCACCATTTGCTTCTCTCATAGCTGCCGAAATACAACTTAAAACAACTTGAAAGCACATCCAGATAAAAATATCGAATCATAAGACAAAGAACACGAGTATTTCATTGATGGGTCTCACAGAAGGTTCACATAAGGTTTGCCCGAATACAGACTCGACATTGTATTGTGACCATCATATCTAAAGCCGCTTTTCTAAGATATGGCCCGATTCACGCACGGAGAAGGCCACCACGTAGTTGTCTCAACTATTTCAGTGAGCCACCACAAAAGATCTCTGAAGATACTAAAAAGTTTCCATCGTCGTGTCCGCAAGGGAAACACTAAGGGGTGTGCCGTCAGGGCTGATGGCACCACCGTAGCCATTCGGTGCCATATCGATCGATGAAGCGTTAGTGCTGGCTATCTGTAGTACTCCAACTTCCAGGATACTCATGTTGCTACCGAATGGTCTTCTGACGCCGTGTAGAATGAATTGTCCACCTGATGCATCCTCTTTTAGGCTGGCTTCCTCCAGGAGGTGCTGCCAGTCAGAAAGTTCGCGCTCCGAGCTATTGAATGTCTGCAACATAGTCAAGTCTCTTACACGCAGCATAGCCTCCACGATTGGATCTTCCTGCTCCTCAGGTATTGGTAAAACCGTATCCATGATGAGTAGACGCGATGATGCGTTGGCAGCGAGAGCGGGAAGCAAGTTTTTCAGGATCTGGGTCGCCTCGGCATCAGCCCAATCGTGGAGGATCATCCTCAAGAGATATACGTCAGCGCCATTTACTGGTTGAGGCTGGAAAAAGTCATGGGCCTGGCATGAAATGCGATTTCTCACAGAAGCCGTCGCGTTGGCCAAACAATTGTCGGCCATTGCGATGGTCTCGGGCAGGTCTTGCACCACAACGTGCAGTTGGGGAAACGCATTCGCAAGGGCTAAAGAGGCGTGACAATTGGAACCGCCTACCTGCAAGTGCCAATTGTCAGTCCAGGTCTCCAAACATCCCCCCGTAGTCCACAATGTCTGATATTCCGCTTGTAACTTACATCCACAACTGTTCCACTTCCAAGACCAGCCCAATCGAACCCGTTCAGGAGATGGTCGATCTTGGTTCCTTCGCTTGATGTTACGTTCTTCATGTATGTAGCAAATTTCTTCCGTAGATCAGGCTCCTGGGCCAGATAATCGAAGAAAGGCATGTCCGTCTCGCAAGCCAGATTGAATGCCGTTTCAGTCTTGGATTCAGTGGCACCCCACTTTTCGGTTGCATCAACCAGCCGCGCGGCTCCTTTCGCTGTAGCCTCAGCCATGAAAAGAGCCCAATCGAGCATTCCCGGATTGGTAACCAAGAGTGCCGACATAGGCGTGTGGGCTACCTGACCGGGGCTCGGCTCGCGGAGAAAGCCATGCAGCATTGCCATACGTGCAATGCGCTTTAGCTGACTGAGCGGAACTGAGGCGATGGTGGACACTTCGGCATACGCAACAGGCCCATGAAGGGGAATGAACGACAAAACCCGAAAGTGGCATAGCCAATGAATGCAGGCAAAGTTTTGAAACTACAGATTGGATGAATTTGTTAGCAAGTGCACAGCGAGGTCTGTGAGCAACAAATCTGTGCCATGAAACACTCGCAGGAAGAAGCCTACTACTCGACTGATACGTGACAGGGTACTTTACGTACATTGATGGCAAGCTGTGGGACAAACTCGCGCGGTTCTGTGGCCAGCTGCTGGATCTTGAAAGCTGAAGACACCAACTTTTGACGGGCCTTCAGGACGTGGAGGGGGGCCGTGGCTGGTAGAGTGACTTCAGGAGCGTCTGAGCCGAAAGAGGGATATGGCAAGCCAGAAGAAAGACAGTAAGCGTCAATCAATTTGGCCGCGGCACATATGTCCTGCGCGTAGGACTCAAGTGGGGGAATTGGGCACATATTATTCAAGTAGGGATATCCACCATCAACATAGACTACACAGTCTCTGAGATAGTGTATTCGACTTGATGTTGCCACAAGGGATCTTGGTGAGACCAAATTGACCAGATGGACGGACTGCGTCCTTTTTGACCTTACGCAGCTCCCTTGTCATCCGTCTCGTGTCAGGTTGTATTAGGATTGTGGTGATTGCAACCTAGCCGTCATAATTACATGTGTATTGGCAGAGGAAATACAACAATACGGGATGCGGTGAGCATGTGCAGAAAGCTGGCTTAGCCAGAACCAACCGCAGCAGTTACGCTCCCCGAGAGTGTTCAGAGAGCACATGCAGGGACGACCCGGCCGAAATACCATCGGTTCTGACTATTGCTTCCTCGCCGGCAGATACCCACGGAGAGCAAATGGGGTGCCTTGGAACTGTGGGGACAAGATTTGAGTGATCATGAGCGTGCCGTATGTGATCGGTTTGGAGAACGGCAACGGCTCTTCCGGCTAGCGATCGGACAGCGAAGCCATCCGCGAGAAACAGCTGTTTTATTAGACGCGGAAATGTTAGACCGATTCTTCGGTAAGCATGCAGACGAGTGGCACGGCAGTTGCGTGCAAGAGGACGCCTCCAACGCCTGGCAGCTAGCCTCTTAGGACAGACGGACTCCGACGGCTTGGCGGTCTTAACCGTCTCCAGCATTAGGGAGGGCGTGCGATAAATATTCCCATTGGCTAAGTTAAGAAGCCAAGCTTGCGGGATGCCGCATGGTAGATACCGTAGCGCATTTGCCTGTACCTCAATGCGCATGATCTTCCGCGCACAGTGCAAAGATATGCAAGCTGACCGCATAACTCCGAAACCCTGCAGAGCCCCCATATGTCGAAGAGTGACCTTTTCTTTCTGACAGTATAATTGAGGGAGCCACCTTTCTTGCAACAGGTTTCGCACTCAATAAGCCGCATGGTTGGGTTGCATTCCAGACTGTTACCATGTTCTACCCAACAAAAGTAAGGTCTAGAACCAGATAGACTTGTCTAAAAGTGCAGGCGATTGGCGTCAGTTTGCTGACGCGCTATCTATCACCTAGATACTTCATACCTCCATCGATACTATAGACCCTTGCTAGGACCTGAAGGCTTCAAAAAGATGGCTGGGCTGTGTTGAATTCAAACTATGGGGAATGGACATGAACTTGTGCCGAGGATACTACATGTTAATCATCTTAATCTGATCAGGATGAATGATTGGTAGAAAAGTTTATGATACATAGAAGTAAACACATGGCCATTTGTATATGGTGATGTAATCTAAATGTGGTAAAGAAAGATCTCTCACTGTGCATTGCTGCTGAAGCTTCCTAGCTGGAAATGAGCATTTGAGTCGTGTCTCTGGCAATGGCCCTCAGTTGGTTTTGTAGGAACTGTTCCATCTGGATGAGAACAGGCGTAGCAGGGTTTGCTGTCTGATTGGTCGGCCCAGCAGTTGGAGGCTTCCCTGCGCCGGAACCTCGAGGTACCCCGGTTAAACTATCGGCTACCCGATCGTTGCCACCGATAGCCTCTACACCATCTTCGCGGACATCACGAAAGCGTGCCACTATCTTCTTTACCAGTCGCAAAACAAGGTGCAGTTCGCTCAAGACAAGCTGAGCATACATCTTTGGGCCGTGCTCGTTGTTCAGAGGATATCTACCCACAGCGCTCATGGCCGACACCGAGACAGCGTCTGGGGTGGAATCAAGCAGAGGGCTGCTTCTTCTGCCGACACCGGAGTTGGGCATTGGCGATGTGACCAGAGACATGCTCATGTTAGATGTACCCCGGCCAGCAGTTGGGGTGGCAGAGCAGTTTCTTGTTTTATCCTGTGGCTCGTCTGGCACCGCTCGGGCCGCTGCACCGTACCAGCACAGGATCTTGGATACGATGGTTGTCATGAGCAGGGCAACCTGTATATTCAACGAACAAGGACAGCCAAGCATTCCTTCCACAGCAGCGAGAGTCTGTTTGTTGATTGCTAAGACCTGCTCAATGGTCCTTGGGAAACCAGATTTTGTCTGTGAAGGCTGTGATGCAGCAGAGGGCGGCTTTTCCGGGGTCGCCGGGGTCGCTGGTGTCTTCGCTGATCTGGATGTTGGCAGCTCCTCGGACGTTTCCACTGTAGCTAGGAGTGAAGAAGTGGCCTCCATGGCCAGGCTACTTGATGATGATGATGCGACAGAAGATGTCCGAGCGCAATTCGTCGGCGGGTCGTGTAGCATGCGCAGAATTTCAAGGCAACGCCCGAGGCAATGCAGTGATTGTTCGTCTGCCAGAGACTCTTTCTTGTTGTCATCAAAAGAATGCCTATTTTGCAACGTGGAGTAATAGTTTCCGACAGCTGCACCGTGGATGTCGGTTGTGTGGTCAAATATTGATGCTCCTGGATGACTTGACATGTCATGTTCCCGAGACACCGGTGGCGAGAGATTGAATACCAGGCTTTGGTACTGGTCTTCATATTTTGGATCCACAACCAAATGCATGCTATTAGAGGGAACCATCTCGAGAGCCACTCGAGGATCTGAAGGATTGGGATGGTTGAAGAGGCCCGGATCCAATGTGTCTTGGAAGAGGTCAACCTGGAGATTTCCATCAAAGGCTCCAGATTTCTCAACAAGAGAACTCTCCAATTCTGAGGAGAAGTGGACACCCAAACCGAAGCTATGGTCAAAGACCAGATTCTGGTAATCGGAATATCCCTTCCCACCTGGCGGACTGTGCATCGATGCATTGGCCAACGTGGGTGTGTCGATCACTTTGTTGGGTGCCGGTAAGGTCTGACTCCAGGCACGGCGCTTGCCAGTGCGGCGCGTCGGGCTGTAGTGACATTGCATCTCCCGATCCTCACACCGTTGGCATTGGGGATGCTCCTTAGTGCATTTGACCTTCGAGATTGCACAGTTGTTGCAGCTCTCTCTAAGCTTCTTGCGTGAGCGATAGGTCGAGCGCTCCATCTGCGATCTTGGCGGCCCTTCCTGTTCCAGTTGTCGTTCTGGCATCCCCCCAAGCGTAGTAGATGTACATGAAGGGAGGTCGGAGTTCGACATAGGCCAGTCTGCCAGCATGGAATCCATGTGTAAAGAGCTGGACAATGAATGATGATGTGTCTGGCACCAGCTGTAACTGAACTGCGATTTGGGCGTTTCCAGCTTATGAAAGGTCGGACGACATGAAGGCCATGGTCATCTAATGTTCGGGGAGTAGTAGTATGGAAGATAAGGGGTTGGATCAAGCTTTCAGCTACGGTGACTTGATTTCCAGCTAGACTTAACAATTGGGTGAGGAAGTCCGCGAATCAACAGTCTTTGGTTCCTGGCTACGTATCTCGCCAACTAGCGTTGTTTCTAGCATCAAGGCCTATCGCGGGCGTCGTTCCGATATCCCAACCGACATAGGTTTCAGACATGATCCTACCATACAGAAAACAGGTGATACGCCCAACTTCAGCTATGGGAGCTGCGGGTCAACCCGTCATCCTGAAAAGCGATGGTGGTCTGACTCTTCAGGGCGCACCATTTTAGGAGCGGGATCTAGTATGCCACGCCCGGAGATCAATTGAGCTCATCATACATGATCCGAACAGCGATGACCAGTGAGAACACTACTGACAAAGCAAATAAGCGAATCCTTCCGGAATCTGGCCGAAAAGGTCTGCGGGTGGCGTGAAGCCATAGCCTCACAATTTCCAAAAGCAGCACAAGCTGAAAAGCTAGATGCTTGATCTGCAAGCCACGTTGACTAGGCGCTCAACGATTGGTCGGCCTGCCCATGTAACTAACAGCCATAACGGCGGTTAGGTGTCATTAGATGCCGTTGGCTACACAACCTTGCGCACGCATGGTCGCTCGATAAAAGCAGTGGCACACTGCCACGGAGCCGTGTGAAGACAAGGGTCGAGGATCAGGATTGTGAATGTGACTCTAAGCGCACCGACGTTTGGAACCTACCAGGGATGCGGTGCCGGCGCTCAGACGGGTCATGCAAAGATCGCCTTTGTGACTGGCCTATTAGTGCTTACATCGAGCGATAACGACCGTTGGGCCTTCTATTTCTGGGGACATCGGTAGGACCATCCTGCGGAGCTGACATCGGAACAAGATATGGCAGAAGCCAAAAAGCAAAGAGTGGCGGTACAGCTTGCCACAAAGACGCACGCTTTCAGCCGCACGGTACCTAGGGAATCAACGTTAACTCGAATGGTTCACCGAGGTTTGTCTCGCCGTACGCTGACGGCTTAGTGGAAAGTAAAAAGAAAACCATCCTGTTACTGCCTGAGATGTGCTGACTTCTTACCCAACCCAAGTCAGTTGCCTCCTGGGCATAATACCAATAGCCTGATGCATCTACATGTTTGGGCCGGTGCTATTCACACACAGTCAGCCCAACTCCCAATCATGGAAGACTGAAAAGCTAGTGTCGTAGGCCAAGTTGGATGATAATTTCGCATAATGTTGGTTACACGGCAGCAGTAGCGTAACGTTCGCCTAGCTTAGCCACGGTTTTCCCTCCCAGATCCAGTAAATTCTCTGAACCCGCAACTTCCAGCACTGTGAACTCAGCCCCTATGTTCTGCCGCAACCAATTGCGCAATTCGATGCTGACGAGGGAATCCACGCCAAGCGAGCTTAGCGGCGCTTTCAAATCTAGACTCCCGAGATCACGCATCATGAAGCCAAAGAGGGTCTCTCCGATCTGCTTGGCGAGAAATGAAATGCTCTCAGCTGATTGGAGGGTACCCGGGTTGCTGCTCGCTTCGGAAAGGAAATGCTTCAGAACGTTGTCGCCTGAGACAATGTTCGCAACTACCGCCTGTGGTTCGATGTTACGGTAGATAGCCATCCGAGGATCGCGCTTCCATATCGTGCGATTGTTGCGTGCCGACAATGGAATGGATGAGCGGAAGCCGATTCCTACCTGACTACCGCTTACATACCCAAAAGGCGTTCCGACAGTGGATAGTTGAGGACGAGAACGGCGTATCATCAACTCGAGAGAGTCGAGAAGGTCTTGCTCATGAAGCACATGGAGGGTGGTCGCGCGTAAAGCTTCAAGGATACTGGCATTCTTGCTCAAGTAACCTACGTCGTCCATTGCACCGATGTCGAGGACAGAAGCTGGCAGTCCCTGGGCATGACGGTACTGGACGAAGGCGTCCAGAAAGGCATTCGCGCTAGCGTAGTTGGCCTGGCCGGGTTGCCCCGCAAGCCCCGAGAGGGAGCTGAAGAGGAAGAAGAAGTCCAGAGGTTCCTTTTGACAGAGGAGGATCTTGTGAAGATTCCAAGTTCCTTGAACCTTGGGCTGTATCGCTGCCTGCCACTGCTCGAAGGTCATCTCGTTTATCGAAGCATCCTAGGATGGCATCGTTCAGCTGATGATGTCTCAAAGCTACAAAAAGCAAACGCAAAAGACTTACACTAAGCACTAAAGACGCCTGGAGCACGCCCGCAATCGGCCTTCCAGCAGCTCTGATCACGCGGGCAACATCGCCCGCCTTGGCAACGCTGCCAGAGAAGGTTTGTACAGCACACCCTTGAGCTTCGAGTTCGCGTAGGTAAGGATCGTCCTTAGGTACTGCCCCCGCAGATCGTGAAAAGAAGATTATGTGAGCCGCGCCTCGCTCTACCATCCACGATGCGACTGAGCGTCCGAGGCCGCCGAGTCCCCCAACGATCAGGTAGGCACGGTCTTGACGAAAGGTCAGCTCTCTTCTCTCTGTTTTCACTCGAAGAAGTGACATTTGCTTTGCCTGAGGTAATATGATGACGATCTTGCCAATGTGTTGCCCTTTTTGCATGAATCGGAATGCATCTTCCACTTGTGTTGCATCAAACTGTTTGATGGGACTGATAGGTTTGATGTGGCCCTGCTCATAGTACCGGATAGCCCGCTGAAGAAGACTATTCATGAGCACCGGGCGCTGCGTACAGACCTCAGTAAGGTCTACTCCCTGGAATGAGCGGTTCTGCTCGAAGACGTCCATCGCGAGATGCGCCCGACCAAGGAAGTCCCGCTTGCCGATTTCCACCATGATTCCGAATTTGGCAATGCATCGCCAGGTGGCATGTAGCAGCTCGCCGGAGAGGGAGTTGAGTGCTACGTCCACACCGCGGCCCTTCGTGGCAGCCATGATATCGGGAACAAAGCTAGTGTCCCGCGAGTAGAATATCCGATCACGATGGATCCCGAAGTGTTGCGTCAAGAAACCAGCCTTTTCTGACGTGCCCACGGTACAGTAAATCTGCTCGCGATTAGCCACCACAGAGAAGCATGTATTTTCAACCTGGAAACCCACTTCGGCCCCAATCATCTTTGCAACCTGGATTGCGGCGATGCCTACCCCACCGGCCGCAGAATGAATCAGGATGGTCTTTTAAACTTCATTAGATATGTCTCGCAAACATGATGTCAATTCGGGTAGTGGTTGACTTGCCTGCCCCTTTTCGAGCCTCGCCACGTCTATAAGCGAGTATATGGCGGTGCCGTAAACGCATGGTATGGTCGCGCCCTCAGAAAAGCTCAAGCCATCGGGCATCTTGGTACACAGATGCTCCCGGGTGGTCAACTTGGTGGCAAAGGAACCTGCGGCAATTGAGACGACGGGATCTCCAATCTTGAGCCCCACAACGTTCGGCCCAACCTTGGTGACAACGCCACTGCATTCGCATCCCAGACCCCCTTCGCCGTTCATGCGGTCAGGGCCAGGAACAATATTCATAGCAATCAATACATCCTAGGGTAAATCATCATTAGAAAACGAAGTGGATTCAGGAGGCTGCTAGTCACTGACCTTGAAGTTCAAGCCAACTGCTCGGGGCTCTATTTCTACCCAGTCCTCTGCAACTTCGGGAAGAGACCTAACCTGTTGCCAGAACAGTGTCTGAAGCGCTCCTGGTCTTTCAATATCGAGCTGTCTCGCGCGGGTCGTGTCTTGCTCCTCTTGCAACAACTCGTTCACAGAAATCCAATGGAATTTGCCGACCTGGATTGCCCCGCTATCGTAGGCATACTCCATGACTGGATTCATTTCGTCTTCATGGACACGATGTTCAAACTCGTGCAAAACATCTGGGATGACTGCCCATGCCGCCGCGTCAACCAAACTGTCAAGTTCGAGGGTAGCGAAATCGATTTGTAGTTCCGAACGGATGGTTCGTGCGAAGCCGAGCGTTTGGGAATAACGAGGGTCTTTGCACATGATCTGGCAAGCCGCAGTTATCCACAACATCCCGGACTCTTTGATACAGTCTAGAATCGACTGGAGCCAGGTAAAACGCTCAGAGGTCAGATTATGGAAGAATGGTTCGCCCATATCCAAGAGGGATAGTACCATCTGTCCGGGCCGCGGAATCTCCAAGGGCGCACAGTAATCTGTTTCGTACCCTCTCTGGTTAAGAAGATTGACAATGTCGATCACATGAGGGGAGCTCGGTTCGGGTACCAGTATCGTGATTCGTTTCGTTTTGTGTTTATCGCAAGATGGCATGGCGATGATGTTGTTGTTAAGATGCCCATCAAACTTGACGGTGGTAATCCCCCCAAAGCCAGCTGCCTTGAGCTCCTGGTCCCACCGATCAGGAGTTACGTACGGCTCATCCACGCGACCATCCGCTTCTCCAAGCCACCAACCTGCCAGAGGACCCATGACATAATTGATCCACTTTGTCGTAGGGCTTAGCTCTTGTAGGAGCAGCCTGCCACGAGGATGAAGGAGTTTACGGACGTTGGTCAGCGTGTCGTGCAAGCTAGGGGTGGCGTGTAAGACGTTGCAGGCGATGATGAGGTCGAAAGACTCGGCTTTGAAGCCTTGCGCAATGGGGTCCTTAGAGATGTCTAATACCGCGTACTCCATTCCAGCGACATCGTGAAACCGATTTTTCGCAGTGACAAAAAAGCCTGCAGAAATATCGGTGTACGTATACGTTCCGTACAGGCGCTCGCCATAGCTGGAAGTCATATGCGGTATGATAGTGCTGGTTGTCCCGCCGGTCCCGGCACCGATTTCGAGGATTTTGAGGTTTGGCTTAGTATGACCAAGCAGGCGAAACAGCTCGCCATACTCCCAGAGCTGCATATAATTGTAGACTCCAGTGAGAACATCGTTGTTCAAGAGGACGTCAAGCGCGTTGACTGTACCTTCGAAGATGCCAGCCACGGAGGAGAATATGCGATGGACTGCAATCGTAACATCCTTTGCCCCTGTCTTGGACAGCTGATCATAAAGCTCGCATATGAGCTGCCTTCTGTCCTGGCTGCTCATCGTGGCCAGATCTCCGGATTCTGCAACGTTTGGATAGTCACCTGTGCAGGCAGTCTCCCGCTGGGCGGCTAGCCAAGCACGAAATTTGTTCATATACCAGATGTCAGTCTGCAATCTCTCAAGCTGGACACTGCTTTCAATCATGCATGCCAAGGCAAATTTCTCAAGGAGCATGTGCTCCTGAGTAATATCCCTTGAAAACATCAATGTTGAGAGATCGAGGAAGTTGAGATCACGATCCCATCTCTGCTCAATGGCGGCGTGAGGATCATCACCCACAATCTCTTCGCTGTGGACCAAGGGCGAGAGCTGAAGATTCTTGAGGCTGATCACAGTTTCCCCATTCGAAACTCCGGAAAGGCTTCCGAAAAGCCCTCTAGCGTTTCGTGTAGCCTCGCCCTGCATCCGCACGACTCCATTCGGAGGCCTGACGTAAAGTTCCTCTACGTATGTTGGAACCGATAGAGTATCAAACCGCCTGGATATTCCCTTGAAAGCGGCGACCATCAAAAGTTGGAATGACGCATCAAGGGCTGCAGGGTGAAGAGCGTATGATGATTCTCTTTCCTCAAAGTTCCCTGGGCAACATTAGTAAATGTTTACAGTAATGAATAGGCAAGAAGGCCTACCGTCCTCGATCGTAGCGACCGCCTTTGTGTCATCAACTCCAGTCGTGACATCTTTGAGGAGACGGAACCTAGGTCCATAGGCCAATCCGAATCGCCTCATAACACGGTACCATCCCGAGGCGGAAACCTGACGTTCCAGTGGCTCAATAGCGCTTTGGGTGTGCTCGAATTCGCGACCGGCTCGAATCTGGCCCGTTATGTGCTTGACCCAGGTGCTGCCGTTCAAAGATGTCACATCAAAGTCGTACCAACACGATTGCAGACTTGTCGTAAGTTGAACTGGCCGAAAGCTGGTGACTAGCTCAATTGGTTTACCCTCCTGAACTACCAGCGCTGTGGTGATGTTGACCCGTCGCACAGTATAATCGTCAATACCAGACAACTGAAAGATAGCCTGCCCAGCCATGGCGATGAAACTGGCTGCAGGAAAGAGCACATCGCCGGCAATTTCATGGTCTCGAATCCATGGCACATCATCGAGTCTCAGAATATTACGCCATGAAGGGTTCAGATCTGTGCTCTGGAGAACGCGATCGCCGAGAATATCGTGGCGTTTGAAGCTCCTCATTCGCCAGCTTTTTGAAATGCGACTCTCAGCCCAGTGTTTGGCTTCGTAATGCCATGGATAAGACGGAAGATCGGAGAGGAGCTCAGACTCGCGGTTGAGCAAAGTGAAGTCGATTTCCGTGTTTCGAAGCCAGAGATTCCCAGCCATGTTCAGCATGTCCACCATGGCGTTGTTGTTCCGAACTAATGTCGGGACATAGTCGAGAAGGCTATCATCAAATGCTCTGAAAGCCTGACGAATAGGACCGGCCAAAGCCGAGTGAGGCCCAATTTCGACGAAACAAGTAGGGGATGGGAGAGTTGACAGGGCTTGGCGTACAGCGGGATAGAAGAGAACCGGAGATACAAGGTTCTGGACCCAGTACGATGCACCAAGTGCACCAGCTGTGGAAATGATTTTACCTGTAACTGAGGAATAGAACGGCACAAGTGGTGATTCCGCATGTACAATATCCTTGATTAGAGACAGGTATCTGCCTGCAACCGTCTCCATGTGATCTAGAAATTGTTAGGGCATTGCATGATCATTAGGTGTTTGCACTTACGAGAGTGATATGCACACTCAACCCGCAGAGTGCGCACCAAGGTTTCTGGGAATGCATCTTGAATATTGCACATGACTGTCTCAAGGGTATCCATATCACCTGTTAGTGTCACGCTTGAAGGACTGTTCTCGCAGCCAATGACGACACCAGGTTGAAGAAAGGACGAGACATCCTGACGCCCGAGACCGACCGCAGCCATCCCGCCTGCATGAACTTTGCCGAGTCCCTTTGTGATCTGGCCTCTGTAATAAGCTATGAGAATAGCTTCGACCGAGTTTATAGCCCCGCAAGCATAAGCGGCAGCGATCTCGCCGGAGGAGTGTCCAAGGACGGCTCGGGGTTCGACACCCCAGTGCCTCAGGAGATCGACAAGGCCTATTTGAATAGCGGTGCAGCATGGTTGCGAGAATTCGGCTTCAGATAGTCTGCTCTGGTTCTTTGGCCGAAGGAGCTCATCTGGGGTGACGTTCAGTATCAAGTTGTCTTGTGGGTCGGTAGTTAAAGCAACGATACACACCTTCCAAACGCCAATTCGGTGACTCTGCTAATTGAGCAAGGATTTTATCGAGCGTGCGAATGGAGTTCTGGAACACAGGTTCATTGTCAAAAAGCTCCTTCCCCATCTGCGCCCACTGTGCACCTTGCCCGGTGAAGGTCCAAACTAAATTGTAGGGCTTGCCAAGCGTCATAATCGGAGACATTGACAAGGGGCTACCCGGTGTGGCCACAGAGAAAGCCTTGTGAGAGAATGTTTCACGCCTGGCACCGAGAGTATAGCTCATATGATGCAGGTACCCCGGATGTTCAAGGGCATAGGTGTCGAAGTTGTTCATGCATTGCTTGAGCGCGTTGGTATGCTTAGCTGAGGCAACCAGAAGCGCGGGCAAATTGCGAGCTCTACCAGGGCTTGGTTTTCCAAGGCCTAGAGATGAAGCCGAATCGAGAATGACCTGTAGACAAGGGGTGAGCTTAACAAAACAGGTTTTATGAGCCCCGGTAGGTCCTTACGTGTGCATTTGCTCCTCCAATCCCAAACGAATTAACACCCACTCTCTCAGCTTTGCCCACAGGCCATGGCGTAGGCTCAACCGGAACGATCAAGTTACCTTCTTTGAAGGGAATGTCGGGATTTGGCGTAGTGAAGTTGATGTTTGGGGGAATAGTTTTGTTCTCGAGAGCCAAAACCATCTTGATAACACTGGAAAGGCCCGAGTTCCCCTCTGAATGGCCAAGGTTCGGCTTGACAGAACCGATATACACGCCATAGGGCCCAAAGACATTCGCCACTGCCCTAGTTTCGATCGGATCCCCAGCCTTGGTACCTGTTCCATGACACTCGATCATGGCAGTCTGCGAGAAATCTGCGATGCCTGCCATTTGGTAGGCATGTCGCATCAGCGACTCGTGTCCCTGGGTGCTCGGCATAGTAAGGCCCGGCGTCTTCCCATCGGAGTTGACACATGACGACCTAATGACAGCACGAACCGCGTCTCCATCCCGGATCGCGTCGCTCAGCTTCTTGACGTATAATGCCGACACTCCCTCGCCGCGAGCATAACCGTCGGCACTAGCATCAAATGTTTTGCAGCTCCCTGTCGGTGAGATAACGCCTTGCTCTGTGAGCGCAATCGTCATCCGGGGCGCGGTGATGATACTCGTACCGCCCACAACAGCAGCGGAACAATCGCCGCGGGTTATAGCCATACAGGCCTCGTGAAGACCAGTCAGAGAGGACGAGCATGCTGTACGGATAGTCATACTGGGGGGCAGGTACTGTTAGAAAGTGCCTAAAAGAGTGGGAAGGATCACTGAACAAACTTACCTCGGTCCTCTGAAGTCGAATTCATACGAAACGCGATTGGAGATGACGAAGTCACTGTAGCCTGCCATGCGATACATGTTGGAATTTTGGTCGTCTTTGAGTTCCATGTCTAGCCAGTCTTCCCCAAAGCATCCCATGTAGCAGCCAATGCTCTTGCCACGCCAGTCTTTGGCCCCAGCATTCTCGAGGCATTCATGGACTACTTCGAGGGCCAAACGTTGCTGCGGATCCATGACATCTGCCTCTTGTCGGGTCATCGTCCAAAACGAAGTATCCATATCGGCGAGGTCGACATCATCAAGGAAGTAGCCAAACTCGGTTCCGACATGGCCGGCCTTCCCAGGCCCGAAGAAGCCGTCCACGTTGTATCGATCATTTGGTACTCTGCTGCGGGCGCTCCTTTTCTTCACGAGGAAGTCCCAGAAGGCATCGGAGGTGCGGATTCCACCAGGAAGCCTCATGGCCATGCCCACGATAGCTATTGGTTCGTGGTAAGAGTTGAATGCCGCCTTTCCATTCGAGCTCGCATCTGCGATGGCGGCTGGAGCGTCGCCCTCCTGGACATTCGAGGAAGCCCCCGGGCAGAAAATACTGTTCTCTACACTGCCCATACTGTGACACTTGCACGCGGCTTAGTGAAGTAGTGGTATCTTGATGTGTTTGGGAGGAAAGGAAGCCTGAGAACCGAGCATACGGTGTTACTGTGGCAGTACGACACTAGTTGTTGCGATATGTGTGAGATGAGAAATTTAGTCTAACTCAGGAGCTGGCATAAAAACAAAGATATACTGGTGGTGATTGGTAACTTCCGCAAACTCCATCTTGACACAGTTTTGACTTTGGGTTGGATGAGCAGGCGAGCGACGTTTCAGTGTCATTCGTAGAACAAAGTCGCCGAGGACGCCACGGTTCTGACAATACGTTTTCTTCGGCTGATAGAGCGATTCGGGGAAGTGAATTAATTGGAGACCGAACCTCGCGGCCAAGTTTCGGTATTGATCGGCAGTCGGGAATCATACGGAACATCGAATGCTTGCATGAAGCCCGACCCGTCTCCGTGCAATTCTGCTGACACGCGTTTTGAGGCCCACAGAGCTGAAAGATATGTACACTGTGACATATGGCGAACAGATTGGCAATATCTGCCAGATTCAGAAACATAGGCTCCCCCACATAGGGCAGGAAGGCTTCCACTTAGACAAGAAAGCTAATGGTGAAAAGCAATCGGAGATAACTTTTAGGAATTCAGATACTAAGTCGACGGAGGAGCTGAGATAACCAATAATGATAGGAGACGTCTGGAGGACTTACTACCCCGCGACGCGGGATAACTTCACCAGTGCGTGATTCCTTCCTGGATAGCCTTGATCTGCAACGCGACAATCCGAGAGAAGTAGCGGCAATATGCGAAGTTTGTCCCCATATACCAGAATCCAGGATGACCGGTTCGCTTCCAGATTGTTCGAACCTCGCCTTCTTGGTCGAATCCCCAGACATCTTCCACACGATCGGCAACTTGGTCGCCGAAGATGACCCGCGTCTGTGTCCGCATGTTCTGGAAGCCTGTGGCAAACACAATCTCATCAGCTGGCAACCGACTACCATCCGAAAAGAGAATTTCGTGAGGAAAGATCTCAGCAATCTCTGTGCCCTGTTTCAGTTTGATCTTCCCATCCACCACGAGCTGACTTGCACCCACGTCGACGTAATAGCCGCCTCCGCGGTGCAAGTACTTCATCATGTAGCCGGTATCGTCCACCCCACGATCCAAGTTGAACCCGACCCGGGCTAAGCCTTCCAGAAGTTCGGCATCAAACTTATTCTGCAACTCGCACACCTTCTTCTGCTGGGCTTTGAAAAGCTCCATCGGCAAGCTCCATACCAGCAGGTCCGCATCCTCGGTTGGCGGTCCATCCTCTGTGAAAAGGCCCTTGACTCCCACCGTGTTCCTAAACTTGGATGAGATAACCAGGGTCGAGCTTCGCTGGATCATTGTAACATCGTAGCCCTGCTCGTAGTAATCCTGGGCGATATCGTGGGCGGAATTGCTTGAACCGACTACTACAGCCTTTTTGCCCTGGCCATTTGGAGCAGCACTTGCAAATTCGGTGCTATGAGCCATGTTGCCTTTAAATGATTCCATGCCCTTGATGGAAGGCATGTTTTTCGGGCCTGCGTGCCCGGTTGCTTGGATGATGTGGGCTGGATGGATCGTGCGTGTCTCAGAGGTGCCGTCTGCCCGTGTCCGCTGCAAGACCACGGTCCATTCTTGTCTGCTGTCATTCCATGTGCTTGATACAACTCTTGTCTTGACCCACACATTCAGTTCCAAGAGAGACACATAAGCTTCGAAGAATTCCGCCAGCTTGTCCTTTGGCGTGAACTTGGGCCATTGGGCGGGGAATTTCAGGTACGGCATGTGATTTAGACACACTGGATCATGAAGAACAAGATGGCGGTACCGTCGGCGCCAATTGTCCCCGACATGATCTTCGCGGTCGATGACCAGAGTGTCGACATTGAGAGCCTTTAGTCTCGCGGCTGTTGTCAGTCCGCTTTGGCCAGCGCCTGGAACGAAAAGGTTAGGTTCATTCTATGCAGCACCTCTGATCATGGGACGAGGCCACCACTTACCCACGATAAGCACGGCAGGCTCACGCTCCCAGAAATCGATAGCGGCCTGGCGTTTATCTTGCCAGTTCTGTCGTTCAAGCTTTTCTCCGTGCTCGGCACCATTCGGACGACGCTCGTTCAGTAGTTCCTCATGGCCATGCAGCTTCTCGAGGGTCGTGAAAAGCGTAAAGAACTTCCACTGGCCCTGAATCTCGGCCAACTTGGCGACGCCTCGGCCAGCGCCAGCCTTCGTTGACACTTTCACAAAGAACTCGATGCCTGAAGCACTCGAGGCTGGGCCGTATAGTCCGTCAATTGGACCATGCTTGGGCGCACGAAGCTGGGTCGAGATGTCTACCTCGATCGATACACAGTCCAAATTCGGACTGTTTGCAACGAAATGGGCTATCTTATCATGCCCCTTCATCGTGCGCAAGTCCCAGGTGAGACATAGATGGTCGCGCCAGTAACTGTTCTCGTGGAAAACAAGTGCTATCGCTGAAACATCTCCTTCTTTCAAAGCTTTATTCAGCCTCTGCACCAGCTTGAACGCGACCACGTCGGCGTCAGGGAATGACCAAGCCAAGGGCGGGAAGACGCCGATGGGAATGTTGTAAGAACCGGGTACGATTCTATTCTTCGATGGGACAACATCCAGGTCCCTTTCAACGGCTGCCTCCTTTGCATGCGTGCTACTGAGTTGATCTTGGTCCAGAGCTTCGAAGGCCACTGGATGGGCGTACTGCGGAGTTTCGACTGCAGATGGCATGGTGCACTTTTGGTCTCGTGTAAAAGGATTAGATTGGAAATAACAATGATAGATATGAAGAACTAGCAGAGGGCAAGTGTTTATATATATCTGCCTGTCTCACATAACGACTGGCTGTGGCGCCGTTGAAAATTCCCGCCGAAAGCACATGTAACCCATGTGAGTTACTCGGACCTCGAGATCCCATATAGTGGCAGGTTGATGCTTCGCGACTTCAATCCCCGAATGAATCCATATCCCTGTCTAGCGACAAGGGATCACCTTTTCGGCGCCTGCCTTTGACCGTCGGCAATTGAAAGATCCGTGGCAGCACACCTTGCCCGAAGCACATTTCAGGCTAGTTTAGGCCCGGACTTGCACTTATCCGTTAGCCATATCGCTAACGGGATGCGTCCTCCTTGTCCGTACGGAAGATCAGAAGTATTAAGTAACTACAGACATGTATGAACTTGGGAAAAGCAGAGGCCACTCCGTTCGATCCATCCAATCAGGTCAGCCCTTCGGCAACAAACACATCTCAGGTCAGCCCTTCGGCAACAAACACATCTCCGGCGGTTTCAATCGCCATCTCCCAGCACGCAAGGCTCAAATACAAAGTCTCCCCTACCCCAGTACCCCATACCCCAGAAATTGAGACCGAGTCTGCTGGTTTTGGTATGCACTGACATAGGCAAGACATTGACAAGTTAATCCACTCTTTTCGCCTTGCTCACCTCTCCAATCTCTTGCAGCATGGCTAGCGACAAGAAGCCGACAGGGCCATTAGAGAAGCCAGAAGATGCCCACGATGAGTTCGAAACATCCAGTCATCAAGTAGTCGGCGAAGATGAATCACTGCCCGCAATCGAAAATGTGCATCGTAACAAAGCCTTCACGCGGAAACTCCTCTTGAAACTCGATACAAGGTGTGTCCTTTCAAACCCGTTCGGCCCTTAAGATTGCTTCTGACTGAAACATCTTGATGAAGAATCGTCCCAGTTCTTGGTGTCCTATTTCTCTGCTCGTTCTTCGACCGAACTAATGTTGGCAATGCCAAAATCTTGGGGCTGGAGAAGGATCTTAAGCTGTCCAATGGCCAATATGCCAACGGACTCGCCATCTTCTTTGCCTTTTACATCGCCGCTGAGTTGCCCAGCAACCTGGTGCTTAAGAGGGCGAGTCCAAGAATTTGGCTGGCCTTCCTTACGGCTGCCTGGGGGATTGCCGGCATGTGTTTGGGCTTTGTTCGAAACTATGCCAGTTTCCTCGTTGTTCGTGCAATTCTAGGGCTTTTCGAAGGGGGTCTTGTGCCAGGTATGTTGCACCCTAGTCTACACGGTTTTACGGCCTTCCTAACTCGACTGTAGGGATGGTCCTCTATCTCTCCGGAATCTATACTCGCGGTGAACTCGCCCTCCGGGTTGGTCTATTCTACGTCAGTGCATCCCTCGCCGGCGCATTCGGGGGCCTCCTTGCCCGTGGTCTTTCCGCCATTCCGGTTGTGGGATCCGTCGACGCTGGCTGGCGCTGGATCATGATCATCGAGGGCCTAATCACGGTTGTCGCTGGTGTCGGCGGGTACATTTTCCTCCCTAACAGCGTCGCGACTGCCTCGTTCTTGACACCAGAAGAGCGCAGATATGGAGAATCGAGACTCCGCAACGACACTAGACGCCACCTGACTGATGGCCAAGAGTCCGAAACGGTGGAAAAGTTTCGCTGGTCTGAGATTCGCCGTGGGGTGTTAGATGTTCAAGTCTTTCTAACCGCCACCGCGTATTTTGCCATCCTATCAGGCCTTTACTCTTTCGGTCTCTTCCTCCCCTCCATCATCAACGGCCTGGGCTACACGGCCAATGATGCTCAACTTTGGTCGGTCATCCCATACGCCGTAGCCTCTGTTCTCACCGTGGGTGTGGCCTTTGTATCGGATCGTCTCAAGGTCCGAGGCATTATCATGCTTGTAACACTTCCGCTAGCCATCATCGGGTACGCCGTGATTGCTAATGTCGGGGAGCATGACAACCAAGTCAAGTTTGGCATGACATTTCTCATGGCAACTGGCTTGTACGCCAGTGTCCCACCCATATTAGTGTGGTGTTCTAATAATTCGGCTGCACACTTCAAACGAGCGACGGCGTTGGGCGTGCAGCTCATGATTGCGAATTGCGGTGGTTTCGTCTGTGGTAGGTTGCTGTGCACAATCCATGCAGAAGACGTCAATCACTAAAGCCCTGACAGCCTTTATTTATCCCTCTACCGAAGCACCACAATACCACAAATCACATAGCATCGTCCTTGGATTGCTAGCATATGCCTGGCTTGCGTGGGTGGCCCTAGTACAGATTTGGATAAGTATGACGACTGACAGCAAGAACAGAATACTTTTGAACGTGCTATACTGTGCGAAGGTCAACCGTGATAAGGCTCAGGGCAAGTATAACAAATATCGGGGATACGGGGACGACCGGGACCCTGAGTTCAGGATGGTTTTGTGATGCGCAGGAGGGATGTTTTAGATACCCATTTCAAGGCATCAAGTTTCATATTAAGAAAGGGCTCTTGAAGGAAAATACATTCAAAATTGAGGTATAACGATGCTTCTCGCGGTAGGAAAATACATATTAGGAGACACTCATTCTGTGTGGCCTGGAGCAACCTATAAAGACCGCTTGATAGACTCAGCGTGCTAAAAGGTTCAACATCTAGGAACAACGGACAACATACATACATCACAATAGCACTAGCCCACTCCTGAGACGAGTTAATTCTCTGCACATGTCGATTCCATATCTCTGACACTACCTATACTCTTGTGATACTGACGTTAATACCCTCGCCGAGAACGCAAAGGAGAGGGGTTTTCAGGTTGGTAAACATGCATGTGATAGGGACGAAATTGGAGAAGCTCTACGCATAAAGATCAATGCTGAATTCAACGTCCACTAGATAAATCCCTTAATTTCATAAGTCTTCGACACATTGCGACTGTGCACCCGTAAAGCCTATGACGGATTTACCCAGGTACACAATAGCGTTTCCGTTCTATGGCTGGAATTTACAGAAGTCTGTACGGGAACAGCCGGATTACATACGGGTCATTCATATGAAAAAGTCCACTAATCCAGACGTCCAATCATCATTATATATCTATAATACCTGATTCGAAACACCAAGTGTTCCAGGCTTCTTCTAGAGGTACTTAGCTAACCACGAGAGGACAAGCTGATAGCCTCTTTCGTACTCCCTTCGACATCGCTCTTGATCAAGATTCCCTCTAGAATTGTTCCCTAGTCAGCAAAAAGAGGAAATAGTGATGAGCTGGCCTACTTGAAAGTGCCTAAGCATACCTTGCCGACATCCAGCCATGGGTCTCTTCGAATCTCTCCAGGTACTTAGGGCCTTTAAGGTTCTCGCAATAACTCCTTGCGACTGTCTCATCCTCCCCGTTCGACGTTAGCATCATAGTCGGGGTTGTGATAGTCTTGGCCTCTTCGGGATCGAGTCTTGATGGTGACGTGAGAGCCGTTACGTCTAGCAACGACTGGCCTTCCCGGGCAGCAATGAGACTGACACCCTTGGTGCCCCAGCAAAAGCCGACACCAGCCCATCTCTGCACATGTCTATATCTCTCGTCGGACCTCAAGGCCTCCGCCGTCGTGTGGATGTCCGCCATCATGTGCTTCGACGTTACTACCGCTAGAAGGTCTTGGAGGGGCTTCTCGTCGGCATTGGGCAAGAACCACGCATGCTGCGCAGCCCGATCGGAGCCAATGAAATCGGGTACGAATACGAGGTACGGCTCGCTTCCTTTGGTTGCGAGAATGTCTGCACCTTGATAGGTCTGGGGAGAATATCCAAAGAGATCGTAGACCTGCAGGATTGCTTTTTTGGCTTTGGGCGAGCCGGTTACATCTTTGCAGAAATATCAGCAAAGTGCGGCTCACGCACCAAGTGGAGAAGAGGGATTACCAACACGTTCTGAACCCATTGATCTCGGTCCATGAGCCCTTGGGCGCGTATTCGCCGACAACCGCAGCTGGAGTAGTACAGCACGCTGAAGAGTACTCGTTGACCATCTTTGCCACTGCCTGTCGATGTCTTGCTCGATACTGGCCAAAGAGATACTGATTGATATGTTCAAAAGGACCGCCATTAAATGCTTTAAGTGATGACATATTATATCCGAACGAATGATCGTAAAGGTTGGGGACCTCTTGTAACCGGACCTTTCAATGTCCGACAGGCGAAGATGAGGGGTGGGGTTCCTAACCAGGCTCACCTCGAAGTTTCAGACTTCCTTATGATAACACTACTGGGCTCGATCAGTACGGAATTTGAAAAGCCCGAGAGACCAGATTGGGTAGTCACGGATATAGATCTTCATATGTCCGCTTCGCGCATAACCACGCGTGGAGGCAAGCGCACTTGTCCGAGGCCACTAACACGGCGTTTTTTTAAACAAATACTAGATTTCGAGGTACTTCTCTAGTTACTAATCATTCAGACTCCCGGTCCATACCGTTTGTGGTGTCTTTGCTCGCCCTCCATATCTCCAGAGCCGAAGAAGAGCTGACTGGCCTCTGTTCCCGTTATCGGAACTCAGATACGCCATTCTTGTCGAATATTATCGGATCCGACTCTAGTGTCACGAGACATATTTGGTTACCGGTCACAGTGTGACAGTTTGTTCAAATTTCAAAGCGGCAGACAGGCGTAAGCGGACATGGCTGGAATCACCTCCCGCCTAGCACTTTTCTGTGGCCGGTTTTGCCTGCCGAATGGCCGGCGGAAGTTCCCTCGACAATCCAAACCTTTTCGCTGCTGCCTGTCCACAAGGAGACCGTCTGTCAGAGCAACTCCGCCAGAATCACATACGAATTCGACATCATCTCAAACCCGACAGAGTTTCTCCATTACAAAGTTTTTCGGCTGGTATACCCGCCAACAACGTAGCCGGCCATACATCACAGAACTGTGCAGCATGTCTCTCATCTATTTTGTAGGGGACTTTGCTGCGCAAATAGTCGGTGGAGACAGCTATGATTCCCGACGAACGCTGCGCAGTATCGCGATCGGCGTGGTTGTGGCGATCCCCAGCCTCAGATGGTTCAATTTTCTTGGCCGGCACTTCAACTATCCTTCCTCAATCGTCTCGACATGCACCAAAGTCGCGGTGAACCAGCTTATTTATACATCTATGTTCAATGTATACTTCTTCGCCTTTCACGCGATTCTCTCTGGCATGACCATCAGCGGAGTCATTCAACGAGTAAAAAGTACTGTATCTAAAAGCCTCCCACGCAGCTTCCTGTACTGGCCTTTCGTTATGGCCATCAACTTTACCTATGTTCAGCCGCAATCTCGGTCAATTGTCACCGCTATCTTTGCGGTGTTTTGGCAGTCATATTTGAGCTGGCTCAATGCCCAAGCCCAGAAGCACGAGAACGGCCACGGATCATCTTTCACTCTGCCGGAATGACAGAACTACGGTCAGCCACTCATCTCATCTCTTCACAGCCTTGAAGGACAATGGCGATTGAATGTTGTGGTGGCTATTCACATGACGCTTAAGTACTCAGGCTTAGTTACGGGCCCTTTAAAATCATTTTTCTAATACCTCTTTCCTAATGAATTAAATCACTTCCAGTATCAAGTTGGTGACGTCCAAGAGGTACAGCTCGGAGAAGCTGCGACCTCAGACCCCTAAAAACAAAACAACAATTGAGAGATAGGCAGGAGGGATGTTGTAAGATCTATTTATCGAGGCTCGAGGGGTCTCCTGAAGACAGGATGACGAGGAGGGAAGAGACACCCGCAGGGTGCTTCTGACACAATCAATTCTGTGCAGGTTTAAGGTTTTCTGGGGTACCCAATGCCTGAATGGTACCGAACTAGGCCTAATTAGTGTTGACTATCATTGGCCGACAGGAATTTGCTAGTGAAAAGCGGAGACGTATTGGGCGGGCTTTATTATCCGAATCTTACTCCGTAGGTAGTTCCTGCTGGGCCCATCTCTCCACCTCCACGACATAATTACCCAGTGAGGATGATTGAGCATAGTTTCTTTGTCGAACGCCATACGTCGATTGAGTAATTGAAGCTGCCGATTTGATGTTGAAACGATTGGCTCGTTTCCAAGGTCAGTCATAATCTTGTTTTCGTACCGCGAAGCCAGGGTGTGGCAACAGCCAGGCAGAGTGGCGAACGAGGATGTCTGGACAACAATCTTCCGAATCCACGGTCGTGCAGGCGTCATCGCAGCCAACTGTTCCAAGAGGCGCCTGCCGGACATGCAAGACATGCCGCCGCAAAAAGGTGAGGTCTTAGTTTGCTCTTTAGATGGACAGTTTCGCCGCTGGGTACACCCACGAACACTCGCACGGTGAGATTGGCTCGGCTTTTCGCTTGCGGACTGACAAATTATCCCAGGTGAAATGCGAGGGTCAAAAGCCTGAATGTAGCACATGCCGTACGAGAGGATGGCACTGCGAGTATCCACAAGATGGCAGAAAGACGGCGGTACGCAGCAAAAAGGCCGATATCAGAGCCCTCCAACAGCAGATCGAAGAGCTCAAGCGAGAAATGAACGAGCGACTTTCCGCCGATGACACTTCAAACGGTGATCACACCCTCGCAATGAGGGCATCGGATGATCCCAACACCTCCATGAATGCACCACATGATACCGGTATGGTTTCGAGCTATCAAGCAGAACCCAGTCCTCGGCTATCGGACTGGCAAGACTTGTCACCACTTCGCAGAGAAGAGCGACCGTCTCTCGCCAGACTCGCTTTAGATAACATAGAGGAGCAAGCCGAAGTGGAAAGAGTCCCTTCGCCGGACCCTCAGGCAGACGAGACCGAGATACAAGTCTACGGTGGCACGAGTCTGCTCCATGATCAATCCAGTAGGGACTTTTGGTCCAATACCCCGACCGCAATGGACGAGACAGACGAGCCTTTCAAGAGCGCAACTCGAGATCGCCTGATCTCGCTTGCCGCGCTCAGTCGACAAAGGGAGGTCATTTTGTGTTCAAACCCAAGTCTGACTGCGAATATCGACTTTGATGGCGTTCCCATGAACATGGCGATGCACTTGCTTGACTTACACTGGAACCGGTTGCACCTGATCTATCTTCAAAGCTACCGTCCGGCAATCATGGATAGCCTGATCAATAATGGGCCTTACGTCAGCAAGCTTCTGCTGAATGCCATCTATCTACAAAGCAGTCTGTACAGCGACCGAAAAGGCCTGAGGTCGGACGCACAAGATCCACGGACTACCGGCATGACGTTCTACAAGCGTTTCAAAGAGTTGGTGGTTGACTGTATTGACCAGCCCAACATGCCGACAGTGTTGGGACTTCTCATTTGTGGCACATGCTTGGTGCCCTACGGCAAGCAGAAGGCCGGTTGGGTGTACTGTGGTATGGCATACCGCATGATGGTCGACTTGGGTTACCATTTGAACATACCCAAGACTACCGAGGAGGGAATCAAGTTCAAGCTCTCGGCCACGGACATAGAGATCAGACGGCGCGTCTACTGGGGTGCATACATCAGCGACAAGTACCAGTCCTTGTGGCTTGGCCGGCCGCCTGCGCTGCGCGAATCAGACAGCAACGCACCGCGAGAGTTTCTCGATTCATTTGATGAAATGGCCCAGTGGACACCTTACATAGACCCTGAAGCTCCACCGCTCTCTCTAGGCTCTCTCGCCTACCAGCCCCGGACCTGCCACGCTCTCAGTACGTTCCAGACCTTGCTTCGGCTGTCGACGATTGCCTCGCAGGTAATAAACAACTTGTACTCAGTCAAGAGTGCCACTACATCCCAATCAACTCTCCTCCAAGCGAAGCGCGAATTGTCAGCCCAATTGACCGACTGGAACAACGAAATTCCAGCACACCTTCGATTTGACCCAAATAAGGATACCGAGATTATCCCCCCGCATCAACTGAACCTACAGTAAGAAGTCTAATCTCATCTGCGGGTCAGAATCTCGCATTAACGATGCCTCTTTTTTTTTTAGCACCACATATTGCACGTTGGTGATCTTGATTGAACAGGCGTTCCTCAATCGGGTTCACTTTGATTTCACCCTCGACCACGCTTCCCGAGAAGATTCGCGCAAGAAGTGTATTGATGCTGCTTTCAAGATCTGGAGACTCTTAGAAGCGTACAGCAAAGCTTTTACTCTTCGACATGCCCATTATGGGGAGTTCTATGCTGCATATAGTGCGGCTCTTGTCATTCTCCAACAAGCCCCCCAGAATCCCGACGAGTACATCGAAAGCATTAAATTCTTCTGGACAATGTTGTCAGAACCTCAGAAGCGCTGTCTAGGCTTTGCTCTCGGCCTAAAGAATCCATTCAGATTGTTAAAATCACTCATACGACGAATCAGATTTGTTGCACAGCACATCAACGTGGATGCACCAGAGGGCTCCATGGATGGGTCCCTCCCCGATGGTAAAAGTCATCTTGAACCAATCCTGGAAACTATCTTTAACCCTAACCACTCTTATAGTATCGCCAACCTGGACTGATTCAGTGCTTGGTATCGATGTTTGGGCCCATCCCTTGCAAGATACAATCCCTGAAAATATGTTCTTTGTTGATCATACTATGTTTGGTCTCTTCACTCAATGAATCTTGTATCACGGAATGGATTCTACTGGGACCCAAGATGATGCTCAAGACTTGAATGCAAGATACCCGAGGATAAATCTCGCCAACCTCGACCTTATACCTATCCTTCTTCTCATCATGGACAAACACTGCATGCCAACGATTTCTTTGGTCAAGAGCACGACACGGGCCCAGTGGATCATTGTGAACCCTACAACTAGTACAATCAGGATCTTCAGTGCCCCTACGCATTGGGATGTGTTGCATGATGGGCAAAAGACTTTGCAGGCACTTGGATGGGATGCCTCTACGGCGTTCGCTTGCGTTCTTACTCTCGGCCATACTATTCAACAAAGATCACAGTTGCCAATGATGCTGGCGACAGATATTTGAACCTACAAATCGAGAAGAACTTAAGTGACAAATCCAGCCTGACGTTCTGCAATGCAGCGCAGCATTTGGTCTTCAGAGCAGGGGCCACTTTCATGTTTAACTTGTCCTATTATTCCCTCAAGCCTATTGAGAGAGCTATCATGCAAGAGAGCTATTCTCAGTTTAAGAACGAGCCCTGTCTACAGTATTATGAAGGTAGTTCAGGATGAAGATAACGCCAGCTTCGATTCCTCAAACAGTACACCCAGAATATCAGAATATCAGTATCTCCTTATGAGGCTGTAGTCATGAGGGATTTACTTGATCATGTTGGTTCCGAATTTTGTCGTCGTAATCGTTTGACTCGTCTATATCAGGCCTAACCACTGAGCAAAGGCCCTGGAACACCAAAGCTGGCACTTTCCATTCCGTCAATTTTCGTTCTTAACCTCTGGAAGCTTTGTATCTGCCTCCGCAGGGCTCCCATGTCGACCAAAGCTACCTCGTTTCCCAGCCTCCATTCGGCCAACAAATAGAGAGGTGTAGTAACCAAAGCCACATTGGGTATCCTTTGAGCTGTAAGCGGAGCACCCTCGCCGAACTGGAGAAACAAGGACGGTTTAGAAATTCGCGTGTATGATGGATCTGCGCCAAGCCAGAGGGCCTCGGTGACTTCAAATAATTCTTCCGTGTTGGCATAGAGGAGCTCTGGCTCAACGCGACCTGTGGGTTGATACCGATCAGCCTTGAGGTCATCGGTATATTGAATGGCACCAAAATGTTCGAGGGCGAGAGAAGCGACAGTTTTACGATGGTGAGGCTTGCCATCCCACATCTCCGGATGATCATCCAGCCATCTTGACGTGGCTTGGCCATGCGAAGTAAAAGCTGGGATGCGTAAATGTCCTGTGACAAATACAAAGACGTGAGTACGGCTTGGCTTGGCACTCACGACATCCCGAGCCAGTTGCAGCGCTGCGATGTATCCATTTTCTTCAACGACGTTGGGCCCATCGGTATGAGTAACAATGATGATAGTCTCCTCTCGACAAGTCGTCCCTTCGACGACGGCCCACAGTGTTCGAGATGGGGTCCCTGGCTTGAGACCTCCCGGGACATTGAGACTGGCGGAGCGGCCTTTCATAGCTGCATCGACGATGATCTTGGAAGAGTTTCCCGACACGAAGATAGCCGGGATGCCAATGTAGTCAAAAGTAAAGGGCACATATTGCCCTAGAGCGTTCTGGTCCGTGATGCTCTCGTCCCAGGCGAAGACAAGGGCGTCGACTTTATTACCGGCTTTCGCCCCTGGGATCTTCGCATTCAACGATGTTGCAGCCACTGGGTTGGCTGTGCTGCCCCAGGACTGGCTCTTGTTCCACGTATCGATAAGAATTGATTGAGATAGCTCCGGGTTCGACAGTTGCACAACTCCAATTGAACCTTCAGCGAATGGACTCAGGGTTGCCGAGATCAGCGGAACGAGTTTAGCTGTAATGGTGCCGTTGGTAAAGCCACTGTACGGATACGTCGAGCTGATAGCTATAGATTGCCCATCGACCGTCAGTTTTGGACCTTCCTTGTCCATGTTAAGGTAGTCGAAGCTATAATGATCCGTTGTGACATTAAGACCTAGAGCCTCTAGCTGATACTCTATGTGGTCGATCAGTTGGTTGTGCGCGGTGTTTCCAGTGTAACGAGGACCCAGGCGCTCAAGATACGCAATCTCAGAGGCATAGAGATCTTCACATGATGCCGCCATGGCAAATATCAATGATACCAGGGCCAAGGGATTGGTGGAGCGGATGTCAAGATAGTACATGGTTGTGAGGAAAGGAATTCGTGGTAGAGCACCAGGGTTTAATCATCAGCTATTAGCCGAGATGCAGACTACTGGAGTATGAAAGATCAACTGAATGAGAATAGTGAAGGGAAATAGAAATATCATTTCGTCAACATTTTCAAGCGACCTTTGGTAGCTCCCTACTTATGGGCAGTCCAGCAACCTTTCCTTTCGCCTATTACGATCATCAGTAAAAGTGCATGTGAAACGCAAAAGACCCGCGGCATCCCGCACAGACACGATACCGAGTAACAGTGATCTAGATGGTTGGAATCAGGGCTGCTCGGTGAAATTGAAGGCGAGGTTTACGAGATGGCTTCCTAATTAAACGAGACGTACCCAACTTGGCCTCGGAACCCTCGGGTAGATATGCTAGTAGATCTGCCCTGGTGTGGGTCCAATGAAGTTTGGGCTGACGTCCCCGCACTCTCGCACGTTATTAGGCAACATTGTTTACGAGGCTAATGCAAGGCTAACCATACGCGGGGAGCTTCTCTCTAGAGATGAGCGGCACCCTTTATCCCGAGCATCATCTAGATCCTGTCTCTCTTCATATGTGTAGCTAAGAATTATGCGTAAGGGCTAGGCAATACCAGGCTAGCCTCCGGAAGAACCTGCAGGACGGGGACTTGCCATATGTATCAACTAGGGTTAAAATCACCTAAGCATTATTAGGACAGTAAAATGCCTGCACATATGTCCATTCGTAGTTAGTGCATGGATATTTATATACTAGGTATATGTCAGTTCTGACCCGAATGTAGTTTACAGCGCAGTTGTAATCAAGAGGTAGATCTATGTTAAATTGGTTTATAATCTCAGATGCAGTAGTGGTTCTAGATGTGGATTCGCACCATTGTGTATTTTGGACACTGCCCCAAGGGTCGGTGAAACACACAAGATATAATGTCTTATATAAGTCCGATCTTGACTTTAGGTATTCTTTGTCGTCTTAGCTGTCAAGGCATGCGGCGGTGGGGGTTATTGTTCTGTGCATTCATGCCATATGTTCGTTCTTGCGAGGTGGCTTTTCCCAGAAATGGCTCAAGTCACCAACGGGAAGCGTGGCGATTCCGATGGTTTCGAACATAATAAAGATCTCAATGTACCAGGCGATAATACAAACAACAAATGCACATGCTCCGGCTCCCTATATGTTCATTCAAACGTTGTCAGTGCGAGAACTCTGTATACAGATAGCAACTTTGAATTGAGCAGACTTACAACTTGCAATCGGTGCGCAAGAGCGGCATTACCAAAATAATCCTGAGCCAATACCCAGTACTCGCCGGTAAGTAGACCAAATGTCGGGATGATCATCATAAAGAGCCCGACGTAGACGACGTTTGTTCTCAAGGCACAGACTAGGAAGATGAGGTTGAGCAGCATCATCGCCAACGTGAAGAAGCCTCCAAAACCCGGATTTATTAGCAGGGTTGCGACTATAGAGATATCGGTGGAATGATGCAGACTCACCATAGCTAGCATTGAATCCTGTCGTGACTGCTCCCTCCAACGGGGACGTGGCGTTGGGTGGGGCATAGGCGCCGATGGCGTTGAAAGTCGGGGTGAGATCGGCGCCAGTAGCCAGGTAGAACCCGCCGAACGAAAAGAAGACGACCGAGATAAGGGTATTGCCAAGTATCCATTCCATAATGCCGCTAATGATGGAGAGGAGACCACCTAGGAAATAGTTCGATCCGCTGAATGTTTCTTAAGCACAACTGATTCCCTTGCAACACGCTTTATTGAACCACGCCTTGGCTGGCTAGCAGACTTACATTGTCGCCGCTCCGTTCTTGCCAGCACCGCGCCAGCCCATAAGGTCACATGCAAGAGGCATGAGGGTCAGCAGGAACCCGGCAAGGCCACTAGGTAGACATAGTTAGGCTTGGGAACTTTGCATCTTGGCATCGTGGAAGGCTCTTGTAGAAACTAACATGGGTGTAGGATTGCCAAAGCGCTTTCGAAGATCACCTGGCACGACTTGCATGGGATTGAGATAGAGTTTTTCGAATAATTCGGGGGTCATTGAGACTGCGCCAACAGAATGCAACTTGTTGAGTGTTTCCTTGTGAGTGGCGGCCGCAGCTAGAATCTCCGAGTTGTTGCCATCATCCCGGCGGGCCGCGGAGTTTGAGGGAGGTTTCTCCATTTGCCTTGGTCACAAAATATGAGTCAGCAGGTTGAGTCTTCTGATTCCTGACATATGTTCAGCTAAGTCGAGGCAGCTGAGGAATGTCAAAACAAGGGACTGTCGTCTTGGACATTGCCGCCATGGGACAGGCGCGAGGCACTCGATATTAATAACAATCCCAGGTAGCATGTCGCCAGCATCCACCTGCTTCCCATGGAATTCCGGTCGGTCCGTTGCCCGGGATAGATCATAGGTAACATGATAGAACGCGGGGTCGAGAGCTCCACCTTTGCCGATACAAAGAGAGAAATAGGCTGGAGAAGAAACTGTCTCTATCAACATGCAGCCACCAATGGCTAGTAACTGATGTCCATGGAATTCCGTTCAGTCCGCTGCCCGGGATGAATGACATGCCATGATCGGTAGAACGTGGGGTTGAGGGCTCCACTTTTGCCGATGCAGGGGTTGACATGGACTGATGTGGGGAAAGTAAGGGTTGGGGAAAACCTGGAGATCGATGCGGACCACAGCTGTGCTGTAACGCTGGAACGGAACATCATTTGACCCGCACTCTATCAATGCTAGGCGCATCCTTCGCGACGAACAGGATAGCATGACAGGATAGCATGACGGCCTCACAGGAGCCGATAGGGATGGTTCGCACTTGTCATTTACTAGCAAGATAGTCATGGGAAATGGGCCGAACGTGCAGTTACGAAAGCTTGGCTCAAGGAAAGCAAATACAGCGAGTAGACCCAAGAATGAGGATCAGGATGCACTCGATATCAATGAGAAGCTCGATTATGGAAGCCCGAGTGCTCGTAGCTGCTGGGGCTGGTCACTGGGCTGGAGGAAAACGGGCCGCATCTTTGAGAGTATTCGACCCGGTCCCATTCGCCACACTCATCATCCATGGGACCGGACCGAATCCCTCGTTATGAATAGCGTGTTCAGGTCCGCAGTTGTTGAGCGTGGTCGACCTTGGTGGTTCAGAAATGGGGGCCTCAGTGCTGGGGCTTGCACCGCTAGATGTATCTATGGGCGAGGCCTGTCAGGTGAGATCACCAGCGACTGTAGGGTTTGTGGTAGAGGGTGAGGTCTTCGACATAAGACCCCCTGGGGTCGTAGGATAGGTCCCGGGGATTGAAGAATTGGTATTAGAGGGTGCGATCTCTGAGGTAAGGTCCCCATGTAGGACTGGTGCTGGAGGACGAGGACTCATACCGAGCAAGTTTAGTCAAATTCGGGGGCCCGGAAGTGTTGCGAACTGAAGGCGTCGCTTGAAAGCCCGATAAGAGGCTATAGATGTCTGAATTCGCGGCGATTAAAGCTTCGGGTGATGACGCTGCGCTGGAAGACGATTTAGATGCGGTGATGGTTAGCTGAATCGGACCTTGGGCGTTCTGGGTGGGGTTTTGAATGACCTGAACAGTGCCTCTCTCGCCAGAATTTCCAGTCGCTATTATAGTGGTGTAATACTTTAAGGTAGACTGAAAAACAACCTGATATTGAAAGATGTAAACCAAACAGAATGATCCTCCCTTCACCACTTAACCCAACATTTATCTAATCGATCTACTCCTCTTAAGTGATCTCTTGTCTCAGCGTTTGAGAAGAGATAAATTAGGAGTTTCACTTATTTCGCACCAGCTTAGCGAGCTCAGTAGCAGCATCAACATCACTGAGAAGGGTGGCCTGAGAACCGAAGCGAACGTGAACTATGGACTCCGGCTTGGAATCCCAGCACAGAAAACGGCCTGTCGAGCGCATCTGGTGGAGCTCGATGACGACGATAGACTCTACTGGCATGATGATCTCGGTCCAGAACAGTAGATACAGATGATCAGCGATATTGTTCACGGTGGCAGAAACTTTTGAGCCCCATATGTTGGTTGCAGAGCTGTACATCAGAATAGCCCAGTAGCATAGCATACCCTGCCATCGCTGCGGACTGTACGAGTTCGGATGGTTGAGAGTAATCAAAGACTGGAGCTGGAGACCGGCAGCCAAAGCGGAAGATGCGGTAAGCAGAGTTTGTCCTCCAATAGAGATCCAGCCTGTGAACCAGGCAGCAGGCGACCTGGTTTCTGGTGGAGCGAGTGCCGCTACCCAGTGGTATGGACCTGAGAACCTTTCAGTTCAGACTCGTAAAGATTAGATAGATGCCGTACAAACCTCCGGCAGTCGGATAAATTGACGCAACTTCAGCCAAGGAACAAACAATGGCTACAGTGCAGAGAAAAGAGAGAACGCTAGGGCGATAGTTTGAGCATCGTTCCATGTTCCTAAGTTTTATCTGTAGTTGCAGGTTGTAAAATACACAAGGCGCGCCGCCTGCTACGAGGCCAGCCGAAATAACTGTCGACAGAGCCTCCCATGTTGCCATCAAACACAGGCACAATGCAGCCAAGGCAGACAGAGAAAAACGACGGTCCAGTTCTTGGACATGACCTAGTTCAGACCTAGTTGAGCCAGGCGCTCAGCGTCATTGACGGTCCCCTGTTCCTGTACATGACCTAGTTCGGCGAGTTGCTCAGCGTTATTGACTGCCCTCTGTTGGACTAGCTCCGTGGGTTTTGGCTCAGTCATCTTCTGAAAATCAAGAAAGCAAAAGCCCTTCCAGTTGGTTTAGATAGAGCGAAGGAAATGGCGATGTGAGTGACATAATGTACATCTATTAGGTAGCTAAAGAACAGAAAGGTGTTCTGAACAACCCGCTTCGATCAATGTTGCAGGTATGCAGTCTATTGCACGCTAAATTAACCATGGAGTAACACAAAGAGGTGCGGAGATAACCCTTGTCACGCCGAGAGGAGTGGAAAGAACCCTTTTGTTCGGAGACCCGCGGAATCGATTCGCTTTCTTCCGAAAAAAGACATTCATAGAGAACCATGACACACAACTGCCCGGGAAGCCGCTGAATCCTATTCGTATCACGCAGCGCCTACTAACGATTTCACCCCTTGGCTATTGTCGGAATACATTCTTGGTCTGCTAATAGAGTGCTGCTGCCACCAGTGCGGGACCAAGAAAGCTGCTGGTGTCCTTGCAGCTCTCGTGTCTTTTCTTCATTATGGCATAGGACGTTTGGCTGCTGTTGTATGCCACATTCAGTACCATGATCTCTCGACTTTATTTAGTTGAGCGCACTATCGCTGTTATGGCCCGATCCCGAAGCTAGAGATGGCACCCCTGGAGAATTTGGTACTTCAATTTCGGTGGGTTGGGTTGCTTGTGGAGTCTGGGGTGCATTCACTGTGGGGATTCGGGCCGCATCTCTTTACGGCCTTCGATCTGACGTCAACGGACTAGACTAGTCGTCCATAGGACCGATTGCACGATATTGACAGGGTTAATATGATTGTTGGGATGTCCAAGGTGTTTTGCAGGCCATCCATAAAATAGACTCGTCTTGTCTCGTACCGTATGTGAGTTGTGCAGCTGGATTTCAAGCTTGATAGCGAAGTTCGAAATAGCCTGTGAACATGATATTCCGATCGGTCTCTTCTTTCCTGCTCTCGGCTCTATCCGTTTCTGCCCTCAGCGCGGATGAATGGAAAAAGCAATCCGTTTATCAGGTCATGACTGATCGTTTTGCTCGGACTGATGGCTCTACCACTGCATCATGCGATCTATCGACATATTGTGGAGGAACATGGCAGGGCCTCATCAACAAGCTTGACTACATTCAGGGCATGGGCTTCACAGCCGTACAGCTACTCTCCCCCATAAGCCATCATTCCTATGTACTAATAAATATGCAGATCTGGATCTCTCCGGTCGTGCACCAGATCTCAGCACCTGGTAATGTAGATGGGTAAGTTGACCCTCTCCTGTCTACTGAAGCAGAAAGACTTATTCAGTGCTCTAGGGACTCCTATCATGGCTACTGGGCCAAGGACTTCAATAGCCTCAACAGCAACTTCGGCACTTCAGAAGACCTGCTACGGCTGTCCACGGCGCTGCATAGCAGAGGAATGGTATGGAAACCCGTTTTGATGTTCGGCTTATGTGAGAATAGGATGCTAATTAAAGCAGTACTTGATGGTTGACATAGTTACAAACCACATGGCTTACCCAGGATGTCGGAAGTGCGTCGACTATTCGACTTTGACCCCTTTCAACTCGGCGTCCTACTTCCACTCTCCTTGTTCCATTGACTACTCAAACACAACATCTGTTCAGCAGTGCTGGCAGGGAGATGACAATGTGTCACTGCCAGATCTCCGAACCGAGAATCAGAACGTGCGAGACTTCTTTGACCCATGGATTGCACAGCTTGTTACCACTTACAAAATCGATGGGTTGCGAATTGACAGCGCTAAGCATCAGGAAACATCGTTCTGGCCGACGTTCGGTGGGAACGCTACCGTGTACATGGTCGGAGAAGTCTACGAGGGCAACCCGGACGAATTCTTACCTTTCCTCGATGTCTTCCCAGGATTACTCAACTATCCCGTGTGGTACTGGCTTCAGCGTGCGTTCCAATCCACAAGTGCCACAATGACAGAATTGAACACAGGCCTTGCAAACATGCGCTCGAAGACAACCAAGACTGTCTACTTAGGGTCCTTCAGTGAGAATCATGACCAGCCGAGGATGCCAGCATGGAGTAGCCAATCAAGTGATACAGCCCTGATCAAGAATGCAATCGCTTTCGTGATGCTCATGGATGGAATCCCTATAATTTACCAAGGACAGGAACAAAAGCTCAGCGGAGCAAATGTTCCAGCAAATCGCGAAGCCATCTGGCTTACTGGTTACAACACTCAGAGTGAACTTTACCAGTGGGTTGCTCAGATCAATAAATTACGAAATGCCATCATCGGTATCAACAGTGCCTATACCTCCTCTCAGGCCATGTCGTGGACACCGGACCGCCATACTATCGCTCTCCAAAAGGGCCCCTCTGGTTACAGCACAGTCAGTGTCTTCAACAACATCGGGTCGTCCGGCAGCAGCTACCCGGTTACGCTGGCCTCAAGGAATACAGGCTTTGCATCTAGTCAGCACATCGTTGACATAGTTGGGTGCAATTCATACACTACGGATAGCAGCGGAAATCTGGTGTTTATCATGACAAACTTGCCAAAGGTTCTCTATCCGTTAGATAATCTCAGGGGTTCAGGCATCTGCCCATCCTTAACCGGATCTGCCAGCAGCCAAACAACTGCTACATCTCTGCGTAAGTGACGTTAACTATTGTATGCCATACATGAGGCTAGGTTCCTCTGAATAGGGAGAAGCGGCTGACTCCGGTCAAACAAGGCACCTCTAGTGGCACAACAACGGCATGTCCGATACCGACGTCGGTGGCAGTCACATTTACTGAGAAGGTGACTACTTCATATGGCCAAACAATTAAAATGTAAGTCAATTTACATATGTCACACAGTGATAATACTAACTCCCGGCAGCGTTGGAAACATTGATGCCCTCGGTAATTGGGACATAAACCGTGCAGTTACCCTAAGCGCCTCGCAATACAGTAGTAGCAATCCCATATGGACCATTACCATCAATCTTCTGGCCGGCGATTCCATCCAGTACAAGTTTATTAATGTCGCTAGCAGTGGTACAGTGGCTTGGGAGGCTGACCCGAATCATTCATACACTGTTCCGTCCTCTTGCGGAACAACGACGGCCGCAGTATCGAACACTTGGCAGTCATAGAAAACTGGGTTCTCAGGCGGTATCTCGCATTTTGAGACTGACATAATTATAAGATCAAATCGTGGCCTGTGATACTACTTTTTAACTACTGACTGCTATCGTGTTTTAGAGAAAGTGCATTTAAAGGGGTACAGCGCGCCTAGAGCGTTCAGGAATTAAGCTCTCGTTATGAACAAGCAAGAAACGTAGGATTTATCACACTCCGGCCTTCTGGATTACAAATTGTGCAGCGGCAGATGCCTTGGTGGCATAGGTTAGGTGAGCAATGTTGATGAATCCACCTTGACAGACGGTGTCATCTGGGAGGCATATGATCATGGTCTTCCCAACAGCACCGGTGATAGCGGTCTGGTTTCGTGGGTCTCCAAACGTCACCACCGAGTTGACCTTTGACATTGTTTCCACAGATAAGGAGTCCGCGGTGCCACGGACGACGAGCGCGCCCTGGGAGTAGCCAGACATCACAACTTTGCTGTCAGGGCACTTAGTGATAGCCTGGTTAACGAAGGACGTCCTAATGATAATCAGTACTTCTATTCTCCAAAGGTGTATCAAAATCAATTGAGGTAGTTCTCTTACATGCTCGGCACCCCATCAGTGCCATTCCGGTTGAATCCGGCGACGGTCGCGGGATAGTTGACCCCTTGCACCGCCAAGGATTTACCGCCTAGTTGCTCAGACAATGCATCAAAGAACGGCGGACCCGTGAAGAGTCCGACATTGCCTGGCTCCGTCGTGCCTCTGGCGAATATCACAGTGATGTCGGAACACGGCGCATTCTTTGCGAGGTCTTCCCTTGTGGTGTCGATTCCGACTGCTAGCGCAAGGCCTTGTTGAAGAGGCGTCACAAGCTTCCCAACTGCATCAGCCGCTTCCTCGCCCGCGGGAAGAGTGATGAGCAATCGAAGCAGCTGATTCAAAGGTCCACTGGGGAACTTGGCTAGAGCATCGGGGATGGTTTGTCTCGAGTCAAGGGAGAAGCTGGGGGCTGGCGTTAGGTTCTGGCCGGGGATTCGGTGAACTCCGTCATTTGGGGGGATAGCATTGACGAAGGGTGTTAAGTAAAACATCAATAAGAAGCCCAAAACAGAGGTATAGAGAGTCCTTGGTCTAGTATCCATTTTGTGAAGTTTGACCGTTTTTTGATGGTGAAAAGTTAAGGTGTTTAAGAATTGTTGATGATTCAGAAGTAACGCGACGTCTGATACAATTTTCTGAAAGGCAATGGTAGGAGAATTATATACTACCTGAGGCTCCTGACATATTGCAATTAAGCCTCTGGTTCCCTTACTCCGTATAAGATGTGGAGATGCGATTGGCGATTCAAGCCTGAATCGTCACGCCCTATGAAACTACGGCTGTGTACTCCATCGCAACCCTTTCCTTATCAAGCTTAGGGTGCTTGGCCTTCATGCCTAAACTTAGCATGGTCCCCCTCAATCACCCGCGACTGTATCATATTGTCGCTTCATGCTGTTTTCGAGACTTGCCATTCATATTTACATTATAATAATAAAGAACATGTCAGGACGGTCGGTCTATCTTGAATACATCGTAGATGTGCACACCCCGTTCGCGAAATTGTACAAGGTGGATCGGTCCTGTTCCAGTACCAAATGACATTGGTAACATCTGCCCATCAGCGGGCATCTGTCTCCTTACAGCATCACACTGGCTCCAGACAGCGGGTTTCAAAGGCGGTGCTCAAACCGATGCAACCTTATTGCCACAAATTGGAGCAATGAACTAGCTTGCTCACCAGCCAAACTCGACTTATGGCACCAAATAATCTACTGCCTGAACTAACCATGATGCTCCTCTTAACGCAACTCCCGTCGAAAAGTGCGAGATAGGCTTTGATCTCGTCCCTTGCCTAGCTCAAAGTGTGAACCATTAACAACATAAATGCTACGTTATCTATCTGAAGACCATATTTTGTATAACCAGCTGTTAATAGTTTTCATAGCTCACTTAATATCTCGGAGTCAAATGTGCCTTATTATCATGCTTCACCTTGAAGTCGAATTCCTGGTGTTGATGAAATCAGCTTGCTATAAGACTTCTCCAGATATTATCGTTAGCTACCATAAATGTATTCTTGATTTTCTAATGCTAGCAAACCGAGAGTCCTACCTCTTGGCCGACTTCTATGTCCCAGGTCTTTCTACTAAGGGCAAACAGGGCGCGGCCCGTCGTGACTGCGCGTCGTCCCAGTCCATGGTGCTGATGGCCAGGTGAGTGTGCACGCTGGCCGCGTTCGCATGCGGCCCCCGCCGGCCGCAGCGAGGCCCAACTTGACCTTGGCGATAGCCTCGGGCGGATGCGTAGGCACACCGGCCTTCACCCAAAGATCCTTGATCCCGGCCGTCATGTGTCTATCTGTGAAGCTGGGGCAGATAGTATGGATGCACGGGGAATTCCCGCAGTACCTTGACCCGCAACACACGTAGCAGTCCGATGATGCCATGCTTGGCCACTGAGTAGGCTGCCATCCCGGGCGTCTCTTTGAAGCTGCCGTTGCTGCTGAGCAGTGTCAGTGTCTTGTCATGCAGCGCGCCGTGCGTCCGCGAGTGCGCCAGGTAAGTGAAGGCGACGTGCGCGAAATAGATGACTCCCGTGAGGTTGATGTCCAGCGTGCTGGTATTTAGGGCGATCTCAACGTCGGCCAGCCTGCAAACTAGCCGGGATGCTCCATTATGGCGCCGTTGGTGATGACGTGATCGATGCCGCCGCCGAGGGAAACAGCTTTCTTGAAGAGCGAGAGGGTGTCAGCATGTGAACAGATGCCCATTGGCACGAAGGCAACACGGTCCGAGAACTCGGCCGCGAGCCGCGCGGCCTTCTCCTTATTCCAGTTCCCGAAAACCACGCGGACATCATGCTAATGAAACTGCCGTACCGCCTCCCGGCCCATGCCATCGGCGCTGCCGGTGATAACGACGACGACGGCACCCCGCAGATAGTTCAGCCGGAGCGAGGTATCTTCGGGGTCGAACGAGGCCATTTTTGGATTTCGTGTTATTGTCAGCACATAAGTGCGAATGGCCTACGCGTAAGCATCATCATCGTCGTCGTCACCATGTCCTACCATCGCAGTCCGAAGTGGTGGTGGGAGGGTCGTCGCTCGGACCGAATTCCGTAGTGGAGGCCATTCCTTCGAGAGGTTATCATATATGCAGGACCGCGCGGTGCAAGTGCCCAATTGATACATCAAAATGGACCGACGACCCATCAGCACACCCGTGGGTGGATTGGCCTTTCAGTTCTGTCGGCGCAAGGTACGATGTGATAAGGGACATCACCAGTGACGGCGGGTGCAAAGCATAGCCTGGCGGTCCACCTAGATGGGGCTGGCAACAGCGCTTGAGACCAAGAGGCCGCATGAGGGGCTCGTGTGAGGGCCTTGTCTATTTGGTCGGTGGAGGAGGAACGGTTTAGCTTGGTGGCTGGGAGCGAGGGGGGATTGATCTTCGCGGCGACGATGCGGCTTGAGAACGTCGGCTGGCATGTGTGAATGGAAGTGGGCTGTGCTCTAGGAGACCTTGAGGAGAGGAGGAAACCATAAATGGCCGTGGTGAAGCCCACCCGTCCCGATGAGTCCCTGCAGGAGAGGTAGATACGAGAAAGGTGAAACAGTTGGGCCAGGGACGTAGCAGCTAGTTGCTCAATGGGGTTCTGGTAAGGCGAGAGAGATGGGGATACGGAATGAATCTGAGTAGGTGAGGCTGTTGCTGTCCATCGACAACTAAGACAAGATTGACAGAGGAAGAGGAGAAGGATAGGATAAGCACCAAGCTAATCTTCTAGACGATCTGCATGTCCCACCTCTTCTACTACGCTCCCTCGATGATTGGTCGCCGCCACCAGGCTTAGGAAATGATAAAATAAATATCATCACCTTCTCTGGCTCCCCAGAATCCCGTGGTGAAGAGGAAACCCACCGCAGATGCCATCCTCCTCAGCTGCGCCGACCGATTTCAACCGGCAACGCCCATATGCTTAGAACCTGTAAGAGACTGGCATGCCTGCGGGTGAGGGTATCACGCAACAATAATAGCAAATGGAGAGCGCTAAGCAAAAAAACCACCCCATCTGCCTCATTTCTCTTGCTTTTCAGTTGTCGCGTTTTTCCTTGCTGCGTTTCCCAGCGTCAAGCATCATTTTTTTCATGGCTTCCTGCCTTAGCGCTTCTGCTTCACGATCTTTCTCCTTCTTAGCATCATCTCGCTTCTCCTTGCTGGTCTTGCCGGTGGCCATCGTAATATCCTCATAAGCAAGTTCTCGCTCAAGGCTATCATCTCTGTCTTTGGAAGAAGACATAGTGATGTAGAATTATTTTCTATGTCGAAAGTTATGATAAGTTTTCGGAATTTAAAGAAGACTTAGATTTGATGGAAGAGTCATAGGGTATGTTGAGTACACACCAATACAATAACCAGTGTATATGACTTAGGGGGTTGTACTATGATAAACTTTGGCCAATAAAGCACTTCGCGATTAGAGGTTCGAATAACCACACAAAGCCTGGTGAAAAACGCGTGTAAGGTTAGGTGGACACTGGGAGCTGTGAGGGGATAATCTTAGCTGGCTGGTTTGTGGAAATGCACGAGCAGTCGACGTAATTTATATATTTTTTTTCCATACTATCTTACACACCACATGCCTTGACTCTAGCATGCATCCTTCTGCCACCAACCACCTATAGAACGCCCAGGACTTGTCTTGGGTTGTTGGACACAAATTTGCACTTTACGGATTGTGGTGCTCTGATGGCAAGATTCGATTGGCCCCAGTCGGCACTCGTTGCATCAAGCTGTAGATCCCTTGCACATATGATAGGAAGTGGCCGGGCGGTTTTGGGGCGGTGTAGGCCCTATTTTTATCCGCCAATAGAACTCAGCTGGGCGTCGTCCCACATATTGAAGGAAGGCTTATCGTCTCACTACTTGACGGTCCTCAAAACTTTTCATTAGACTACATCATTGTTGCCTTCTTCATTGTCAATCGATAGGCTGAGTGCTTCATTCCACACTTCAAACCGATAATAATATTGTACAGTCGGTACTCTTTCTAAAGAAACTTGCTCCGCTAAGTCCGTTGTGACCATGTACAAACGCCGGCAAAAACTCGACGATCTGGCATGGGATAAGAATGACACGGCAGAAGAAGATTCCCAGAAACGGATGTGCGAACCAAGCATCTGTCGCCAAATCGAAGCTCTCGTTACGGATAAATGCGGCAGACCAGCTAGGCTCAAAAACATCATCACAGGGGGCTTCAACATCCATTATATGCTTTGTTTTCAAGGAGAAGATTCAATGTCAGACGTGACAGTGCGAGTGCCATGGCCATCGACAGTCCAATTTCCGGGCGAAAAGTCTATCTATGAAGCAGCGACATCAGAATACGTGAGACTCAAGACGCGGATTCCAGTCCCACAAGTCCTCCACCACGACCCGGCCTCTGATATTGGACCCATTCTCATCCTTCAGCGAGTTGAGAACCGAGGCGATATGACGGACCCTCTTGCCATCCAAGGGCGGGAACCCAGCTTAACTCCAGCTCTAAACCCGGGTCTCCCAGAGAGCAAGCTGAGAAGCCTGTGGGGTAAGCTGGCATGGGTTCTACTAGAGTTAGGCAAACCAACCTTCCCTCGCATAGGGTCTCTGGTAGAGGTGGAGGACTCCTTCCGGATTGGTGGCCGACCACTGACGCAGAATATGAGTAGTATGACGCAACTTGCTCATATTCCTCCGGCCATCTTTCCGGCCGAAAGCAAGACTTTTGCAACAGCTGATGAGTGGTATCTGGAACTCGCCAATATGCATCTGGCGCAGCTTCTTTTTCAACATAACGACGTTATTTCCAGTGAAGATGATTGCCGCAATAAGTATGTTGCTCGGCAGCTATTCCGCAGGCTCGCTAAACAGGGACGTCTATCAACCTTCGGCTTTGCGCAAGACAACTGGTCTGCTTATGCTGAGGAGGTGACTCGCCCAAGACTTCCAACCCCAAACGGGTTGGCTGACTTCCGCCTCTGGTGCGATGATTTCAGGCCGGCCAATGTCCTGAGAAGCGATTCAGACGCTGATAGTGTGGACAAAGTGGCGGCTGTGATTGACTGGGAGTTCACGTACGCAGCACCGACACAATTCGCCCTCGACCCGCCCTGGTGGTTGCTTTTCGAAACACCAGAAATGTGGCGACCATCTGGTGTTGACGAGTGGAGCAAGGCCTATGGGCAAAGGTTGGAGGCATGGCTGAAGGCTGTGGAGGAGCAGGAAGACGGTGCCGCCTTTCTGGATGGTGTGCCTCTCTCACAGCATATGAGGGAAAGCTGGGAGACAGGTCGCTTCTGGCTTAACTATGCGGCGCGGAAGAGTTGGGCTTTTGATGCTATCTTCTGGAACTTTCTGGATGAGCGTTTCTTTGGCACGCGGGACGCAGAGGTACCTGATGAGGAGCTGTGGAAGGCTAGGATTGATCTCTTGAGTTATGAGGAACAGCAAGCTATGGAACCCTTGGTGAAGCGAAAAATGCAGGAATCTGAGGAACGAATCTTAGTAGAGTGGGAACCAGATACAGCAAGCAACTATTTAGCAAAGATTTTATTAGAGTAACTATTAGAACTCTAGCTCTAGATATAATTAAACTCTAACCAGCTATAACAACTATAGGCAACCTCTATAGTCATTTTGTTTAGTATGGTAGCTAGACTAATAGAGATGTTTAAGGGGGTTGCCTATAGTTAGATTCCTATAATAAGTATACTGTAGTTAGAACCTTATACTAAAGGGCTGTAAGAATCTATAGAGGTGTAGATAGAGTATAGAAGAGAAGATATGTCTAATCTACTCAAGTATTCACGGCGCGAACGGGCCCTGTTTGCGATTCTGCTCCAATCAGCCGTCAGACATCTTAACAGGGGTTCGAAAATCCAGAACAGGGCACATTCTGAGATTAGACTTTTTTCATCTATTAGGAAATAGGCCCTGTTTTTACGTTTTGTACTTTATGTTATATTATATCGATTAAGTTTATATAATGCCCTCTATATAGAAGAAGACTTAAATCTCTCTCTATACTACCCTAAGAGACCTTTAAAAAGGCTAGCCTTATACTATTATATTCTATTAAATAAGCTCTATTATACTATAATACTATATATTATATTTAGGCCTCTTGTGACGATCCTTGATCCCAAGAGGTAAGACTACTTCGTAGGACCGGAGGCGTGTGGGTTTATGTAAGCAGTAAGTGATGGGCGCTGCTGAGCAATGGTGGGTGACTTGATCGTAGCTAAGATA